CCAAAGCGCTTTTCTCCCGGCTTTGAGACCAGAGTGCGAGCCTTGCGGGAACACCCGGCCAGAGTGCTTGCAAACGGGGATTTGCACGCAGGCGGGGAGGTCTTCCAGAGGGAGAGGGCAGGTCCTGCTCAGAGGCCCCACAGGCCAGAGGCAGAACCCGGCAATGCCCCTGCTCTTGGCCAGCCTTGCCCAGGCCTTCCTGGCCTCCAGGGTAACTGCCCCATGAAGGAACAGGCTGTGGGGAGTGTGTCCAGACATGCCCTTGCGCCTCCCTCCACGCAGCCCTGCCTGGGCCTTTCCCTGGGCCTAGGCCTCTGCTGAGGCCTACTGGGAGTGGAGGTGCTGGCAGGGGCTGTCTCCACACTGCAACAGCCCCGGGGGCAGAGCCTTCTGGCAGAGGGAAGAGGGGAGAAAGGGGGTAGATAGCCAAGCCCTCTTTGGCCCAGCAGCCTCAGGGCAGCAGGGAGAGCAAGGGGCCCACAGTGCACCTAGGTCGGCTCTCCCGCTTCCCACACAGGCAGTGCTGCCGGGGCTGCCAGGGAACTGCCTGAGAGACTGCGGCTCAGCCGAGCTCTCTGAAGGGGCAGGGGGCAGGAACAGACGTGTGCATGTGGTTCTGCCTTGGCCTGGGAGTGTGGACCCCCTAGCTGGTCCCCAGGCTCAGGGCCATGGGCCCTGAGAGAGGCCCACCCCAAAGCGCTTTTCTCCCGGCTTTGAGACCAGAGTGCGAGCCTTGCGGGTACACCCGGCCAGAGTGCTTGCAAACGGGGATTTGCACGCAGGCGGGGAGGTCTTCCAGAGGGAGAGGGCAGGTCCTGCTCAGAGGCCCCACAGGCCAGAGGCAGAACCCGGCAATGCCCCTGCTCTTGGCCAGCCTTGCCCAGGCCTTCCTGGCCTCCAGGGTAACTGCCCCATGAAGGAACAGGCTGTGGGGAGTGTGTCCAGACATGCCCTTGCGCCTCCCTCCACGCAGCCCTGCCTGGGCCTTTCCCTGGGCCTAGGCCTCTGCTGAGGCCTACTGGGAGTGGAGGTGCTGGCAGGGGCTGTCTCCACACTGCAACAGCCCCGGGGGCAGAGCCTTCTGGCAGAGGGAAGAGGGGAGAAAGGGGGTAGATAGCCAAGCCCTCTTTGGCCCAGCAGCCTCAGGGCAGCAGGGAGAGCAAGGGGCCCACAGTGCACCTAGGTCGGCTCTCCCGCTTCCCACACAGGCAGTGCTGCCGGGGCTGCCAGGGAACTGCCTGAGAGACTGCGGCTCAGCCGAGCTCTCTGAAGGGGCAGGGGGCAGGAACAGACGTGTGCATGTGGTTCTGCCTTGGCCTGGGAGTGTGGACCCCCTAGCTGGTCCCCAGGCTCAGGGCCATGGGCCCTGAGAGAGGCCCACCCCAAAGCGCTTTTCTCCCGGCTTTGAGACCAGAGTGCGAGCCTTGCGGGAACACCCGGCCAGAGTGCTTGCAAACGGGGATTTGCACGCAGGCGGGGAGGTCTTCCAGAGCGAGAGGGCAGGTCCTGCTCAGAGGCCCCACAGGCCAGAGGCAGAACCCGGCAATGCCCCTGCTCTTGGCCAGCCTTGCCCAGGCCTTCCTGGCCTCCAGGGTAACTGCCCCATGAAGGAACAGGCTGTGGGGAGTGTGTCCAGACATGCCCTTGCGCCTCCCTCCACGCAGCCCTGCCTGGGCCTTTCCCTGGGCCTAGGCCTCTGCTGAGGCCTACTGGGAGTGGAGGTGCTGGCAGGGGCTGTCTCCACACTGCAACAGCCCCGGGGGCAGAGCCTTCTGGCAGAGGGAAGAGGGGAGAAAGGGGGTAGATAGCCAAGCCCTCTTTGGCCCAGCAGCCTCAGGGCAGCAGGGAGAGCAAGGGGCCCACAGTGCACCTAGGTCGGCTCTCCCGCTTCCCACACAGGCAGTGCTGCCGGGGCTGCCAGGGAACTGCCTGAGAGACTGCGGCTCAGCCGAGCTCTCTGAAGGGGCAGGGGGCAGGAACAGACGTGTGCATGTGGTTCTGCCTTGGCCTGGGAGTGTGGACCCCCTAGCTGGTCCCCAGGCTCAGGGCCATGGGCCCTGAGAGAGGCCCACCCCAAAGCGCTTTTCTCCCGGCTTTGAGACCAGAGTGCGAGCCTTGCGGGAACACCCGGCCAGAGTGCTTGCAAACGGGGATTTGCAGGCAGGCGGGGAGGTCTTCCAGAGGGAGAGGGCAGGTCCTGCTCAGAGGCCCCACAGGCCAGAGGCAGAACCCGGCAATGCCCCTGCTCTTGGCCAGCCTTGCCCAGGCCTTCCTGGCCTCCAGGGTAACTGCCCCATGAAGGAACAGGCTGTGGGGAGTGTGTCCAGACATGCCCTTGCGCCTCCCTCAACGCAGCCCTGCCTGGGCCTTTCCCTGGGCCTAGGCCTCTGCTGAGGCCTACTGGGAGTGGAGGTGCTGGCAGGGGCTGTCTCCACACTGCAACAGCCCCGGGGGCAGAGCCTTCTGGCAGAGGGAAGAGGGGAGAAAGGGGGTAGATAGCCAAGCCCTCTTTGGCCCAGCAGCCTCAGGGCAGCAGGGAGAGCAAGGGGCCCACAGTGCACCTAGGTCGGCTCTCCCGCTTCCCACACAGGCAGTGCTGCCGGGGCTGCCAGGGAACTGCCTGAGAGACTGCGGCTCAGCCGAGCTCTCTGAAGGGGCAGGGGGCAGGAACAGACGTGTGCATGTGGTTCTGCCTTGGCCTGGGAGTGTGGACCCCCTAGCTGGTCCCCAGGCTCAGGGCCATGGGCCCTGAGAGAGGCCCACCCCAAAGCGCTTTTCTCCCGGCTTTGAGACCAGAGTGCGAGCCTTGCGGGAACACCCGGCCAGAGTGCTTGCAAACGGGGATTTGCACGCAGGCGGGGAGGTCTTCCAGAGGGAGAGGGCAGGTCCTGCTCAGAGGCCCCACAGGCCAGAGGCAGAACCCGGCAATGCCCCTGCTCTTGGCCAGCCTTGCCCAGGCCTTCCTGGCCTCCAGGGTAACTGCCCCATGAAGGAACAGGCTGTGGGGAGTGTGTCCAGACATGCCCTTGCGCCTCCCTCCACGCAGCCCTGCCTGGGCCTTTCCCTGGGCCTAGGCCTCTGCTGAGGCCTACTGGGAGTGGAGGTGCTGGCAGGGGCTGTCTCCACACTGCAACAGCCCCGGGGGCAGAGCCTTCTGGCAGAGGGAAGAGGGGAGAAAGGGGGTAGATAGCCAAGCCCTCTTTGGCCCAGCAGCCTCAGGGCAGCAGGGAGAGCAAGGGGCCCACAGTGCACCTAGGTCGGCTCTCCCGCTTCCCACACAGGCAGTGCTGCCGGGGCTGCCAGGGAACTGCCTGAGAGACTGCGGCTCAGCCGAGCTCTCTGAAGGGGCAGGGGGCAGGAACAGACGTGTGCATGTGGTTCTGCCTTGGCCTGGGAGTGTGGACCCCCTAGCTGGTCCCCAGGCTCAGGGCCATGGGCCCTGAGAGAGGCCCACCCCAAAGCGCTTTTCTCCCGGCTTTGAGACCAGAGTGCGAGCCTTGCGGGAACACCCGGCCAGAGTGCTTGCAAACGGGGATTTGCACGCAGGCGGGGAGGTCTTCTAGAGGGAGAGGGCAGGTCCTGCTCAGAGGCCCCACAGGCCAGAGGCAGAACCCGGCAAGGCCCCTGCTCTTGGCCAGCCTTGCCCAGGCCTTCCTGGCCTCCAGGGTAACTGCCCCATGAAGGAACAGGCTGTGGGGAGTGTGTCCAGACATGCCCTTGCGCCTCCCTCCACGCAGCCCTGCCTGGGCCTTTCCCTGGGCCTAGGCCTCTGCTGAGGCCTACTGGGAGTGGAGGTGCTGGCAGGGGCTGTCTCCACACTGCAACAGCCCCGGGGGCAGAGCCTTCTGGCAGAGGGAAGAGGGGAGAAAGGGGGTAGATAGCCAAGCCCTCTTTGGCCCAGCAGCCTCAGGGCAGCAGGGAGAGCAAGGGGCCCACAGTGCACCTAGGTCGGCTCTCCCGCTTCCCACACAGGCAGTGCTGCCGGGGCTGCCAGGGAACTGCCTGAGAGACTGCGGCTCAGCCGAGCTCTCTGAAGGGGCAGGGGGCAGGAACAGACGTGTGCATGTGGTTCTGCCTTGGCCTGGGAGTGTGGACCCCCTAGCTGGTCCCCAGGCTCAGGGCCATGGGCCCTGAGAGAGGCTCACCCCAAAGCGCTTTTCTCCCGGCTTTGAGACCAGAGTGCGAGCCTTGCGGGAACACCCGGCCAGAGTGCTTGCAAACGGGGATTTGCACGCAGGCGGGGAGGTCTTCCAGAGGGAGAGGGCAGGTCCTGCTCAGAGGCCCCACAGGCCAGAGGCAGAACCCGGCAATGCCCCTGCTCTTGGCCAGCCTTGCCCAGGCCTTCCTGGCCTCCAGGGTAACTGCCCCATGAAGGAACAGGCTGTGGGGAGTGTGTCCAGACATGCCCTTGCGCCTCCCTCCACGCAGCCCTGCCTGGGCCTTTCCCTGGGCCTAGGCCTCTGCTGAGGCCTACTGGGAGTGGAGGTGCTGGCAGGGGCTGTCTCCACACTGCAACAGCCCCGGGGGCAGAGCCTTCTGGCAGAGGGAAGAGGGGAGAAAGGGGGTAGATAGCCAAGCCCTCTTTGGCCCAGCAGCCTCAGGGCAGCAGGGAGAGCAAGGGGCCCACAGTGCACCTAGGTCGGCTCTCCCGCTTCCCACACAGGCAGTGCTGCCGGGGCTGCCAGGGAACTGCCTGAGAGACTGCGGCTCAGCCGAGCTCTCTGAAGGGGCAGGGGGCAGGAACAGACGTGTGCATGTGGTTCTGCCTTGGCCTGGGAGTGTGGACCCCCTAGCTGGTCCCCAGGCTCAGGGCCATGGGCCCTGAGAGAGGCCCACCCCAAAGCGCTTTTCTCCCGGCTTTGAGACCAGAGTGCGAGCCTTGCGGGAACACCCGGCCAGAGTGCTTGCAAACGGGGATTTGCACGCAGGCGGGGAGGTCTTCCAGAGGGAGAGGGCAGGTCCTGCTCAGAGGCCCCACAGGCCAGAGGCAGAACCCGGCAATGCCCCTGCTCTTGGCCAGCCTTGCCCAGGCCTTCCTGGCCTCCAGGGTAACTGCCCCATGAAGGAACAGGCTGTGGGGAGTGTGTCCAGACATGCCCTTGCGCCTCCCTCCACGCAGCCCTGCCTGGGCCTTTCCCTGGGCCTAGGCCTCTGCTGAGGCCTACTGGGAGTGGAGGTGCTGGCAGGGGCTGTCTCCACACTGCAACAGCCCCGGGGGCAGAGCCTTCTGGCAGAGGGAAGAGGGGAGAAAGGGGGTAGATAGCCAAGCCCTCTTTGGCCCAGCAGCCTCAGGGCAGCAGGGAGAGCAAGGGGCCCACAGTGCACCTAGGTCGGCTCTCCCGCTTCCCACACAGGCAGTGCTGCCGGGGCTGCCAGGGAACTGCCTGAGAGACTGCGGCTCAGCCGAGCTCTCTGAAGGGGCAGGGGGCAGGAACAGACGTGTGCATGTGGTTCTGCCTTGGCCTGGGAGTGTGGACCCCCTAGCTGGTCCCCAGGCTCAGGGCCATGGGCCCTGAGAGAGGCCCACCCCAAAGCGCTTTTCTCCCGGCTTTGAGACCAGAGTGCGAGCCTTGCGGGAACACCCGGCCAGAGTGCTTGCAAACGGGGATTTGCACGCAGGCGGGGAGGTCTTCCAGAGGGAGAGGGCAGGTCCTGCTCAGAGGCCCCACAGGCCAGAGGCAGAACCCAGCAATGCCCCTGCTCTTGGCCAGCCTTGCCCAGGCCTTCCTGGCCTCCAGGGTAACTGCCCCATGAAGGAACAGGCTGTGGGGAGTGTGTCCAGACATGCCCTTGCGCCTCCCTCAACGCAGCCCTGCCTGGGCCTTTCCCTGGGCCTAGGCCTCTGCTGAGGCCTACTGGGAGTGGAGGTGCTGGCAGGGGCTGTCTCCACACTGCAACAGCCCCGGGGGCAGAGCCTTCTGGCAGAGGGAAGAGGGGAGAAAGGGGGTAGATAGCCAAGCCCTCTTTGGCCCAGCAGCCTCAGGGCAGCAGGGAGAGCAAGGGGCCCACAGTGCACCTAGGTCGGCTCTCCCGCTTCCCACACAGGCAGTGCTGCCGGGGCTGCCAGGGAACTGCCTGAGAGACTGCGGCTCAGCCGAGCTCTCTGAAGGGGCAGGGGGCAGGAACAGACGTGTGCATGTGGTTCTGCCTTGGCCTGGGAGTGTGGACCCCCTAGCTGGTCCCCAGGCTCAGGGCCATGGGCCCTGAGAGAGGCCCACCCCAAAGCGCTTTTCTCCCGGCTTTGAGACCAGAGTGCGAGCCTTGCGGGAACACCCGGCCAGAGTGCTTGCAAACGGGGATTTGCAGGCAGGCGGGGAGGTCTTCCAGAGGGAGAGGGCAGGTCCTGCTCAGAGGCCCCACAGGCCAGAGGCAGAACCCAGCAATGCCCCTGCTCTTGGCCAGCCTTGCCCAGGCCTTCCTGGCCTCCAGGGTAACTGCCCCATGAAGGAACAGGCTGTGGGGAGTGTGTCCAGACATGCCCTTGCGCCTCCCTCCACGCAGCCCTGCCTGGGCCTTTCCCTGGGCCTAGGCCTCTGCTGAGGCCTACTGGGAGTGGAGGTGCTGGCAGGGGCTGTCTCCACACTGCAACAGCCCCGGGGGCAGAGCCTTCTGGCAGAGGGAAGAGGGGAGAAAGGGGGTAGATAGCCAAGCCCTCTTTGGCCCAGCAGCCTCAGGGCAGCAGGGAGAGCAAGGGGCCCAGAGTGCACCTAGGTCGGCTCTCCCGCTTCCCACACAGGCAGTGCTGCCGGGGCTGCCAGGGAACTGCCTGAGAGACTGCGGCTCAGCCGAGCTCTCTGAAGGGGCAGGGGGCAGGAACAGACGTGTGCATGTGGTTCTGCCTTGGCCTGGGAGTGTGGACCCCCTAGCTGGTCCCCAGGCTCAGGGCCATGGGCCCTGAGAGAGGCCCACCCCAAAGCGCTTTTCTCCCGGCTTTGAGACCAGAGTGCGAGCCTTGCGGGAACACCCGGCCAGAGTGCTTGCAAACGGGGATTTGCAGGCAGGCGGGGAGGTCTTCCAGAGGGAGAGGGCAGGTCCTGCTCAGAGGCCCCACAGGCCAGAGGCAGAACCCAGCAATGCCCCTGCTCTTGGCCAGCCTTGCCCAGGCCTTCCTGGCCTCCAGGGTAACTGCCCCATGAAGGAACAGGCTGTGGGGAGTGTGTCCAGACATGCCCTTGCGCCTCCCTCAACGCAGCCCTGCCTGGGCCTTTCCCTGGGCCTAGGCCTCTGCTGAGGCCTACTGGGAGTGGAGGGGCTGGCAGGGGCTGTCTCCACACTGCAACAGCCCCGGGGGCAGAGCCTTCTGGCAGAGGGAAGAGGGTAGAAAGGGGGTAGATAGCCAAGCCCTCTTTGGCCCAGCAGCCTCAGGGCAGCAGGGAGAGCAAGGGGCCCACAGTGTACCTAGGTCGGCTCTCCCGCTTCCCACACAGGCAGTGCTGCCGGGGCTGCCAGGGAACTGCCTGAGAGACTGCGGCTCAGCCGAGCTCTCTGAAGGGGCAGGGGGCAGGAACAGACGTGTGCATGTGGTTCTGCCTTGGCCTGGGAGTGTGGACCCCCTAGCTGGTCCCCAGGCTCAGGGCCATGGGCCCTGAGAGAGGCCCACCCCAAAGCGCTTTTCTCCCGGCTTTGAGACCAGAGTGCGAGCCTTGCGGGAACACCCGGCCAGAGTGCTTGCAAACGGGGATTTGCACGCAGGCGGGGAGGTCTTCCAGAGGGAGAGGGCAGGTCCTGCTCAGAGGCCCCACAGGCCAGAGGCAGAACCCAGCAATGCCCCTGCTCTTGGCCAGCCTTGCCCAGGCCTTCCTGGCCTCCAGGGTAACTGCCCCATGAAGGAACAGGCTGTGGGGAGTGTGTCCAGACATGCCCTTGCGCCTCCCTCAACGCAGCCCTGCCTGGGCCTTTCCCTGGGCCTAGGCCTCTGCTGAGGCCTACTGGGAGTGGAGGTGCTGGCAGGGGCTGTCTCCACACTGCAACAGCCCCGGGGGCAGAGCCTTCTGGCAGAGGGAAGAGGGGAGAAAGGGGGTAGATAGCCAAGCCCTCTTTGGCCCAGCAGCCTCAGGGCAGCAGGGAGAGCAAGGGGCCACAGTGCACCTAGGTCGGCTCTCCCGCTTCCCACACAGGCAGTGCTCCCGGGGCTGCCAGGGAACTGCCTGAGAGACTGCGGCTCAGCCGAGCTCTCTGAAGGGGCAGGGGGCAGGAACAGACGTGTGCATGTGGTTCTGCCTTGGCCTGGGAGTGTGGACCCCCTAGCTGGTCCCCAGGCTCAGGGCCATGGGCCCTGAGAGAGGCCCACCCCAAAGCGCTTTTCTCCCGGCATTGAGACCAGAGTGCGAGCCTTGCGGGAACACCCGGCCAGAGTGCTTGCAAACGGGGATTTGCACGCAGGCGGGGAGGTCTTCCAGAGGGAGAGGGCAGGTCCTGCTCAGAGGCCCCACAGGCCAGAGGCAGAACCCAGCAATGCCCCTGCTCTTGGCCAGCCTTGCCCAGGCCTTCCTGGCCTCCAGGGTAACTGCCCCATGAAGGAACAGGCTGTGGGGAGTGTGTCCAGACATGCCCTTGCGCCTCCCTCAACGCAGCCCTGCCTGGGCCTTTCCCTGGGCCTAGGCCTCTGCTGAGGCCTACTGGGAGTGGAGGTGCTGGCAGGGGCTGTCTCCACACTGCAACAGCCCCGGGGGCAGAGCCTTCTGGCAGAGGGAAGAGGGGAGAAAGGGGGTAGGTAGCCAAGCCCTCTTTGGCCCAGCAGCCTCAGGGCAGCAGGGAGATCAGGAGGCCCACAGTGCACCTAGGTCAGCTCTCCCCCTTCCCACACAGGCAGTGCTGCCGGGGCTGCCAGGAAACTGCCTGAGAGACTGCGGATCAGCCGAGCTGTCTGAAGGTTCAGGGGGCAGGAACAGACGTGTGCATGTGGTTCTGCCTTGGCCTGGGAGTGTGGACCCCCTAGCTGGTCCCCAGGCTCAGGGCCATGGGCCCTGAGAGAGGCCCACCCCAAAGCGCTTTTCTCCCGGCTTTGAGACCAGATTGCGAGCCTTGCGGGAACACCCGGCGAGAGTGCTTGCATGCGGAGTTCATTGCTTCAAAAGGTGAGGATGCCTGACTCCTCTTGAATACTGATAGGAATCCCAAAATCCCTGTGACTACTGGAAAGGGACCTTGGGTGCCCTGCCTCACCTCGAGAAGCGTCCCTTTTGCCCTGCCAAGCCTCGAAGTGATTCCTGAGTTGTCCCTCGTTACTAGACAGGAGTCCTGACGTCACTGAAGAAACTCGTGTTTTGAAGGGCCCTCCCCTCTGTAAGTCGAGAACATACCTCAGGTCTCCGGCGCAACTCGAGAAAAACCATGAGACTTCCCCCTAGAGGCGAGATGACGCCCCATTCCCCTGCAGTGCATGCAGAGCTATTCCGTGATCCCATTCAAACAAGTCAGGAGCTTCGACTTGCTTAATGGATCTCGAGACAGTCCCCAAGAACACTTTCACCAGTCTAGACGGACCCTGAGGTCACCCCAGCAACGCAAAGCTGCTCCATGTGCCCCAAATCAACTCGAGATGAGGCCCGATTCCCCTGCATTGACTCCAGAGCCATTCCCCGTTCCCCATTCAACACGACCGGTGGCTCGACTTCCTTCAGGCAACTCCAGAGATGCCCAGAGAACACTTTCCCAAGTCTAGAGGAACACCAGCTTCAGCACAGCAACTCGAGGAATGCTCCGAGTACCCCAAATCATCTCGAGATGAGAGCTGATTCCCTGGCTTAGGCTCAAGACGTATGCCACCTTTCCAGAAGCACCTCAGGAGGAGGCTTCTCTCAGCAATAGGTATGTGGGAGGGACCCCGAGTTTGCTGCCTCAAGGGGAATATACAGCGAGAAGCCCTAACTTGAAAGGAGGCCGGATTTCCTTGCAGTGGCTTGAATACAGGCTCGTCTTTGATCTGACAACATGAAGGGATGTCTGAATCCCCTGTGGAGACCTTAGAGAAAGCCCTAGGTCCCTGCCTCATTTTGACGGAATGCCTCACATCCCGCTGACACCTCGAGAGGCACGCGGAGTTCATTGCTTCAAAAGGTGACGATGCCTGACTCCTCTTGAATACTGATAGGAATCCCAAAATCCCTGTGGCTACTGGAAAGGGTCCTTGGGTGTCCTGCCTCACCTCGAGAAGCGTCCCTTTTGCCCTGCCAAGCCTCGAAGAGATTCCTGAGGTGTCCCTCGTTACTAGGCAGGAGTCCGGATGTCACTGAAGAAACTCGAGTTTTGAAGGGCCATCCCCGCCGTAAGTCGAGAACATACCCCAGGTCCCCGCCGCACCTCGAGAAAAACCGCGAGACTTCGCCCTAGAGGCGAGATGAGGCCCCATTCCCCTGCAGTGCATGCAGAGCTATTCCGTGATCCCATTCAAACAAGTCAGGAGCTTCGACTTGCTTAATGGATCTCGAGACAGTCCCCAAGAACACTGTCACCAGTCTAGACGGACCCTGAGGTCACCCCAGCAATGCAAAGCTGCTCCATGTGCCACAAATCAACTCGAGATGAGGCCCGATTCCCCTGCATTGACTCCAGAGCCATTCCCCGTTCCCCTTTCAAGACGACCGGTGGCTCGACTTCCTTCAGGCAACACCAGAGATTCCCCGAGAACACTGTCCCAAGGCTAGAGGAACACCAACTTCAGCACAGCAACTCGAGGAATGCTCCGTGTACCCCAAATCATCTCGAGATGAGAGCTGATTCCCTGGCTTAGGCTCAAGACGTATGCGAACTTTCCAGAAGCATCTCAGGAGGAGGCTTCTCTCAGCAATAGGTATGTGGGAGGGACCCCGAGTTTGCTGCCTCAAGGGGAATACACAGGGAGAAGCCCTAATGTGAACGGAGGCCAGATTTCCTTGCAGAGGGTTGAATACAGGCTCGTCTTTGATCTGACAACATGAAGGGATGTCTGAATCCGCTGTGGAGACCTTAGAGGAAGCCCTAGGTCCCTGCCTCATTTTGACGGAATACCTCACATCCCCCTGACAACTCGAGAGGCACGCGGAGTTCATTGCTTCAAAAGGTGACGATGCCTGACTCCTCTTGAATACTGATAGGAATCCCAAAATCCCTGTTGCTACTGGAAAGGGTCCTTGGGTGCCCTGGCTCACCTCGAGAAGCGTCCCCTTTGCCCTGCCAAGCCTCGAAGAGATTGCTGAGGTGTCCCTCGTTACTAGACAGGAGTCCTGACGTCACTGAAGAAACTCGTGTTTTGAAGGGCCATCCCCGCCGTAATTCGAGAACATACCCCAGGTCCCCGCCACAACTCGAGAAAAACCATGAGACTTCCCCCTATAGGCGAGATGAGGCCCCATTCCCCTGCAGTGCATGCAGAGCTATTCCGTGATCCCATTCAAACAAGTCAGGAGCTTCGACTTGCTTAATGGATCTCGAGACTGTCCCCAAGAACACTGTCACCAGTCTAGACGGACCCTGAGGTCACCCGAGCAACGCAAAGCAGCTCCATGTGCCCCAAATCAACTCAAGATGAGGCCCAATTCCCCTGCATTGACTCCAGAGCCATTCCCCGTTCCCCGTTCAACATGAACGGAGGCTCGCCTTCCTTCAGGCAACTCCAGAGATGCCCTGAGAACACTGTCCCAAGTCTAGAGGAACACCAACTTCAGCACAGCAACTCGAGGAATGCTCTGTGTACCCCATATCGTCTCGAGATGAGAGCTGATTCCTTGGCTTAGGCTCAAGACGTATGCCAACTTTCCAGAAGCACCTCAGGAGGAGGCTTCTCAGCAATAGGTATGTGGGAGGGACTCCGAGTTTGCTGCCTCAAGGGGAATATACATCGAGAAGCCCTAACTTGAAAGGAGGCCGGATTTCCTTGCAGTAGCTTGAATACAGGCTTGTCTTTCATCTCACAACATGAAGGGATGTCTGAATCCCCTGTGGAGACCTTAGAGAAAGCCCTAGGTCCCTGCCTCATTTTGACGGAATGCCTCACATCCCGCTGACACCTCGAGAGGCACGCGGAGTTCATTGCTTCAAAAGGTGACGATGCCTGACTCCTCTTGAATACTGATAGGAATCCCAAAATCCCTGTGGCTACTGGAAAGGGTCCTTGGGTGCCCTGGCTCACCTCGAGAAGCGTCCCTTTTGCCCTGCCAAGCCTCGAAGAGATTGCTGAGGTGTCCCTCGTTACTAGGCAGGAGTCCTGACGTCACTGGAGAAACTCGTGTTTTGAAGGGCCATCCCCGCCGTAAGTCGAGAACATACCCCAGGTCCCCGCCGCAACTCGAGAAAAACCATGAGACTTCCCCCTAGAGGCGAGATGAGGCCCCATTCCCCTGCAGTGCATGCAGAGCTATTCCTTCATCCCATTCAAACAAGTCAGGAGCTTCGACTTGGTTAATGGATCTCGAGACAGTCCCCAAGAACACTGTCACCAGTCTAGACGGACCCTGAGGTCACCCAGCAATGCAAAGCAGCTCCATGTGACCCAAATCAACTCGAGATGAGGCCGGATTCCCCTGCATTGACTCCAGAGCCATTCCCCGTTCCCCATTCAACACGACCGGTGGCTCGACTTCCTTCAGGCAACTCCAGAGATGCCCCGAGAACACTGTCCCAAGTCTAGAGGAACACCAACTTCAGCACAGCAACTCGAGGAATGCTCCGTGTACCCCAAATCGTCTCGAGATGAGAGCTGATTCCCTGGCTTAGGCTCAAGACGTATTCCAACTTTCCAGAAGCACCTCAGGAGGAGGCTTCTCTCAGCAATAGGTATGTGGGAGGGACCCCGAGTTTGCTGCCTCAAGGGAAATACACAGGGAGAAGCCCTAATATGAACGGAGGCCAGATTTCCTTGCAGTGGCTTGAATACAGGCTCGTCTTTGATCTGACAACATGAAGGGATGTCTGAATCCCCTGTGGAGACCTTAGAGGAAGCCCTAGGTCCCTGCCTCATTTTGACGGAATACCTCACATCCCCCTGACACCTCGAGAGGCACGCAGAGTTCATTGCTTGAAAAGGTGACGATGCCTGACTCCTCTTGAATACTTATAGGAATCCCAAAATCCCTGTGGCTACTGGAAAGGGTCCTTGGGTGCCCTGGCTCACCTCGAGAAGCGTCCCTTTTGCCCTCCCAAGCCTCGAAGAGATTGCTGAGGTGTCCCTCATTACTAGACAGGAGTCCTGACGTCACGGAAGAAACTCGTGTTTTGAAGGGCCATCCCCGCCATAAGTCGAGAACATACCCCAGGTCCCCGCCGCAACTCGAGAAAAACCATGAGACTTCCCCCTAGAGGCGAGATGAGGCCCCATTCCCCTGCAGTGTATGCAGAGCTATTCCGTGATCCCATTCAAACAAGTCAGGAGCTTCGACTTGCTTAATGGATCTCGAGACAGTCCCCAAGAACACTGTCACCAGTCTAGACGGACCCTGAGGTCACCCCAGCAATGCAAAGCAGCTCCATGTGCCCCAAATCAACTCGAGATGGGGCCCGATTCCCCTGCATTGACTCCAGAGCCATTCCCGTTCCCCCTTCAACACGAACGGAGGCTCGCCTTCCTTCAGGCAACTCCAGAGATGCCCCGAGAACACTGTCCCAAGTCTAGAGGAACACCAACTTCAGCACAGCAACTCGAGGAATGCTCTGTGTACCGCAAATCGTCTCGAGATGAGAGCTGATTCCCTGGCTTAGGCTCAAGACGTATGCCAACTTTCCAGAAGCACCTCAGGAGGAGGCTTCTCAGCAATAGGTATGTGGGAGGGACTCCGAGTTTGCTGCCTCAAGGGGAATATACATCGAGAAGCCCTAACTTGAAAGGAGGCCGGATTTCCTTGCAGTGGCTTGAATACAGGCTCGTCTTTGATCTGACAACATGAAGGGATGTCTGAATCCCCTGTGGAGACCTTAGAGGAAGCCCTAGGTCCCTGCCTCATTTTGACGGAATCCTCACTTCCCGCTGACACCTCGAGAGGCACGCGGAGTTCATTGCTTCAAAAGGTGACGATGCCTGACTCCTCTTGAATACTGATAGGAATCCCAAAATCCTTGTGGCTACTGGAAAGGGTCCTTGGGTGCCCTGCCTCACCTCGAGAAGCGTCCCTTTTGCCCTGCCAAGCCTCGAAGAGATTGCTGAGGTGTCCCTCGTTACTAGGCAGGAGTCCTGACGTCACTGGAGAAACTGGTGTTTTGAGGGGCCATCCCCGCCGTAAGTCGAGAACATACCCCAGGTCCCCGTCGCAACTCGAGAAAAACCGTGAGACTTCCCCCTAGAGGCGAGATGAGGCCCCATTCCTCTGCAGTGCATGCAGAGCAATTCCGTGATCCCATTCAAACAAGTCAGGACCTTCGACTTGCTTAATGGATCTCGAGGCAGTCCCCAAGAACACTGTCAGCAGTCTAGACGGACCCTGAGGTCACACAGCAATGCAAAGCAGCTCCATGTGCCCCAAATCAACTCGAGATGAGTCCGGATTCCCCTGCATTGACTCCAGAGCCATTCCCCGTTCCCCATTCAACACGACCGGTGGCTCGACTTCCTTCAGGCAACTCCAGAGATGCCCCGAGAACACTGTCCCAAGTCTAGAGGAACACCAACTTCAGCACAGCAACTCGAGGAATGCTCCGTGTACCCCAAATCATCTCGAGATGAGAGCTGATTCCCTGGCTTCGGCTCAAGACGTATGCCAACTTTCCAGAAGCACCTCAGGAGGAGGCTTCTCTCAGCAATAGGTATGTTGGAGGGACCCCGAGTTTGCTGCCTCAAGGAAAATACACAGGGAGAGGGCCTAATGTGAACGGAGGCCAGATTTCCTTGCAGTGGCTTGAATAGAGGCTCGTCTTTCGTCTGACAACATGAAGGGATGTCCGAATCCGCTGTGGAGACCTTAGAGGAAGCCCTAGGTCCCTGCCTCATTTTGACGGAATACCTCACATCCCGCTGACACCTCGAGAGGCACGCAGAGTTCATTGCTTCAAAAGGTGACGATGCCTGACTCCTCTTGAATACTTATAGGAATCCCAAAATCCCTGTGGCTACTGGAAAGGGTCCTTGGGTGCCCTGGCTCACCTCGAGAAGCGTCCCTTTTGCCCTGCCAAGCCTCGAAGAGATTGCTGAGGTGTCCCTCGTTACTAGACAGGAGTCCTGACGTCACTGAAGAAACTCGTGTTGTGAAGGGCCATCTCCGCCGTAAGTCGAGAACATACCCCAGGTCCCCGCCGCAACTCGAGAAAAACCATGAGACTTCCCCCTAGAGGCGAGATGACGCCCCATTCCCCTGCAGTGCATGCAGAGCTATTCCGTGATCCCATTCAAACAAGTCAGGAGCTTCGACTTGCTTAATGGATCTCGAGACAGTCCCCAAGAACACTGTCACCAGTCTAGACGGACCCTGAGGTCACCCCAGCAACGCAAAGCTGCTCCATGTGCCCCAAATCAACTCGAGATGAGGCCCGATTCCCCTGCATTGACTCCAGAGCCATTTCCCGTTCCCCATTCAACACGACCGGTGGCTCGACTTACTTAAGGCAACTCCAGAGATTCCCCGAAAACACTGTCCCAAGCCTAGAGGACCACCAACTTCAGCACAGCAACTCGAGGAATGCTCTGTGTATGACAAATCGTCTCGAGATGAGAGCTGATTCCCTGGCTTAGGCTCAAGACATATGCCAACTTTCCAGAAGCACCTCAGGAGGAGGCTTCTCAGCAATAGGTATGTGGGAGGGACTCCGAGTTTGCTGCCTCAAGGGGAATATACATCGAGAAGCCCTAACTTGAAAGGAGGCCGGATTTCCTTGCAGTGGCTTGAATACAGGCTCGTCTTTGATCTGACAACATGAAGGGATGTCTGAATCCCCTGTGGAGACCTTAGAGAAAGCCCTAGGTCCCTGCCTCATTTTGACGGAATGCCTCACATCCCGCTGACACCTCGAGAGGCACGCGGAGTTCATTGCTTCAAAAGGTGACGATGCCTGACTCCTCTTGAATACTGATAGGAATCCCAAAATCCCTGTGGCTACTGGAAAGGGTCCTTGGGTGCCCTGCCTCACCTCGAGAAGCGTCCCTTTTGCCCTGCCAAGCCTCGAAGAGATTCCTGAGGTGTCCCTCGTTACTAGGCAGGAGTCCTGACGTCACTGAAGAAACTCGTGTTTTGAAGGGCCATCCCCGCCGTAAGTCGAGAACATACCCCCGGTCCCCGCCGCAACTCGAGAAAAACCATGAGACTTCCCCCTAGAGGCGAGATGACGCCCCATTCCCCTGCAGTGCATGCAGAGCTATTCCGTGATCCCATTCAAACAAGTCAGGAGCTTCGACTTGCTTAATGGATCTCGAGACAGTCCCCAAGAACACTTTCACCAGTCTAGACGGACCCTGAGGTCACCCCAGCAACGCAAAGCTGCTCCATGTGCCCCAAATCAACTCGAGATGAGGCCCGATTCCCCTGCATTGACTCCAGAGCCATTCCCCGTTCCCCATTCAACACGACCGGTGGCTCGACTTCCTTCAGGCAACTCCAGAGATGCCCAGAGAACACTTTCCCAAGTCTAGAGGAACACCAGCTTCAGCACAGCAACTCGAGGAATGCTCCGAGTACCCCAAATCATCTCGAGATGAGAGCTGATTCCCTGGCTTAGGCTCAAGACGTATGCCAACTTTCCAGAAGCATCTCAGGAGGAGGCTTCTCTCAGCAATAGGTATGTGGGAGGGACCTCGTGTTTGCTGCCTCAAGGGGAATACACAGGGAGAAGCCCTAATGTGAACGGAGGCCAGATTTCCCTGCAGAGGGTTGAATACAGGCTCGTCTTTGATCTGACAACATTAAGGGATGTCTGAATACCCTGTGGAGACCTTAGAGGAAGCCCTAGGTCCCTGCCTCATTTTGACGGAATACCTCACATCCCCCTGACACCTCGAGAGGCACGCAGAGTTTATTGCTTCAAAAGGTGACGATGCCTGACTCCTCTTGAATACTTATAGGAATCCCAAAATCCCTGTTGCTACTGGAAAGGGTCCTTGGGTGCCCTGGCTCACCTCGAGAAGCGTCCCCTTTGCCCTGCCAAGCCTCGAAGAGATTGCTGAGGTGTCCCTCGTTACTAGACAGGAGTCCTGACGTCACTGAAGAAACTCGTGTTTTGAAGGGCCATCCCCGCCGTAAGTCGAGAACATACCCCAGGTCCCCGCCGCAACTCGAGAAAAACCATGAGACTTCCCCCTATAGGCGAGATGAGGCCCCATTCCCCTGCAGTGCATGCAGAGCTATTCCGTGATCCCATTCAAACAAGTCAGGAGCTTCGACTTGCTTAATGGATCTCGAGACAGTCCCCAAGAACACTGTCACCAGTCTAGACGGACCCTGAGGTCACCCCAGCAACGCAAAGCAGCTCCATGTGCCCCAAATCAACTCGAGATGAGGCCCGATTCCCCTGCATTGACTCCAGAGCCATTCCCCGTTCCCCGTTCAACACGAACGGAGGCTCGCCTTCCTTCAGGCAACTCCAGAGATGCCCCGAGAACACTGTCCCAAGTCTAGAGGAACACCAACTTCAGCACAGCAACTCGAGGAATGCTCTGTGTACCCCAAATCGTCTCGAGATGAGAGCTGATTCCCTGGCTTAGGCTCAAGACGTATGCCAACTTTCCAGAAGCACCTCAGGAGGAGGCTTCTCAGCAATAGGTATGTGGGAGGGACTCCGAGTTTGCTGCCTCAAGGGGAATATACATCGAGAAGCCCTAACTTGAAAGGAGGCCGGATTTCCTTGCAGTAGCTTGAATACAGGCTTGTCTTTCATCTCACAACATGAAGGGATGTCTGAATCCCCTGTGGAGACCTTAGAGAAAGCCCTAGGTCCCTGCCTCATTTTGACGGAATGCCTCACATCCCGCTGACACCTCGAGAGGCACGCGGAGTTCATTGCTTCAAAAGGTGACGATGCCTGACTCCTCTTGAATACTGATAGGAATCCCAAAATCCCTGTGGCTACTGGAAAGGGTCCTTGGGTGCCCTGCCTCACCTCGAGAAGCGTCCCTTTTGCCCTGCCAAGCCTCGAAGAGATTGCTGAGGTGTCCCTCGTTACTAGGCAGGAGTCCTGACGTCACTGGAGAAACTCGTGTTTTGAAGGGCCATCCCCGCCGTAAGTCGAGAACATACCCCAGGTCCCCGCTGCAACTCGAGAAAAACCGTGAGACTTCCCCCTAGAGGCGAGATGAGGCCCCATTCCCCTGCAGTGCATGCAGAGCTATTCCGTGATCCCATTCAAACAAGTCAGGAGCTTCGACTTGGTTAATGGATCTCGAGACAGTCCCCAAGAACACTGTCACCAGTCTAGACGGACCCTGAGGTCACCCAGCAATGCAAAGCAGCTCCATGTGCCCCAAAACACCTCGAGATGAGGCCGGATTCCCCTGCATTGACTCCAGAGCCATTCCCCGTTCCCCATTCAACACGACCGGTGGCTCGACTTCCGTCAGGCAACTCCAGAGATGCCCCGAGAACACTGTCACAAGTCTAGAGGAACACCAACTTCAGCACAGCAACTCGAGGAATGCTCCGTGTACCCCAAATCATCTCGAGATGAGAGCTGATTCCCTGGCTTAGGCTCAAGACGTATTCCAACTTTCCAGAAGCACCTCAGGAGGAGGCTTCTCTCAGCAATAGGTATGTGGGAGGGACCCCGAGTTTGCTGCCTCAAGGGGAATACAGAGGGAGAAGCCCTAATGTGAACGGAGGCCAGATTTCCTTGCAGTGGCTTGAATACAGGCTCGTCTTTGATCTGACAACATGAAGGGATGTCTGAATCCGCTGTGGAGACCTTAGAGGAAGCCCTAGGTCCCTGCCTCATTTTGACGGAATACCTCACATCCCCCTGACACCTCGAGAGGCACGCAGAGTTCATTGCTTGAAAAGGTGACGATGCCTGACTCCTCTTGAATACTTATAGTAATCCCAAAATCCCTGTGGCTCCTGGAAAGGGTCCTTGGGTGCCCTGGCTCACCTCGAGAAGCGTCCCATTTGCCCTGCCAAGCCTCGAAGAGATTGCTGAGGTGTCCCTCATTACTAGACAGGAGTCCTGACGTCACGGAAGAAACTCGTGTTTTGAAGGGCCATCCCCGCCATAAGTCGAGAACATACCCCAGGTCCCCGCCGCAACTCGAGAAAAACCATGAGACTTCCCCCTAGAGGCGAGATGAGGCCCCATTCCCCTGCAGTGCATGCAGAGCTATTCCGTGATCCCATTCAAACAAGTCAGGAGCTTCGACTTGCTTAATGGATCTCGAGACAGTCCCCAAGAACACTGTCACCAGTCTAGACGGACCCTGAGGTCACCCCAGCAACGCAAAGCAGCTCCATGTGCCCCAAATCAACTCGAGATGAGGCCCGATTCCCCTGCATTGACTCCAGAGCCATTCCCGTTCCCCGTTCAACACGAACGGAGGCTCGCCTTCCTTCAGGCAACTCCAGAGATGCCCCGAGAACACTGTCCCAAGTCTAGAGGAACACCAACTTCAGCACAGCAACTCGAGGAATGCTCTGTGTACCGCAAATCGTCTCGAGATGAGAGCTGATTCCCTGGCTTAGGCTCAAGACGTATGCCACCTTTCCAGAAGCACCTCAGGAGGAGGCTTCTCAGCAATAGGTATGTGGGAGGGACTCCGAGTTTGCTGCCTCAAGGGGAATATACATCGAGAAGCCCTAACTTGAAAGGAGGCCGGATTTCCTTGCAGTAGCTTGAATACAGGCTTGTCTTTGACCAGACAACATGAAGGGATGTCTGAATCCCCTGTGGAGACCTTAGAGAAAGCCCTAGGTCCCTGCCTCATTTTGACGGAATGCCTCACATCCCGCTGACACCTCGAGAGGCACGCGGAGTTCATTGCTTCAAAAGGTGACGATGCCTGACTCCTCTTGAATACTGATAGGAATCCCAAAATTCCTGTGGCTACTGGAAAGGGTCCTTGGGTGCCTTGCCTCACCTCGAGAAGCGTCCCTTTTGCCCTTCCAAGCCTCGAAGAGATTCCTGAGGTGTCCCTCATTACTAGGCAGGAGTCCTGATGTCACTGAAGAAACTCGTGTTTTGAAGGGCCATCCCCGCCGTAAGTCGAGAACATACCCCCTGTCCCCGCCGCAACTCGAGAAAAACCATGAGACTTCCCCCTAGAGGCGAGATGAGGCCCCATTCCCCTGCAGTGCATGCAGAGCTATTCCGTGATCCCATTCAAACAAGTCAGGAGCTTCGACTTGCTTAATGGATCTCGAGACAGTCCCCAAGAACACTTTCACCAGTATAGACGGACCCTGAGGTCACCCCAGCAACGCAAAGCTGCTCCATGTGCCCCAAATCAACTCGAGATGAGGCCCGATTCCCCTGCATTGACTCCAGAGCCATTCCCCGTTCCCCATTCAACACGACCGGTGGCTCGACTTCCTTCAGGCAACTCCAGAGATGCCCAGAGAACACTTTCCCAAGTCTAGAGGAACACCAGCTTCAGCACAGCAACTCGAGGAATGCTCCGAGTACCCCAAATCATCTCGAGATGAGAGCTGATTCCCTGGCTTAGGCTCAAGACGTATGCCAACTTTCCAGAAGCACCTCAGGAGGAGGCTTCTCTCAGCAATAGGTATGTGGGAGGGACCCCGAGTTTGCTGCCTCAAGGGGAATATACAGCGAGAAGCCCTAACTTGAAAGGAGGCCGGATTTCCTTGCAGTGGCTTGAATACAGGGTCGTCTTTGATCTGACAACATGAAGGGATGTCTGAATCCCCTGTGGAGACCTTAGAGAAAGCCCTAGGTCCCTGCCTCATTTTGACGGAATGCCTCACATCCCGCTGACACCTCGAGAGGCAAGCGGAGTTCATTGCTTCAAAAGGTGACGATGCCTGACTCCTCTTGAATACTGATAGGAATCCCAAAATCCCTGTGGCTACTGGAAAGGGTCCTTGGGTGTCCTGCCTCACCTCGAGAAGCGTCCCTTTTGCCCTGCCAAGCCTCGAAGAGATTCCTGAGGTGTCCCTCGTTACTAGACAGGAGTCCTGACGTCACTGAAGAAACTCGTGTTTTGAAGGGCCATCCCCGCCGTAAGTCGAGAACATACCCCCTGTCCCCGCCGCAACTCGAGAAAAACCATGAGACTTCCCCCTAGAGGCGAGATGAGGCCCCATTCCCCTGCAGTGCATGCAGAGCTATTCCGTGATCCCATTCAAACAAGTCAGGAGCTTCGACTTGCTTAATGGATCTCGAGACAGTCCCCAAGAACACTGTCACCAGTCTAGACGGACCCTGAGGTCACCCCAGCAACGCAAAGCTGCTCCATGTGCCCCAAATCAACTCGAGATGAGGCCCGATTCCCCTGCATTGACTCCAGAGCCATTCCCCGTTCCCCGTTCAACACGACCGGTGGCTCGACTTCCTTCAGGCAACTCCAGAGATGCCCAGAGAACACTTTCCCAAGTCTAGAGGAACACCAGCTTCAGCACAGCAACTCGAGGAATGCTCTGAGTACCCAAATCATCTCGAGATGAGAGCTGATTCCCTGGCTTAGGCTCAAGACGTATGCCAACTTTCCAGAAGCACCTCAGGAGGAGGCTTCTCTCAGCAATAGGTATGTGGGAGGGACGCCGAGTTTGCTGCCTCAAGGGGAATATACAGCGAGAATCCCTAACTTGAAAGGAGGCCGGATTTCCTTGCAGTGGCTTGAATACAGGCTCGTCTTTGATCTGACAACATGAAGGGATGTCTGAATCCCCTGTGGAGACCTTAGAGAAAGCCCTAGGTCCCTGCCTCATTTTGACGGAATGCCTCACATCCCGCTGACACCTCGAGAGGCACGCGGAGTTCATTGCTTCAAAAGGTGACGATGCCTGACTCCTCTTGAATACTGATAGGAATCCCAAAATCCCTGTGGCTACTGGAAAGGGTCCTTGGGTGTCCTGCCTCACCTCGAGAAGCGTCCCTTTTGCCCTGCCAAGCCTCGAAGAGATTCCTGAGGTGTCCCTCGTTATTAGGCAGGAGTCCTGACGTCACTGGAGAAACTGGTGTTTTGAAGGGCCATCCCCGCCGTAAGTCGAGAACATACCCCAGGTCCCCGCCGCACCTCGAGAAAAACCGCGAGACTTCGCCCTAGAGGCGAGATGAGGCCCCATTCCCCTGCAGTGCATGCAGAGCTATTCCGTGATCCCATTCAAACAAGTCAGGAGCTTCGACTTGCTTAATGGATCTCGAGACAGTCCCCAAGAACACTGTCACCAGTCTAGACGGACCCTGAGGTCACCCCAGCAACCCAAAGCTGCTCCATGTGCCCCAAATCAACTCGAGATGAGGCCCGATTCCCCTGCATTGACTCCAGAGCCATTCCCCGTTCCCCATTCAAGAAGACCGGTGGCTCGACTTCCTTCAGGCAACTCCAGAGATGCCCCGAGAACACTGTCCCAAGTCTAGAGGAACACCAACTTCAACACAGCAACTCGAGGAATGCTCCGTGTACCCCAAATCATCTCGAGATGAGAGCTGATTCCCTGGCTTAGGCTCAAGACGTATGCCAACTTTCCAGAAGCATCTCAGGAGGAGGCTTCTCTCAGCAATAGGTATGTGGGAGGGACCTCGTGTTTGCTGCCTCAAGGGGAATACACAGGGAGAAGCCCTAATGTGATCGGAGGCCAGATTTCCCTGCAGAGGGTTGAATACAGGCTCGTCTTTGATCTGACAACATTAAGGGATGTCTGAATACCCTGTGGAGAACTTAGAGGAAGCCCTAGGTCCCTGCCTCATTTTGACGGAATACCTCACATCCCCCTGACACCTCGAGAGGCACGCAGAGTTTATTGCTTCAAAAGGTGACGATGCCTGACTCCTCTTGAATACTTATAGGAATCCCAAAATCCCTGTTGCTACTGGAAAAGGTCCTTGGGTGCCCTGGCTCACCTCGAGAAGCGTCCCCTTTGCCCTGCCAAGCCTCGAAGAGATTGCTGAGGTGTCCCTCGTTACTAGACAGGAGTCCTGACGTCACTGAAGAAACTCGTGTTTTGAAGGGCCATCCCCGCCGTAAGTCGAGAACATACCCCAGGTCCCCGCCGCAACTCGAGAAAAACCATGAGACTTCCCCCTATAGGCGAGATGAGGCCCCATTCCCCTGCAGTGCATGCAGAGCTATTCCGTGATCCCATTCAAACAAGTCAGGAGCTTCGACTTGCTTAATGGATCTCGAGACAGTCCCCAAGAACACTGTCACCAGTCTAGACGGACCCTGAGGTCACCCCAGCAACGCAAAGCAGCTCCATGTGCCCCAGATCAACTCGAGATGAGGCCCGATTCCCCTGCATTGACTCCAGAGCCATTCCCCGTTCCCCGTTCAACACGAACGGAGGCTCGCCTTCCTTCAGGCAACTCCAGAGATGCCCCGAGAACACTGTCCCAAGTCTAGAGGAACACCAACTTCAGCACAGCAACTCGAGGAATGCTCTGTGTACCCCAAATCGTCTCGAGATGAGAGCTGATTCCCTGGCTTAGGCTCAAGACGTATGCCAACTTTCCAGAAGCACCTCAGGAGGAGGCTTCTCAGCAATAGGTATGTGGGAGGGACTCCGAGTTTGCTGCCTCAAGGGGAATATACATCGAGAAGCCCTAACTTGAAAGGAGGCCGGATTTCCTTGCAGTAGCTTGAATACAGGCTTGTCTTTCATCTCACAACATGAAGGGATGTCTGAATCCCCTGTGGAGACCTTAGAGAAAGCCCTAGGTCCCTGCCTCATTTTGACGGAATGCCTCACATCCCGCTGACACCTCGAGAGGCACGCGGAGTTCATTGCTTCAAAAGGTGACGATGCCTGACTCCTCTTGAATACTGATAGGAATCCCAAAATCCCTGTGGCTACTGGAAAGGGTCCTTGGGTGCCCTGCCTCACCTCGAGAAGCGTCCCTTTTGCCCTGCCAAGCCTCGAAGAGATTGCTGAGGTGTCCCTCGTTACTAGGCAGGAGTCCTGACGTCACTGGAGAAACTCGTGTTTTGAAGGGCCATCCCCGCCGTAAGTCGAGAACATACCCCAGGTCCCCGCCGCAACTCGAGAAAAACCGTGAGACTTCCCCCTAGAGGCGAGATGAGGCCCCATTCCCCTGCAGTGCATGCAGAGCTATTCCGTGATCCCATTCAAACAAGTCAGGAGCTTCGACTTGGTTAATGGATCTCGAGACAGTCCCCAAGAACACTGTCACCAGTCTAGACGGACCCTGAGGTCACCCAGCAATGCAAAGCAGCTCCATGTGCCCCAAAACACCTCGAGATGAGGCCGGATTCCCCTGCATTGACTCCAGAGCCATTCCCCGTTCCCCATTCAACACGACCGGTGGCTCGACTTCCTTCAGGCAACTCCAGAGATGCCCCGAGAACACTGTCACAAGTCTAGAGGAACACCAACTTCAGCAGAGCAACTCGAGGAATGCTCCGTGTACCCCAAATCATCTCGAGATGAGAGCTGATTCCCTGGCTTAGGCTCAAGACGTATTCCAACTTTCCAGAAGCACCTCAGGAGGAGGCTTCTCTCAGCAATAGGTATGTGGGAGGGACCCCGAGTTTGCTGCCTCAAGGGGAATACACAGGGAGAAGCCCTAATGTGAACGGAGGCCAGATATCCTTGCAGTGGCTTGAATACAGGCTCGTCTTTGATCTGACAACATGAAGGGATGTCTGAATCCGCTGTGGAGACCTTAGAGGAAGCCCTAGGTCCCTGCCTCATTTTGACGGAATACCTCACATCCCCCTGACACCTCGAGAGGCACGCAGAGTTCATTGCTTGAAAAGGTGACGATGCCTGACTCCTCTTGAATACTTATAGTAATCCCAAAATCCCTGTGGCTCCTGGAAAGGGTCCTTGGGTGCCCTGGCTCACCTCGAGAAGCGTCGCTTTTGCCCTGCCAAGCCTCGAAGAGATTGCTGAGGTGTCCCTCATTACTAGACAGGAGTCCTGACGTCACGGAAGAAACTCGTGTTTTGAAGGGCCATCCCCGCCATAAGTCGAGAACATACCCCAGGTCCCCGCCGCAACTCGAGAAAAACCATGAGACTTCCCCCTAGAGGCGAGATGAGGCCCCATTACCCTGCAGTGCATGCAGAGCTATTCCGTGATCCCATTCAAACAAGTCAGGAGCTTCGACTTGCTTAATGGATCTCGAGACAGTCCCCAAGAACACTGTCACCAGTCTAGACGGACCCTGAGGTCACCCCAGCAACGCAAAGCAGCTCCATGTGCCCCAAATCAACTCGAGATGAGGCCCGATTCCCCTGCATTGACTCCAGAGCCATTCCCGTTCCCCGTTCAACACGAACGGAGGCTCGCCTTCCTTCAGGCAACTCCAGAGATGCCCCGAGAACACTGTCCCAAGTCTAGAGGAACACCAACTTCAGCACAGCAACTCGAGGAATGCTCTGTGTACCGCAAATCGTCTCGAGATGAGAGCTGATTCCCTGGCTTAGGCTCAAGACGTATGCCAACTTTCCAGAAGCACCTCAGGAGGAGGCTTCTCAGCAATAGGTATGTGGGAGGGACTCCGAGTTTGCTGCCTCAAGGGGAATATACATCGAGAAGCCCTAACTTGAAAGGAGGCCGGATTTCCTTGCAGTAGCTTGAATACAGGCTTGTCTTTCATCTCACAACATGAAGGGATGTCTGAATCCCCTGTGGAGACCTTAGAGAAAGCCCTAGGTCCCTGCCTCATTTTGACGGAATGCCTCACATCCCGCTGACACCTCGAGAGGCACGCGGAGTTCATTGCTTCAAAAGGTGACGATGCCTGACTCCTCTTGAATACTGATAGGAATCCCAAAATCCCTGTGGCTACTGGAAAGGGTCCTTGGGTGCCCTGCCTCACCTCGAGAAGCGTCCCTTTTGCCCTGCCAAGCCTCGAAGAGATTGCTGAGGTGTCCCTCGTTACTAGGCAGGAGTCCTGACGTCACTGGAGAAACTCGTGTTTTGAAGGGCCATCCCCGCCGTAAGTCGAGAACATACCCCAGGTCCCCGCTGCAACTCGAGAAAAACCGTGAGACTTCCCCCTAGAGGCGAGATGAGGCCCCATTCCCCTGCAGTGCATGCAGAGCTATTCCGTGATCCCATTCAAACAAGTCAGGAGCTTCGACTTGGTTAATGGATCTCGAGACAGTCCCCAAGAACACTGTCACCAGTCTAGACGGACCCTGAGGTCACCCAGCAATGCAAAGCAGCTCCATGTGCCCCAAAACACCTCGAGATGAGGCCGGATTCCCCTGCATTGACTCCAGAGCCATTCCCCGTTCCCCATTCAACACGACCGGTGGCTCGACTTCCTTCAGGCAACTCCAGAGATGCCCCGAGAACACTGTCACAAGTCTAGAGGAACACCAACTTCAGCACAGCAACTCGAGGAATGCTCCGTGTACCCCAAATCATCTCGAGATGAGAGCTGATTCCCTGGCTTAGGCTCAAGACGTATTCCAACTTTCCAGAAGCACCTCAGGAGGAGGCTTCTCTCAGCAATAGGTATGTGGGAGGGACCCCGAGTTTGCTGCCTCAAGGGGAATACACAGGGAGAAGCCCTAATGTGAACGGAGGCCAGATTTCCTTGCAGTGGCTTGAATACAGGCTCGTCTTTGATCTGACAACATGAAGGGATGTCTAAATCCGCTGTGTAGACCTTAGAGGAAGCCCTAGGTCCCTGCCTCATTTTGACGGAATACCTCACATCCCCCTGACACCTCGAGAGGCACGCAGAGTTCATTGCTTGAAAAGGTGACGATGCCTGACTCCTCTTGAATACTTATAGTAATCCCAAAATCCCTGTGGCTCCTGGAAAGGGTCCTTGGGTGCCCTGGCTCACCTCGAGAAGCGTCCCATTTGCCCTGCCAAGCCTCGAAGAGATTGCTGAGGTGTCCCTCATTACTAGACAGGAGTCCTGACGTCACGGAAGAAACTCGTGTTTTGAAGGGCCATCCCCGCCATAAGTCGAGAACATACCCCAGGTCCCCGCCGCAACTCGAGAAAAACCATGAGACTTCCCCCTAGAGGCGAGATGAGGCCCCATTCCCCTGCAGTGCATGCAGAGCTATTCCGTGATCCCATTCAAACAAGTCAGGAGCTTCGACTTGCTTAATGGATCTCGAGACAGTCCCCAAGAACACTGTCACCAGTCTAGACGGACCCTGAGGTCACCCCAGCAACGCAAAGCAGCTCCATGTGCCCCAAATCAACTCGAGATGAGGCCCGATTCCCCTGCATTGACTCCAGAGCCATTCCCGTTCCCCGTTCAACACGAACGGAGGCTCGCCTTCCTTCAGGCAACTCCAGAGATGCCCCGAGAACACTGTCCCAAGTCTAGAGGAACACCAACTTCAGCACAGCAACTCGAGGAATGCTCTGTGTACCGCAAATCGTCTCGAGATGAGAGCTGATTCCCTGGCTTAGGCTCAAGACGTATGCCACCTTTCCAGAAGCACCTCAGGAGGAGGCTTCTCAGCAATAGGTATGTGGGAGGGACTCCGAGTTTGCTGCCTCAAGGGGAATATACATCGAGAAGCCCTAACTTGAAAGGAGGCCGGATTTCCTTGCAGTAGCTTGAATACAGGCTTGTCTTTGACCAGACAACATGAAGGGATGTCTGAATCCCCTGTGGAGACCTTAGAGAAAGCCCTAGGTCCCTGCCTCATTTTGACGGAATGCCTCACATCCCGCTGACACCTCGAGAGGCACGCGGAGTTCATTGCTTCAAAAGGTGACGATGCCTGACTCCTCTTGAATACTGATAGGAATCCCAAAATTCCTGTGGCTACTGGAAAGGGTCCTTGGGTGCCTTGCCTCACCTCGAGAAGCGTCCCTTTTGCCCTTCCAAGCCTCGAAGAGATTCCTGAGGTGTCCCTCATTACTAGGCAGGAGTCCTGATGTCACTGAAGAAACTCGTGTTTTGAAGGGCCATCCCCGCCGTAAGTCGAGAACATACCCCCGGTCCCCGCCGCAACTCGAGAAAAACCATGAGACTTCCCCCTAGAGGCGAGATGAGGCCCCATTCCCCTGCAGTGCATGCAGAGCTATTCCGTGATCCCATTCAAACAAGTCAGGAGCTTCGACTTGCTTAATGGATCTCGAGACAGTCCCCAAGAACACTTTCACCAGTCTAGACGGACCCTGAGGTCACCCCAGCAACGCAAAGCTGCTCCATGTGCCCCAAATCAACTCGAGATGAGGCCCGATTCCCCTGCATTGACTCCAGAGCCATTCCCCGTTCCCCGTTCAACACGACCGGTGGCTCGACTTCCTTCAGGCAACTCCAGAGATGCCCAGAGAACACTTTCCCAAGTCTAGAGGAACACCAGCTTCAGCACAGCAACTCGAGGAATGCTCTGAGTACCCCAAATCATCTCGAGATGAGAGCTGATTCCCTGGCTTAGGCTCAAGACGTATGCCAACTTTCCAGAAGCACCTCAGGAGGAGGCTTCTCTCAGCAATAGGTATGTGGGAGGGACGCCGAGTTTGCTGCCTCAAGGGGAATATACAGCGAGAAGCCCTAACTTGAAAGGAGGCCGGATTTCCTTGCAGTGGCTTGAATACAGGCTCGTCTTTGATCTGACAACATGAAGGGATGTCTGAATCCCCTGTGGAGACCTTAGAGAAAGCCCTAGGTCCCTGCCTCATTTTGACGGAATGCCTCACATCCCGCTGACACCTCGAGAGGCACGCGGAGTTCATTGCTTCAAAAGGTGACGATGCCTGACTCCTCTTGAATACTGATAGGAATCCCAAAATCCCTGTGGCTACTGGAAAGGGTCCTTGGGTGTCCTGCCTCACCTCGAGAAGCGTCCCTTTTGCCCTGCCAAGCCTCGAAGAGATTCCTGAGGTGTCCCTCGTTATTAGGCAGGAATCCTGACGTCACTGGAGAAACTGGTGTTTTGAAGGGCCATCCCCGCCGTAAGTCGAGAACATACCCCAGGTCCCCGCCGCACCTCGAGAAAAACCGCGAGACTTCGCCCTAGAGGCGAGATGAGGCCCCATTCCCCTGCAGTGCATGCAGAGCTATTCCGTGATCCCATTCAAACAAGTCAGGAGCTTCGACTTGCTTAATGGATCTCGAGACAGTCCCCAAGAACACTGTCACCAGTCTAGACGGACCCTGAGGTCACCCCAGCAACCCAAAGCTGCTCCATGTGCCCCAAATCAACTCGAGATGAGGCCCGATTCCCCTGCATTGACTCCAGAGCCATTCCCCGTTCCCCATTCAAGAAGACCGGTGGCTCGACTTCCTTCAGGCAACTCCAGAGATGCCCCGAGAACACTGTCCCAAGTCTAGAGGAACACCAACTTCAACACAGCAACTCGAGGAATGCTCCGTGTACCCCAAATCATCTCGAGATGAGAGCTGATTCCCTGGCTTAGGCTCAAGACGTATGCCAACTTTCCAGAAGCACCTCAGGAGGAGGCTTCTCTCAGCAATAGGTATGTGGGAGGGACCTCGTGTTTGCTGCCTCAAGGGGAATACACAGGGAGAAGCCCTAATGTGATCGGAGGCCAGATTTCCCTGCAGAGGGTTGAATACAGGCTCGTCTTTGATCTGACAACATTAAGGGATGTCTGAATACCCTGTGGAGACCTTAGAGGAAGCCCTAGGTCCCTGCCTCATTTTGACGGAATACCTCACATCCCCCTGACACCTCGAGAGGCACGCAGAGTTTATTGCTTCAAAAGGTGACGATGCCTGACTCCTCTTGAATACTTATAGGAATCCCAAAATCCCTGTTGCTACTGGAAAAGGTCCTTGGGTGCCCTGGCTCACCTCGAGAAGCGTCCCCTTTGCCCTGCCAAGCCTCGAAGAGATTGCTGAGGTGTCCCTCGTTACTAGACAGGAGTCCTGACGTCACTGAAGAAACTCGTGTTTTGAAGGGCCATCCCCGCCGTAAGTCGAGAACATACCCCAGGTCCCCGTCGCAACTCGAGAAAAACCATGAGACTTCCCCCTATAGGCGAGATGAGGCCCCATTCCCCTGCAGTGCATGCAGAGCTATTCCGTGATCCCATTCAAACAAGTCAGGAGCTTCGACTTGCTTAATGGATCTCGAGACAGTCCCCAAGAACACTGTCACCAGTCTAGACGGACCCTGAGGTCACCCCAGCAACGCAAAGCAGCTCCATGTGCCCCAGATCAACTCGAGATGAGGCCCGATTCCCCTGCATTGACTCCAGAGCCATTCCCCGTTCCCCGTTCAACACGAACGGAGGCTCGCCTTCCTTCAGGCAACTCCAGAGATGCCCCGAGAACACTGTCCCAAGTCTAGAGGAACACCAACTTCAGCACAGCAACTCGAGGAATGCTCTGTGTACCCCAAATCGTCTCGAGATGAGAGCTGATTCCCTGGCTTAGGCTCAAGACGTATGCCAACTTTCCAGAAGCACCTCAGGAGGAGGCTTCTCAGCAATAGGTATGTGGGAGGGACTCCGAGTTTGCTGCCTCAAGGGGAATATACATCGAGAAGCCCTAACTTGAAAGGAGGCCGGATTTCCTTGCAGTAGCTTGAATACAGGCTTGTCTTTCATCTCACAACATGAAGGGATGTCTGAATCCCCTGTGGAGACCTTAGAGAAAGCCCTAGGTCCCTGCCTCATTTTGACGGAATGCCTCACATCCCGCTGACACCTCGAGAGGCACGCGGAGTTCATTGCTTCAAAAGGTGACGATGCCTGACTCCTCTTGAATACTGATAGGAATCCCAAAATCCCTGTGGCTACTGGAAAGGGTCCTTGGGTGCCCTGCCTCACCTCGAGAAGCGTCCCTTTTGCCCTGCCAAGCCTCGAAGAGATTGCTGAGGTGTCCCTCGTTACTAGGCAGGAGTCCTGACGTCACTGGAGAAACTCGTGTTTTGAAGGGCCATCCCCGCCGTAAGTCGAGAACATACCCCAGGTCCCCGCCGCAACTCGAGAAAAACCGTGAGACTTCCCCCTAGAGGCGAGATGAGGCCCCATTCCCCTGCAGTGCATGCAGAGCTATTCCGTGATCCCATTCAAACAAGTCAGGAGCTTCGACTTGGTTAATGGATCTCGAGACAGTCCCCAAGAACACTGTCACCAGTCTAGACGGACCCTGAGGTCACCCAGCAATGCAAAGCAGCTCCATGTGCCCCAAAACAACTCGAGATGAGGCCGGATTCCCCTGCATTGACTCCAGAGCCATTCCCCGTTCCCCATTCAACACGACCGGTGGCTCGACTTCCTTCAGGCAACTCCAGAGATGCCCCGAGAACACTGTCACAAGTCTAGAGGAACACCAACTTCAGCAGAGCAACTCGAGGAATGCTCCGTGTACCCCAAATCATCTCGAGATGAGAGCTGATTCCCTGGCTTAGGCTCAAGACGTATTCCAACTTTCCAGAAGCACCTCAGGAGGAGGCTTCTCTCAGCAATAGGTATGTGGGAGGGACCCCGAGTTTGCTGCCTCAAGGGGAATACACAGGGAGAAGCCCTAATGTGAACGGAGGCCAGATATCCTTGCAGTGGCTTGAATACAGGCTCGTCTTTGATCTGACAACATGAAGGGATGTCTGAATCCGCTGTGGAGACCTTAGAGGAAGCCCTAGGTCCCTGCCTCATTTTGACGGAATACCTCACATCCCCCTGACACCTCGAGAGGCACGCAGAGTTCATTGCTTGAAAAGGTGACGATGCCTGACTCCTCTTGAATACTTATAGTAATCCCAAAATCCCTGTGGCTCCTGGAAAGGGTCCTTGGGTGCCCTGGCTCACCTCGAGAAGCGTCGCTTTTGCCCTGCCAAGCCTCGAAGAGATTGCTGAGGTGTCCCTCATTACTAGACAGGAGTCCTGACGTCACGGAAGAAACTCGTGTTTTGAAGGGCCATCCCCGCCATAAGTCGAGAACATACCCCAGGTCCCCGCCGCAACTCGAGAAAAACCATGAGACTTCCCCCTAGAGGCGAGATGAGGCCCCATTACCCTGCAGTGCATGCAGAGCTATTCCGTGATCCCATTCAAACAAGTCAGGAGCTTCGACTTGCTTAATGGATCTCGAGACAGTCCCCAAGAACACTGTCACCAGTCTAGACGGACCCTGAGGTCACCCCAGCAACGCAAAGCAGCTCCATGTGCCCCAAATCAACTCGAGATGAGGCCCGATTCCCCTGCATTGACTCCAGAGCCATTCCCGTTCCCCGTTCAACACGAACGGAGGCTCGCCTTCCTTCAGGCAACTCCAGAGATGCCCCGAGAACACTGTCCCAAGTCTAGAGGAACACCAACTTCAGCACAGCAACTCGAGGAATGCTCTGTGTACCGCAAATCGTCTCGAGATGAGAGCTGATTCCCTGGCTTAGGCTCAAGACGTATGCCAACTTTCCAGAAGCACCTCAGGAGGAGGCTTCTCAGCAATAGGTATGTGGGAGGGACTCCGAGTTTGCTGCCTCAAGGGGAATATACATCGAGAAGCCCTAACTTGAAAGGAGGCCGGATTTCCTTGCAGTAGCTTGAATACAGGCTTGTCTTTCATCTCACAACATGAAGGGATGTCTGAATCCCCTGTGGAGACCTTAGAGAAAGCCCTAGGTCCCTGCCTCATTTTGACGGAATGCCTCACATCCCGCTGACACCTCGAGAGGCACGCGGAGTTCATTGCTTCAAAAGGTGACGATGCCTGACTCCTCTTGAATACTGATAGGAATCCCAAAATCCCTGTGGCTACTGGAAAGGGTCCTTGGGTGCCCTGGCTCACCTCGAGAAGCGTCCCTTTTGCCCTGCCAAGCCTCGAAGAGATTGCTGAGGTGTCCCTCGTTACTAGGCAGGAGTCCTGACGTCACTGGAGAAACTCGTGTTTTGAAGGGCCATCCCCGCCGTAAGTCGAGAACATACCCCAGGTCCCCGCTGCAACTCGAGAAAAACCGTGAGACTTCCCCCTAGAGGCGAGATGAGGCCCCATTCCCCTGCAGTGCATGCAGAGCTATTCCGTGATCCCATTCAAACAAGTCAGGAGCTTCGACTTGGTTAATGGATCTCGAGACAGTCCCCAAGAACACTGTCACCAGTCTAGACGGACCCTGAGGTCACCCAGCAATGCAAAGCAGCTCCATGTGCCCCAAAACACCTCGAGATGAGGCCGGATTCCCCTGCATTGACTCCAGAGCCATTCCCCGTTCCCCATTCAACACGACCGGTGGCTCGACTTCCTTCAGGCAACTCCAGAGATGCCCCGAGAACACTGTCACAAGTCTAGAGGAACACCAACTTCAGCACAGCAACTCGAGGAATGCTCCGTGTACCCCAAATCATCTCGAGATGAGAGCTGATTCCCTGGCTTAGGCTCAAGACGTATTCCAACTTTCCAGAAGCACCTCAGGAGGAGGCTTCTCTCAGCAATAGGTATGTGGGAGGGACCCCGAGTTTGCTGCCTCAAGGGGAATACACAGGGAGAAGCCCTAATGTGAACGGAGGCCAGATTTCCTTGCAGTGGCTTGAATACAGGCTCGTCTTTGATCTGACAACATGAAGGGATGTCTGAATCCGCTGTGGAGACCTTAGAGGAAGCCCTAGGTCCCTGCCTCATTTTGACGGAATACCTCACATCCCCCTGACACCTCGAGAGGCACGCAGAGTTCACTGCTTGAAAAGGTGACGATGCCTGACTCCTCTTGAATACTTATAGTAATCCCAAAATCCCTGTGGCTCCTGGAAAGGGTCCTTGGGTGCCCTGGCTCACCTCGAGAAGCGTCCCATTTGCCCTGCCAAGCCTCGAAGAGATTGCTGAGGTGTCCCTCATTACTAGACAGGAGTCCTGACGTCACGGAAGAAACTCGTGTTTTGAAGGGCCATCCCCGCCATAAGTCGAGAACATACCCCAGGTCCCCGCCGCAACTCGAGAAAAACCATGAGACTTCCCCCTAGAGGCGAGATGAGGCCCCATTCCCCTGCAGTGCATGCAGAGCTATTCCGTGATCCCATTCAAACAAGTCAGGAGCTTCGACTTGCTTAATGGATCTCGAGACAGTCCCCAAGAACACTGTCACCAGTCTAGACGGACCCTGAGGTCACCCCAGCAACGCAAAGCAGCTCCATGTGCCCCAAATCAACTCGAGATGAGGCCCGATTCCCCTGCATTGACTCCAGAGCCATTCCCGTTCCCCGTTCAACACGAACGGAGGCTCGCCTTCCTTCAGGCAACTCCAGAGATGCCCCGAGAACACTGTCCCAAGTCTAGAGGAACACCAACTTCAGCACAGCAACTCGAGGAATGCTCTGTGTACCGCAAATCGTCTCGAGATGAGAGCTGATTCCCTGGCTTAGGCTCAAGACGTATGCCACCTTTCCAGAAGCACCTCAGGAGGAGGCTTCTCAGCAATAGGTATGTGGGAGGGACTCCGAGTTTGCTGCCTCAAGGGGAATATACATCGAGAAGCCCTAACTTGAAAGGAGGCCGGATTTCCTTGCAGTAGCTTGAATACAGGCTTGTCTTTGACCAGACAACATGAAGGGATGTCTGAATCCCCTGTGGAGACCTTAGAGAAAGCCCTAGGTCCCTGCCTCATTTTGACGGAATGCCTCACATCCCGCTGACACCTCGAGAGGCACGCGGAGTTCATTGCTTCAAAAGGTGACGATGCCTGACTCCTCTTGAATACTGATAGGAATCCCAAAATTCCTGTGGCTACTGGAAAGGGTCCTTGGGTGCCTTGCCTCACCTCGAGAAGCGTCCCTTTTGCCCTTCCAAGCCTCGAAGAGATTCCTGAGGTGTCCCTCATTACTAGGCAGGAGTCCTGATGTCACTGAAGAAACTCGTGTTTTGAAGGGCCATCCCCGCCGTAAGTCGAGAACATACCCCCGGTCCCCGCCGCAACTCGAGAAAAACCATGAGACTTCCCCCTAGAGGCGAGATGAGGCCCCATTCCCCTGCAGTGCATGCAGAGCTATTCCGTGATCCCATTCAAACAAGTCAGGAGCTTCGACTTGCTTAATGGATCTCGAGACAGTCCCCAAGAACACTTTCACCAGTCTAGACGGACCCTGAGGTCACCCCAGCAACGCAAAGCTGCTCCATGTGCCCCAAATCAACTCGAGATGAGGCCCGATTCCCCTGCATTGACTCCAGAGCCATTCCCCGTTCCCCGTTCAACACGACCGGTGGCTCGACTTCCTTCAGGCAACTCCAGAGATGCCCAGAGAACACTTTCCCAAGTCTAGAGGAACACCAGCTTCAGCACAGCAACTCGAGGAATGCTCTGAGTACCCCAAATCATCTCGAGATGAGAGCTGATTCCCTGGCTTAGGCTCAAGACGTATGCCAACTTTCCAGAAGCACCTCAGGAGGAGGCTTCTCTCAGCAATAGGTATGTGGGAGGGACGCCGAGTTTGCTGCCTCAAGGGGAATATACAGCGAGAAGCCCTAACTTGAAAGGAGGCCGGATTTCCTTGCAGTGGCTTGAATACAGGCTCGTCTTTGATCTGACAACATGAAGGGATGTCTGAATCCCCTGTGGAGACCTTAGAGAAAGCCCTAGGTCCCTGCCTCATTTTGACGGAATGCCTCACATCCCGCTGACACCTCGAGAGGCACGCGGAGTTCATTGCTTCAAAAGGTGACGATGCCTGACTCCTCTTGAATACTGATAGGAATCCCAAAATCCCTGTGGCTACTGGAAAGGGTCCTTGGGTGTCCTGCCTCACCTCGAGAAGCGTCCCTTTTGCCCTGCCAAGCCTCGAAGAGATTCCTGAGGTGTCCCTCGTTATTAGGCAGGAGTCCTGACGTCACTGGAGAAACTGGTGTTTTGAAGGGCCATCCCCGCCGTAAGTCGAGAACATACCCCAGGTCCCCGCCGCACCTCGAGAAAAACCGCGAGACTTCGCCCTAGAGGCGAGATGAGGCCCCATTCCCCTGCAGTGCATGCAGAGCTATTCCGTGATCCCATTCAAACAAGTCAGGAGCTTCGACTTGCTTAATGGATCTCGAGACAGTCCCCAAGAACACTGTCACCAGTCTAGACGGACCCTGAGGTCACCCCAGCAACCCAAAGCTGCTCCATGTGCCCCAAATCAACTCGAGATGAGGCCCGATTCCCCTGCATTGACTCCAGAGCCATTCCCCGTTCCCCATTCAAGAAGACCGGTGGCTCGACTTCCTTCAGGCAACTCCAGAGATGCCCCGAGAACACTGTCCCAAGTCTAGAGGAACACCAACTTCAACACAGCAACTCGAGGAATGCTCCGTGTACCCCAAATCATCTCGAGATGAGAGCTGATTCCCTGGCTTAGGCTCAAGACGTATGCCAACTTTCCAGAAGCACCTCAGGAGGAGGCTTCTCTCAGCAATAGGTATGTGGGAGGGACCTCGTGTTTGCTGCCTCAAGGGGAATACACAGGGAGAAGCCCTAATGTGATCGGAGGCCAGATTTCCCTGCAGAGGGTTGAATACAGGCTCGTCTTTGATCTGACAACATTAAGGGATGTCTGAATACCCTGTGGAGACCTTAGAGGAAGCCCTAGGTCCCTGCCTCATTTTGACGGAATACCTCACATCCCCCTGACACCTCGAGAGGCACGCAGAGTTTATTGCTTCAAAAGGTGACGATGCCTGACTCCTCTTGAATACTTATAGGAATCCCAAAATCCCTGTTGCTACTGGAAAAGGTCCTTGGGTGCCCTGGCTCACCTCGAGAAGCGTCCCCTTTGCCCTGCCAAGCCTCGAAGAGATTGCTGAGGTGTCCCTCGTTACTAGACAGGAGTCCTGACGTCACTGAAGAAACTCGTGTTTTGAAGGGCCATCCCCGCCGTAAGTCGAGAACATACCCCAGGTCCCCGCCGCAACTCGAGAAAAACCATGAGACTTCCCCCTATAGGCGAGATGAGGCCCCATTCCCCTGCAGTGCATGCAGAGCTATTCCGTGATCCCATTCAAACAAGTCAGGAGCTTCGACTTGCTTAATGGATCTCGAGACAGTCCCCAAGAACACTGTCACCAGTCTAGACGGACCCTGAGGTCACCCCAGCAACGCAAAGCAGCTCCATGTGCCCCAGATCAACTCGAGATGAGGCCCGATTCCCCTGCATTGACTCCAGAGCCATTCCCCGTTCCCCGTTCAACACGAACGGAGGCTCGCCTTCCTTCAGGCAACTCCAGAGATGCCCCGAGAACACTGTCCCAAGTCTAGAGGAACACCAACTTCAGCACAGCAACTCGAGGAATGCTCTGTGTACCCCAAATCGTCTCGAGATGAGAGCTGATTCCCTGGCTTAGGCTCAAGACGTATGCCAACTTTCCAGAAGCACCTCAGGAGGAGGCTTCTCAGCAATAGGTATGTGGGAGGGACTCCGAGTTTGCTGCCTCAAGGGGAATATACATCGAGAAGCCCTAACTTGAAAGGAGGCCGGATTTCCTTGCAGTAGCTTGAATACAGGCTTGTCTTTCATCTCACAACATGAAGGGATGTCTGAATCCCCTGTGGAGACCTTAGAGAAAGCCCTAGGTCCCTGCCTCATTTTGACGGAATGCCTCACATCCCGCTGACACCTCGAGAGGCACGCGGAGTTCATTGCTTCAAAAGGTGACGATGCCTGACTCCTCTTGAATACTGATAGGAATCCCAAAATCCCTGTGGCTACTGGAAAGGGTCCTTGGGTGCCCTGCCTCACCTCGAGAAGCGTCCCTTTTGCCCTGCCAAGCCTCGAAGAGATTGCTGAGGTGTCCCTCGTTACTAGGCAGGAGTCCTGACGTCACTGGAGAAACTCGTGTTTTGAAGGGCCATCCCCGCCGTAAGTCGAGAACATACCCCAGGTCCCCGCCGCAACTCGAGAAAAACCGTGAGACTTCCCCCTAGAGGCGAGATGAGGCCCCATTCCCCTGCAGTGCATGCAGAGCTATTCCGTGATCCCATTCAAACAAGTCAGGAGCTTCGACTTGGTTAATGGATCTCGAGACAGTCCCCAAGAACACTGTCACCAGTCTAGACGGACCCTGAGGTCACCCAGCAATGCAAAGCAGCTCCATGTGCCCCAAAACAACTCGAGATGAGGCCGGATTCCCCTGCATTGACTCCAGAGCCATTCCCCGTTCCCCATTCAACACGACCGGTGGCTCGACTTCCTTCAGGCAACTCCAGAGATGCCCCGAGAACACTGTCACAAGTCTAGAGGAACACCAACTTCAGCAGAGCAACTCGAGGAATGCTCCGTGTACCCCAAATCATCTCGAGATGAGAGCTGATTCCCTGGCTTAGGCTCAAGACGTATTCCAACTTTCCAGAAGCACCTCAGGAGGAGGCTTCTCTCAGCAATAGGTATGTGGGAGGGACCCCGAGTTTGCTGCCTCAAGGGGAATACACAGGGAGAAGCCCTAATGTGAACGGAGGCCAGATATCCTTGCAGTGGCTTGAATACAGGCTCGTCTTTGATCTGACAACATGAAGGGATGTCTGAATCCGCTGTGGAGACCTTAGAGGAAGCCCTAGGTCCCTGCCTCATTTTGACGGAATACCTCACATCCCCCTGACACCTCGAGAGGCACGCAGAGTTCATTGCTTGAAAAGGTGACGATGCCTGACTCCTCTTGAATACTTATAGTAATCCCAAAATCCCTGTGGCTCCTGGAAAGGGTCCTTGGGTGCCCTGGCTCACCTCGAGAAGCGTCGCTTTTGCCCTGCCAAGCCTCGAAGAGATTGCTGAGGTGTCCCTCATTACTAGACAGGAGTCCTGACGTCACGGAAGAAACTCGTGTTTTGAAGGGCCATCCCCGCCATAAGTCGAGAACATACCCCAGGTCCCCGCCGCAACTCGAGAAAAACCATGAGACTTCCCCCTAGAGGCGAGATGAGGCCCCATTACCCTGCAGTGCATGCAGAGCTATTCCGTGATCCCATTCAAACAAGTCAGGAGCTTCGACTTGCTTAATGGATCTCGAGACAGTCCCCAAGAACACTGTCACCAGTCTAGACGGACCCTGAGGTCACCCCAGCAACGCAAAGCAGCTCCATGTGCCCCAAATCAACTCGAGATGAGGCCCGATTCCCCTGCATTGACTCCAGAGCCATTCCCGTTCCCCGTTCAACACGAACGGAGGCTCGCCTTCCTTCAGGCAACTCCAGAGATGCCCCGAGAACACTGTCCCAAGTCTAGAGGAACACCAACTTCAGCACAGCAACTCGAGGAATGCTCTGTGTACCGCAAATCGTCTCGAGATGAGAGCTGATTCCCTGGCTTAGGCTCAAGACGTATGCCAACTTTCCAGAAGCACCTCAGGAGGAGGCTTCTCAGCAATAGGTATGTGGGAGGGACTCCGAGTTTGCTGCCTCAAGGGGAATATACATCGAGAAGCCCTAACTTGAAAGGAGGCCGGATTTCCTTGCAGTAGCTTGAATACAGGCTTGTCTTTCATCTCACAACATGAAGGGATGTCTGAATCCCCTGTGGAGACCTTAGAGAAAGCCCTAGGTCCCTGCCTCATTTTGACGGAATGCCTCACATCCCGCTGACACCTCGAGAGGCACGCGGAGTTCATTGCTTCAAAAGGTGACGATGCCTGACTCCTCTTGAATACTGATAGGAATCCCAAAATCCCTGTGGCTACTGGAAAGGGTCCTTGGGTGCCCTGCCTCACCTCGAGAAGCGTCCCTTTTGCCCTGCCAAGCCTCGAAGAGATTGCTGAGGTGTCCCTCGTTACTAGGCAGGAGTCCTGACGTCACTGGAGAAACTCGTGTTTTGAAGGGCCATCCCCGCCGTAAGTCGAGAACATACCCCAGGTCCCCGCTGCAACTCGAGAAAAACCGTGAGACTTCCCCCTAGAGGCGAGATGAGGCCCCATTCCCCTGCAGTGCATGCAGAGCTATTCCGTGATCCCATTCAAACAAGTCAGGAGCTTCGACTTGGTTAATGGATCTCGAGACAGTCCCCAAGAACACTGTCACCAGTCTAGACGGACCCTGAGGTCACCCAGCAATGCAAAGCAGCTCCATGTGCCCCAAAACACCTCGAGATGAGGCCGGATTCCCCTGCATTGACTCCAGAGCCATTCCCCGTTCCCCATTCAACACGACCGGTGGCTCGACTTCCTTCAGGCAACTCCAGAGATGCCCCGAGAACACTGTCCCAAGTCTAGAGGAACACCAACTTCAGCACAGCAACTCGAGGAATGCTCCGTGTACCCCAAATCATCTCGAGATGAGAGCTGATTCCCTGGCTTAGGCTCAAGACGTATTCCAACTTTCCAGAAGCACCTCAGGAGGAGGCTTCTCTCAGCAATAGGTATGTGGGAGGGACCCCGAGTTTGCTGCCTCAAGGGGAATACACAGGGAGAAGCCCTAATGTGAACGGAGGCCAGATTTCCTTGCAGTGGCTTGAATACAGGCTCGTCTTTGATCTGACAACATGAAGGGATGTCTGAATCCGCTGTGGAGACCTTAGAGGAAGCCCTAGGTCCCTGCCTCATTTTGACGGAATACCTCACATCCCCCTGACACCTCGAGAGGCACGCAGAGTTCATTGCTTGAAAAGGTGACGATGCCTGACTCCTCTTGAATACTTATAGTAATCCCAAAATCCCTGTGGCTCCTGGAAAGGGTCCTTGGGTGCCCTGGCTCACCTCGAGAAGCGTCCCTTTTGCCCTGCCAAGCCTCGAAGAGATTGCTGAGGTGTCCCTCATTACTAGACAGGAGTCCTGACGTCACGGAAGAAACTCGTGTTTTGAAGGGCCATCCCCGCCATAAGTCGAGAACATACCCCAGGTCCCCGCCGCAACTCGAGAAAAACCATGAGACTTCCCCCTAGAGGCGAGATGAGGCCCCATTACCCTGCAGTGCATGCAGAGCTATTCCGTGATCCCATTCAAACAAGTCAGGAGCTTCGACTTGCTTAATGGATCTCGAGACAGTCCCCAAGAACACTGTCACCAGTCTAGACGGACCCTGAGGTCACCCCAGCAACGCAAAGCAGCTCCATGTGCCCCAAATCAACTCGAGATGAGGCCCGATTCCCCTGCATTGACTCCAGAGCCATTCCCGTTCCCCGTTCAACACGAACGGAGGCTCGCCTTCCTTCAGGCAACTCCAGAGATGCCCCGAGAACACTGTCCCAAGTCTAGAGGAACACCAACTTCAGCACAGCAACTCGAGGAATGCTCTGTGTACCGCAAATCGTCTCGAGATGAGAGCTGATTCCCTGGCTTAGGCTCAAGACGTATGCCACCTTTCCAGAAGCACCTCAGGAGGAGGCTTCTCAGCAATAGGTATGTGGGAGGGACTCCGAGTTTGCTGCCTCAAGGGGAATATACATCGAGAAGCCCTAACTTGAAAGGAGGCCGGATTTCCTTGCAGTAGCTTGAATACAGGCTTGTCTTTGACCAGACAACATGAAGGGATGTCTGAATCCCCTGTGGAGACCTTAGAGAAAGCCCTAGGTCCCTGCCTCATTTTGACGGAATGCCTCACATCCCGCTGACACCTCGAGAGGCACGCGGAGTTCATTGCTTCAAAAGGTGACGATGCCTGACTCCTCTTGAATACTGATAGGAATCCCAAAATTCCTGTGGCTACTGGAAAGGGTCCTTGGGTGCCTTGCCTCACCTCGAGAAGCGTCCCTTTTGCCCTTCCAAGCCTCGAAGAGATTCCTGAGGTGTCCCTCATTACTAGGCAGGAGTCCTGATGTCACTGAAGAAACTCGTGTTTTGAAGGGCCATCCCCGCCGTAAGTCGAGAACATACCCCCTGTCCCCGCCGCAACTCGAGAAAAACCATGAGACTTCCCCCTAGAGGCGAGATGAGGCCCCATTCCCCTGCAGTGCATGCAGAGCTATTCCGTGATCCCATTCAAACAAGTCAGGAGCTTCGACTTGCTTAATGGATCTCGAGACAGTCCCCAAGAACACTTTCACCAGTATAGACGGACCCTGAGGTCACCCCAGCAACGCAAAGCTGCTCCATGTGCCCCAAATCAACTCGAGATGAGGCCCGATTCCCCTGCATTGACTCCAGAGCCATTCCCCGTTCCCCGTTCAACACGACCGGTGGCTCGACTTCCTTCAGGCAACTCCAGAGATGCCCAGAGAACACTTTCCCAAGTCTAGAGGAACACCAGCTTCAGCACAGCAACTCGAGGAATGCTCCGAGTACCCCAAATCATCTCGAGATGAGAGCTGATTCCCTGGCTTAGGCTCAAGACGTATGCCAACTTTCCAGAAGCACCTCAGGAGGAGGCTTCTCTCAGCAATAGGTATGTGGGAGGGACCCCGAGTTTGCTGCCTCAAGGGGAATATACAGCGAGAAGCCCTAACTTGAAAGGAGGCCGGATTTCCTTGCAGTGGCTTGAATACAGGCTCGTCTTTGATCTGACAACATGAAGGGATGTCTGAATCCCCTGTGGAGACCTTAGAGAAAGCCCTAGGTCCCTGCCTCATTTTGACGGAATGCCTCACATCCCGCTGACACCTCGAGAGGCAAGCGGAGTTCATTGCTTCAAAAGGTGACGATGCCTGACTCCTCTTGAATACTGATAGGAATCCCAAAATCCCTGTGGCTACTGGAAAGGGTCCTTGGGTGTCCTGCCTCACCTCGAGAAGCGTCCCTTTTGCCCTGCCAAGCCTCGAAGAGATTCCTGAGGTGTCCCTCGTTACTAGACAGGAGTCCTGACGTCACTGAAGAAACTCGTGTTTTGAAGGGCCATCCCCGCCGTAAGTCGAGAACATACCCCCGGTCCCCGCCGCAACTCGAGAAAAACCATGAGACTTCCCCCTAGAGGCGAGATGAGGCCCCATTCCCCTGCAGTGCATGCAGAGCTATTCCGTGATCCCATTCAAACAAGTCAGGAGCTTCGACTTGCTTAATGGATCTCGAGACAGTCCCCAAGAACACTTTCACCAGTCTAGACGGACCCTGAGGTCACCCCAGCAACGCAAAGCTGCTCCATGTGCCCCAAATCAACTCGAGATGAGGCCCGATTCCCCTGCATTGACTCCAGAGCCATTCCCCGTTCCCCGTTCAACACGACCGGTGGCTCGACTTCCTTCAGGCAACTCCAGAGATGCCCAGAGAACACTTTCCCAAGTCTAGAGGAACACCAGCTTCAGCACAGCAACTCGAGGAATGCTCTGAGTACCCCAAATCATCTCGAGATGAGAGCTGATTCCCTGGCTTAGGCTCAAGACGTATGCCAACTTTCCAGAAGCACCTCAGGAGGAGGCTTCTCTCAGCAATAGGTATGTGGGAGGGACGCCGAGTTTGCTGCCTCAAGGGGAATATACAGCGAGAAGCCCTAACTTGAAAGGAGGCCGGATTTCCTTGCAGTGGCTTGAATACAGGCTCGTCTTTGATCTGACAACATGAAGGGATGTCTGAATCCCCTGTGGAGACCTTAGAGAAAGCCCTAGGTCCCTGCCTCATTTTGACGGAATGCCTCACATCCCGCTGACACCTCGAGAGGCACGCAGAGTTTATTGCTTCAAAAGGTGACGATGCCTGACTCCTCTTGAATACTTATAGTAATCCCAAAATCCCTGTGGCTCCTGGAAAGGGTCCTTGGGTGCCCTGGCTCACCTCGAGAAGCGTCGCTTTTGCCCTGCCAAGCCTCGAAGAGATTGCTGAGGTGTCCCTCATTACTAGACAGGAGTCCTGACGTCACGGAAGAAACTCGTGTTTTGAAGGGCCATCCCCGCCATAAGTCGAGAACATACCCCAGGTCCCCGCCGCAACTCGAGAAAAACCATGAGACTTCCCCCTAGAGGCGAGATGAGGCCCCATTACCCTGCAGTGCATGCAGAGCTATTCCGTGATCCCATTCAAACAAGTCAGGAGCTTCGACTTGCTTAATGGATCTCGAGACAGTCCCCAAGAACACTGTCACCAGTCTAGACGGACCCTGAGGTCACCCCAGCAACGCAAAGCAGCTCCATGTGCCCCAAATCAACTCGAGATGAGGCCCGATTCCCCTGCATTGACTCCAGAGCCATTCCCGTTCCCCGTTCAACACGAACGGAGGCTCGCCTTCCTTCAGGCAACTCCAGAGATGCCCCGAGAACACTGTCCCAAGTCTAGAGGAACACCAACTTCCGCACAGCAAATCGAGGAATGCTCTGAGTACCCCAAATCGTCTCGAGATGAGAGCTGATTCCCTGGCTTAGGCTCAAGACGTATGCCAACTTTCCAGAAGCACCTCAGGAGGAGGCTTCTCAGCAATAGGTATGTGGGAGGGACTCCGAGTTTGCTGCCTCAAGGGGAATATACATCGAGAAGCCCTAACTTGAAAGGAGGCCGGATTTCCTTGCAGTAGCTTGAATACAGGCTTGTCTTTGACCAGACAACATGAAGGGATGTCTGAATCCCCTGTGGAGACCTTAAAGAAAGCCCTAGGTCCCTGCCTCATTTTGACGGAATGCCTCACATCCCGCTGACACCTCGAGAGGCACGCGGAGTTCATTGCTTCAAAAGGTGACGATGCCTGACTCCTCTTGAATACTGATAGGAATCCCAAAATCCCTGTGGCTACTGGAAAGGGTCCTTGGGTGCCCTGCCTCACCTCGAGAAGCGTCCCTTTTGCCCTGCCAAGCCTCGAAGAGATTGCTGAGGTGTCCCTCGTTACTAGGCAGGAGTCCTGACGTCACTGGAGAAACTCGTGTTTTGAAGGGCCATCCCCGCCGTAAGTCGAGAACATACCCCAGGTCCCCGCCGCAACTCGAGAAAAACCGTGAGACTTCCCCCTAGAGGCGAGATGAGGCCCCATTCCCCTGCAGTGCATGCAGAGCTATTCCGTGATCCCATTCAAACAAGTCAGGAGCTTCGACTTGGTTAATGGATCTCGAGACAGTCCCCAAGAACACTGTCACCAGTCTAGACGGACCCTGAGGTCAAACAGCAATGCAAAGCAGCTCCATGTGCCCCAAAACACCTCGAGATGAGGCCGGATTCCCCTGCATTGACTCCAGAGCCATTCCCCGTTCCCCATTCAACACGACCGGTGGCTCGACTTCCTTCAGGCAACTCCAGAGATGCCCCGAGAACACTGTCACAAGTCTAGAGGAACACCAACTTCAGCAGAGCAACTCGAGGAATGCTCCGTGTACCCCAAATCATCTCGAGATGAGAGCTGATTCCCTGGCTTAGGCTCAAGACGTATTCCAACTTTCCAGAAGCACCTCAGGAGGAGGCTTCTCTCAGCAATAGGTATGTGGGAGGGACCCCGAGTTTGCTGCCTCAAGGGGAATACACAGGGAGAAGCCCTAATGTGAACGGAGGCCAGATTTCCTTGCAGTGGCTTGAATACAGGCTCGTCTTTGATCTGACAACATGAAGGGATGTCTGAATCCGCTGTGGAGACCTTAGAGGAAGCCCTAGGTCCCTGCCTCATTTTGTCGGAATACCTCACATCCCCCTGACACCTCGAGAGGCACGCAGAGTTCATTGCTTGAAAAGGTGACGATGCCTGACTCCTCTTGAATACTTATAGTAATCCCAAAATCCCTGTGGCTCCTGGAAAGGGTCCTTGGGTGCCCTGGCTCACCTCGAGAAGCGTCCCATTTGCCCTGCCAAGCCTCGAAGAGATTGCTGAGGTGTCCCTCATTACTAGACAGGAGTCCTGACGTCACGGAAGAAACTCGTGTTTTGAAGGGCCATCCCCGCCATAAGTCGAGAACATACCCCAGGTCCCCGCCGCAACTCGAGAAAAACCATGAGACTTCCCCCTAGAGGCGAGATGAGGCCCCATTACCCTGCAGTGCATGCAGAGCTATTCCGTGATCCCATTCAAACAAGTCAGGAGCTTCGACTTGCTTAATGGATCTCGAGACAGTCCCCAAGAACACTGTCACCAGTCTAGACGGACCCTGAGGTCACCCCAGCAACGCAAAGCAGCTCCATGTGCCCCAAATCAACTCGAGATGAGGCCCGATTCCCCTGCATTGACTCCAGAGCCATTCCCGTTCCCCGTTCAACACAAACGGAGGCTCGCCTTCCTTCAGGCAACTCCAGAGATGCCCCGAGAACACTGTCCCAAGTCTAGAGGAACACCAACTTCAGCACAGCAACTCGAGGAATGCTCTGTGTACCGCAAATCGTCTCGAGATGAGAGCTGATTCCCTGGCTTAGGCTCAAGACGTATGCCAACTTTCCAGAAGCACCTCAGGAGGAGGCTTCTCAGCAATAGGTATGTGGGAGGGACTCCGAGTTTGCTGCCGCAAGGGGAATATACATCGAGAAGCCCTAACTTGAAAGGAGGCCGGATTTCCTTGCAGTAGCTTGAATACAGGCTTGTCTTTGACCAGACAACATGAAGGGATGTCTGAATCCCCTGTGGAGACCTTAGAGAAAGCCCTAGGTCCCTGCCTCATTTTGACGGAATGCCTCACATCCCGCTGACACCTCGAGAGGCACGCGGAGTTCATTGCTTCAAAAGGTGACGATGCCTGACTCCTCTTGAATACTGATAGGAATCCCAAAATTCCTGTGGCTACTGGAAAGGGTCCTTGGGTGCCTTGCCTCACCTCGAGAAGCGTCCCTTTTGCCCTGCCAAGCCTCGAAGAGATTCCTGAGGTGTCCCTCATTACTAGGCAGGAGTCCTGATGTCACTGAAGAAACTCGTGTTTTGAAGGGCCATCCCCGCCGTAAGTCGAGAACATACCCCCTGTCCCCGCCGCAACTCGAGAAAAACCATGAGACTTCCCCCTAGAGGCGAGATGAGGCCCCATTCCCCTGCAGTGCATGCAGAGCTATTCCGTGATCCCATTCAAACAAGTCAGGAGCTTCGACTTGCTTAATGGATCTCGAGACAGTCCCCAAGAACACTTTCACCAGTATAGACGGACCCTGAGGTCACCCCAGCAACGCAAAGCTGCTCCATGTGCCCCAAATCAACTCGAGATGAGGCCCGATTCCCCTGCATTGACTCCAGAGCCATTCCCCGTTCCCCATTCAACACGACCGGTGGCTCGACTTCCTTCAGGCAACTCCAGAGATGCCCAGAGAACACTTTCCCAAGTCTAGAGGAACACCAGCTTCAGCACAGCAACTCGAGGAATGCTCCGAGTACCCCAAATCATCTCGAGATGAGAGCTGATTCCCTGGCTTAGGCTCAAGACGTATGCCAACTTTCCAGAAGCACCTCAGGAGGAGGCTTCTCTCAGCAATAGGTATGTGGGAGGGACCCCGAGTTTGCTGCCTCAAGGGGAATATACAGCGAGAAGCCCTAACTTGAAAGGAGGCCGGATTTCCTTGCAGTGGCTTGAATACAGGCTCGTCTTTGATCTGACAACATGAAGGGATGTCTGAATCCCCTGTGGAGACCTTAGAGAAAGCCCTAGGTCCCTGCCTCATTTTGACGGAATGCCTCACATCCCGCTGACACCTCGAGAGGCAAGCGGAGTTCATTGCTTCAAAAGGTGACGATGCCTGACTCCTCTTGAATACTGATAGGAATCCCAAAATCCCTGTGGCTACTGGAAAGGGTCCTTGGGTGTCCTGCCTCACCTCGAGAAGCGTCCCTTTTGCCCTGCCAAGCCTCGAAGAGATTCCTGAGGTGTCCCTCGTTACTAGACAGGAGTCCTGACGTCACTGAAGAAACTCGTGTTTTGAAGGGCCATCCCCGCCGTAAGTCGAGAACATACCCCAGGTCCCCGCCGCAACTCGAGAAAAACCATGAGACTTCCCCCTAGAGGCGAGATGAGGCCCCATTCCCCTGCAGTGCATGCAGAGCTATTCCGTGATCCCATTCAAACAAGTCACGAGCTTCGACTTGCTTAATGGATCTCGAGACAGTCCCGAAGAACACTGTCACCAGTCTAGACGGACCCTGAGGTCACCCCAGCAACGCAAAGCAGCTCCATGTGCCCCAAATCAACTCGAGATGAGGCCCGATTCCCCTGCATTGACTCCAGAGCCATTCCCCGTTCCCCGTTCAACATGAACGGAGGCTCGCCTTCCTTCAGGCAACTCCAGAGATGCCCCGAGAACACTGTCCCAAGTCTAGAGGAACACCAACTTCAGCACAGCAACTCGAGGAATGCTCTGTGTACCCCAAATCGTCTCGAGATGAGAGCTGATTCCCTGGCTTAGGCTCAAGACGTATGCCGACTTTCCAGAAGCACCTCAGGAGGAGGCTTCTCAGCAATAGGTATGTGGGAGGGACTCCGAGTGTGCTGCCTCAAGGGGAATATACATCGAGAAGCCCTAACTTGAAAGGAGGCCGGATTTCCTTGCAGTAGCTTGAATACAGGCTTGTCTTTCATCTCACAACATGAAGGGATGTCTGAATCCCCTGTGGAGACCTTAGAGAAAGCCCTAGGTCCCTGCCTCATTTTGACGGAATGCCTCACATCCCGCTGACACCTCGAGAGGCACGCGGAGTTCATTGCTTCAAAAGGTGACGATGCCTGACTCCTCTTGAATACTTATAGGAATCCCAAAATTCCTGTGGCTACTGGAAAGGGTCCTTGGGTGCCCTGCCTCACCTCGAGAAGCGTCCCTTTTGCCCTGCCAAACCTCGAAGAGATTCCTGAGGTGTCCCTCGTTACTAGGCAGGAGTCCTGACGTCACTGAAGAAACTCGTGTTTTGAAGGGCCATCCCCGCCGTAAGTCGAGAACATACCCCCGGTCCCTGCCGCAACTCGAGAAAAACCATGAGACTTCCCCCTAGAGGCGAGATGAGGCCCCATTCCCCTGCAGTGCATGCAGAGCTATTCCGTGATCCCATTCAAACAAGTCAGGAGCTTCGACTTGCTTAATGGATCTCGAGACAGTCCCCAAGAACACTTTCACCAGTCTAGACGGACCCTGAGGTCACCCCAGCAACGCAAAGCTGCTCCATGTGCCCCAAATCAACTCGAGATGAGGCCCGATTCCCCTGCATTGACTCCAGAGCCATTCCCCGTTCCCCGTTCAACACGACCGGTGGCTCGACTTCCTTCAGGCAACTCCAGAGATGCCCAGAGAACACTTTCCCAAGTCTAGAGGAACACCAGCTTCAGCACAGCAACTCGAGGAATGCTCTGAGTACCCCAAATCATCTCGAGATGAGAGCTGATTCCCTGGCTTAGGCTCAAGACATATGCCAACTTTCCAGAAGCACCTCAGGAGGAGGCTTCTCTCAGCAATAGGTATGTGGGAGGGACGCCGAGTTTGCTGCCTCAAGGGGAATATACAGCGAGAAACCCTAACTTGAAAGGAGGCCGGATTTCCTTGCAGTGGCTTGAATACAGGCTCGTCTTTGATCTGACAACATGAAGGGATGTCTGAATCCCCTGTGGAGACCTTAGAGAAAGCCCTAGGTCCCTGCCTCATTTTGACGGAATGCCTCACATCCCGCTGACACCTCGAGAGGCACGCGGAGTTCATTGCTTCAAAAGGTGACGATGCCTGACTCCTCTTGAATACTGATAGGAATCCCAAAATCCCTGTGGCTACTGGAAAGGGTCCTTGGGTGTCCTGCCTCACCTCGAGAAGCGTCCCTTTTGCCCTGCCAAGCCTCGAAGAGATTCCTGAGGTGTCCCTCGTTATTAGGCAGGAGTCCTGACGTCACTGGAGAAACTGGTGTTTTGAAGGGCCATCCCCGCCGTAAGTCGAGAACATACCCCAGGTCCCCGCCGCACCTCGAGAAAAACCGCGAGACTTCGCCCTAGAGGCGAGATGAGGCCCCATTCCCCTGCAGTGCATGCAGAGCTATTCCGTGATCCCATTCAAACAAGTCAGGAGCTTCGACTTGCTTAATGGATCTCGAGACAGTCCCCAAGAACACTGTCACCAGTCTAGACGGACCCTGAGGTCACCCCAGCAACGCAAAGCTGCTCCATGTGCCCCAAATCAACTCGAGATGAGGCCCGATTCCCCTGCATTGACTCCAGAGCCATTCCCCGTTCCCCATTCAAGAAGACCGGTGGCTCGACTTCCTTCAGGCAACTCCAGAGATGCCCCGAGAACACTGTCCCAAGTCTAGAGGAACACCAACTTCAACACAGCAACTCGAGGAATGCTCCGTGTACCCCAAATCATCTCGAGATGAGAGCTGATTCCCTGGCTTAGGCTCAAGACGTATGCCAACTTTCCAGAAGCATCTCAGGAGGAGGCTTCTCTCAGCAATAGGTATGTGGGAGGGACCTCGTGTTTGCTGCCTCAAGGGGAATACACAGGGAGAAGCCCTAATGTGATCGGAGGCCAGATTTCCCTGCAGAGGGTTGAATACAGGCTCGTCTTTGATCTGACAACATTAAGGGATGTCTGAATACCCTGTGGAGACCTTAGAGGAAGCCCTAGGTCCCTGCCTCATTTTGACGGAATACCTCACATCCCCCTGACACCTCGAGAGGCACGCAGAGTTTATTGCTTCAAAAGGTGACGATGCCTGACTCCTCTTGAATACTTATAGGAATCCCAAAATCCCTGTTGCTACTGGAAAGGGTCCTTGGGTGCCCTGGCTCACCTCGAGAAGCGTCCCCTTTGCCCTGCCAAGCCTCGAAGAGATTGCTGAGGTGTCCCTCGTTACTAGACAGGAGTCCTGACGTCACTGAAGAAACTCGTGTTTTGAAGGGCCATCCCCGCCGTAAGTCGAGAACATACCCCAGGTCCCCGCCGCAACTCGAGAAAAACCATGAGACTTCCCCCTATAGGCGAGATGAGGCCCCATTCCCCTGCAGTGCATGCAGAGCTATTCCGTGATCCCATTCAAACAAGTCAGGAGCTTCGACTTGCTTAATGGATCTCGAGACAGTCCCCAAGAACACTGTTACCAGTCTAGACGGACCCTGAGGTCACCCCAGCAACGCAAAGCAGCTCCATGTGCCCCAGATCAACTCGAGATGAGGCCCGATTCCCCTGCATTGACTGCAGAGCCATTCCCCGTTCCCCGTTCAACACGTACGGAGGCTCGCCTTCCTTCAGGCAACTCCAGAGATGCCCCGAGAACACTGTCCCAAGTCTAGAGGAACACCAACTTCAGCACAGCAACTCGAGGAATGCTCTGTGTACCCCAAATCGTCTCGAGATGAGAGCTGATTCCCTGGCTTAGGCTCAAGACGTATGCCAACTTTCCAGAAGCACCTCAGGAGGAGGCTTCTCAGCAATAGGTATGTGGGAGGGACTCCGAGTTTGCTGCCTCAAGGGGAATATACATCGAGAAGCCCTAACTTGAAAGGAGGCCGGATTTCCTTGCAGTAGCTTGAATACAGGCTTGTCTTTCATCTCACAACATGAAGGGATGTCTGAATCCCCTGTGGAGACCTTAGAGAAAGCCCTAGGTCCCTGCCTCATTTTGACGGAATGCCTCACATCCCGCTGACACCTCGAGAGGCACGCGGAGTTCATTGCTTCAAAAGGTGACGATGCCTGACTCCTCTTGAATACTGATAGGAATCCCAAAATCCCTGTGGCTACTGGAAAGGGTCCTTGGGTGCCCTGCCTCACCTCGAGAAGCGTCCCTTTTGCCCTGCCAAGCCTCGAAGAGATTGCTGAGGTGTCCCTCGTTACTAGGCAGGAGTCCTGACGTCACTGGAGAAACTCGTGTTTTGAAGGGCCATCCCCGCCGTAAGTCGAGAACATACCCCAGGTCCCCGCCGCAACTCGAGAAAAACCGTGAGACTTCCCCCTAGAGGCGAGATGAGGCCCCATTCCCCTGCAGTGCATGCAGAGCTATTCCGTGATCCCATTCAAACAAGTCAGGAGCTTCGACTTGGTTAATGGATCTCGAGACAGTCCCCAAGAACACTGTCACCAGTCTAGACGGACCCTGAGGTCACCCAGCAATGCAAAGCAGCTCCATGTGCCCCAAAACAACTCGAGATGAGGCCGGATTCCCCTGCATTGACTCCAGAGCCATTCCCCGTTCCCCATTCAACACGACCGGTGGCTCGACTTCCTTCAGGCAACTCCAGAGATGCCCCGAGAACACTGTCACAAGTCTAGAGGAACACCAACTTCAGCAGAGCAACTCGAGGAATGCTCCGTGTACCCCAAATCATCTCGAGATGAGAGCTGATTCCCTGGCTTAGACTCAAGACGTATTCCAACTTTCCAGAAGCACCTCAGGAGGAGGCTTCTCTCAGCAATAGGTATGTGGGAGGGACCCCGAGTTTGCTGCCTCAAGGGGAATACACAGGGAGAAGCCCTAATGTGAACGGAGGCCAGATTTCCTTGCAGTGGCTTGAATACAGGCTCGTCTTTGATCTGACAACATGAAGGGATGTCAATCCGCTGTGGAGACCTTAGAGGAAGCCCTAGGTCCCTGCCTCATTTTGACGGAATACCTCACATCCCCCTGACACCTCGAGAGGCACGCAGAGTTCATTGCTTGAAAAGGTGACGATGCCTGACTCCTCTTGAATACTTATAGTAATCCCAAAATCCCTGTGGCTCCTGGAAAGGGTCCTTGGGTGCCCTGGCTCACCTCCAGAAGCGTCCCTTTTGCCCTGCCAAGCCTCGAAGAGATTGCTGAGGTGTCCCTCATTACTAGACAGGAGTCCTGACGTCACGGAAGAAACTCGTGTTTTGAAGGGCCATCCCCGCCATAAGTCGAGAACATACCCCAGGTCCCCGCCGCAACTCGAGAAAAACCATGAGACTTCCCCCTAGAGGCGAGATGAGGCCCCATTACCCTGCAGTGCATGCAGAGCTATTCCGTGATCCCATTCAAACAAGTCAGGAGCTTCGACTTGCTTAATGGATCTCGAGACAGTCCCCAAGAACACTGTCACCAGTCTAGACGGACCCTGAGGTCACCCCAGCAACGCAAAGCAGCTCCATGTGCCCCAAATCAACTCGAGATGAGGCCCGATTCCCCTGCATTGACTCCAGAGCCATTCCCCGTTCCCCGTTCAACACGAACGGAGGCTCGCCTTCCTTCAGGCAACTCCAGAGATGCCCCGAGAACACTGTCCCAAGTCTAGAGGAACACCAACTTCAGCATAGCAACTCGAGGAATGCTCTGTGTACCGCAAATCGTCTCGAGATGAGAGCTGATTCCCTGGCTTAGGCTCAAGACGTATGCCAACTTTCCAGAAGCACCTCAGGAGGAGGCTTCTCAGCAATAGGTATGTGGGAGGGACTCCGAGTTTGCTGCCTCAAGGGGAATATACATCGAGAAGCCTTAACTTGAAAGGAGGCCGGATTTCCTTGCAGTAGCTTGAATACAGGCTTGTCTTTCATCTCACAACATGAAGGGATGTCTGAATCCCCTGTGGAGACCTTAGAGAAAGCCCTAGGTCCCTGCCTCATTTTGACGGAATGCCTCACATCCCGCTGACACCTCGAGAGGCACGCGGAGTTCATTGCTTCAAAAGGTGACGATGCCTGACTCCTCTTGAATACTGATAGGAATCCCAAAATCCCTGTGGCTACTGGAAAGGGTCCTTGGGTGCCCTGGCTCACCTCGAGAAGCGTCCCTTTTGCCCTGCCAAGCCTCGAAGAGATTGCTGAGGTGTCCCTCGTTACTAGGCAGGAGTCCTGACGTCACTGGAGAAACTCGTGTTTTGAAGGGCCATCCCCGCCGTAAGTCGAGAACATACCCCAGGTCCCCGCCGCAACTCGAGAAAAACCGTGAGACTTCCCCCAGAGGCGAGATGAGGCCCCATTCCCCTGCAGTGCATGCAGAGCTATTCCGTGATCCCATTCAAACAAGTCAGGAGCTTCGACTTGGTTAATGGATCTCGAGACAGTCCCCAAGAACACTGTCACCAGTCTAGACGGACCCTGAGGTCACCCAGCAATGCAAAGCAGCTCCATGTGCCCCAAAACACCTCGAGATGAGGCCGGATTCCCCTGCATTGACTCCAGAGCCATTCCCCGTTCCCCATTCAACACGACCGGTGGCTCGACTTCCTTCAGGCAACTCCAGAGATGCCCCGAGAACACTGTCACAAGTCTAGAGGAACACCAACTTCAGCAGAGCAACTCGAGGAATGCTCCGTGTACCCCAAATCATCTCGAGATGAGAGCTGATTCCCTGGCTTAGGCTCAAGACGTATTCCAACTTTCCAGAAGCACCTCAGGAGGAGGCTTCTCTCAGCAATAGGTATGTGGGAGGGACCCCGAGTTTGCTGCCTCAAGGGGAATACACAGGGAGAAGCCCTAATGTGAACGGAGGCCAGATTTCCTTGCAGTGGCTTGAATACAGGCTCGTCTTTGATCTGACAACATGAAGGGATGTCTGAATCCGCTGTGGAGACCTTAGAGGAAGCCCTAGGTCCCTGCCTCATTTTGACGGAATACCTCACATCCCCCTGACACCTCGAGAGGCACGCAGAGTTCATTGCTTGAAAAGGTGACGATGCCTGACTCCTCTTGAATACTTATAGTAATCCCAAAATCCCTGTGGCTCCTGGAAAGGGTCCTTGGGTGCCCTGGCTCACCTCGAGAAGCGTCCCTTTTGCCCTGCCAAGCCTCGAAGAGATTCCTGATGTGTCCCGCGTTACTAGACAGGAGTCCAGACGTCACTGAAGAAAAACGTGTTTTGAAGGGCCATCCCCGCCGTAAGTCGAGAACATACCCCAGGTCCCCGCCGCAACTCGAGAAGAACCATGAGACTTCCCCCTAGAGGCGAGATGAGGCCCCATTCCCCTGCAGTGCATGCAGAGCTATTTCGTGATCCCATTCAAACAAGTCAGGAGCTTCGACTTGCTTAATGGATCTCGAGACAGTCCCCAAGAACACTGTCACCAGTCTAGACGGACCCTGAGGTCACCCCAGCAACGCAAAGCAGCTCCATGTGCCCCAAATCAACTCGAGATGAGGCCCGATTCCCCTGCATTGACTCCAGAGCCATTCCCGTTCCCCGTTCAACACGAACGGAGGCTCGCCTTCCTTCAGGCAACTCCAGAGATGCCCCGAGAACACTGTCCCAAGTCTAGAGGAACACCAACTTCAGCACAGCAACTCGAGGAATGTTCTGGGTACCGAAAATCGTCTCGAGATGAGAGCTGATTCCCTGGCTTAGGCTCAAGACGTATGCCAACTTTCCAGAAGCACCTCAGGAGGAGGCTTCTCAGCAATAGGTATGTGGGAGGGACTCCGAGTTTGCTGCCTCAAGGGGAATATACATCGAGAAGCCCTAACTTGAAAGGAGGCCGGATTTCCTTGCAGTAGCTTGAATACAGGCTTGTCTTTGACCAGACAACATGAAGGGATGTCTGAATCCCCTGTGGAGACCTTAAAGAAAGCCCTAGGTCCCTGCCTCATTTTGACGGAATGCCTCACATCCCGCTGACACCTCGAGAGGCACGCGGAGTTCATTGCTTCAAAAGGTGACGATGCCTGACTCCTCTTGAATACTGATAGGAATCCCAAAATCCCTGTGGCTACTGGAAAGGGTCCTTGGGTGCCCTGCCTCACCTCGAGAAGCGTCCCTTTTGCCCTGCCAAGCCTCGAAGAGATTCCTGAGGTGTCCCTCGTTACTAGGCAGGAGTCCTGATGTCACTGAAGAAACTCGTGTTTTGAAGGGCCATCCCCGCCGTAAGTCGAGAACATACCCCCGGTCCCCGCCGCAACTCGAGAAAAACCATGAGACTTCCCCCTAGAGGCGAGATGAGGCCCCATTCCCCTGCAGTGCATGCAGAGCTATTCCGTGATCCCATTCAAACAAGTCAGGAGCTTCGACTTGCTTAATGGATCTCGAGACAGTCCCCAAGAACACTCACCAGTATAGACGGACCCTGAGGTCACCCCAGCAACGCAAAGCTGCTCCATGTGCCCCAAATCAACTCGAGATGAGGCCCGATTCCCCTGCATTGACTCCAGAGCCATTCCCCGTTCCCCGTTCAACACGACCGGTGGCTCGACTTCCTTCAGGCAACTCCAGAGATGCCCAGAGAACACTTTCCCAAGTCTAGAGGAACACCAGCTTCAGCACAGCAACTCGAGGAATGCTCCGAGTACCCCAAATCATCTCGAGATGAGAGCTGATTCCCTGGCTTAGGCTCAAGACGTATGCCAACTTTCCAGAAGCACCTCAGGAGGAGGCTTCTCTCAGCAATAGGTATGTGGGAGGGACCCCGAGTTTGCTGCCTCAAGGGTAATATACAGCGAGAAGCCCTAACTTGAAAGGAGGCCGGATTTCCTTGCAGTGGCTGGAATACAGGCTCGTCTTTGATCTGACAACATGAAGGGATGTCTGAATCCCCTGTGGAGACCTTAGAGAAAGCCCTAGGTCCCTGCCTCATTTTGACGGAATGCCTCATATCCCGCTGACACCTCGAGAGGCAAGCGGAGTTCATTGCTTCAAAAGGTGACGATGCCTGACTCCTCTTGAATACTGATAGGAATCCCAAAATCCCTGTGGCTACTGGAAAGGGTCCTTGGGTGTCCTGCCTCACCTCGAGAAGCGTCCCTTTTGCCCTGCCAAGCCTCGAAGAGATTCCTGAGGTGTCCCTCGTTACTAGGCAGGAGTCCTGACGTCACTGGAGAAACTCGTGTTTTGAAGGGCCATCCCCGCCGTAAGTCGAGAACATACCCCAGGTCCCCGCCGCACCTCGAGAAAAACCGCGAGACTTCGCCCTAGAGGCGAGATGAGGCCCCATTCCCCTGCAGTGCATGCAGAGCTATTCCGTGATCCCATTCAAACAAGTCAGGAGCTTCGACTTGCTTAATGGATCTCGAGACAGTCCCCAAGAACACTGTCACCAGTCTAGACGGACCCTGAGGTCACCCCAGCAACGCAAAGCTGCTCCATGTGCCCCAAATCAACTCGAGATGAGGCCCGATTCCCCTGCATTGACTCCAGAGCCATTCCCCGTTCCCCATTCAAGACGACCGGTGGCTCGACTTCCTTCAGGCAACTCCAGAGATTCCCCGAGAACACTGTCCCAAGGCTAGAGGAACACCAACTTCAGCACAGCAACTCGAGGAATGCTCCGTGTACCCCAAATCATCTCGAGATGAGAGCTGATTCCCTGGCTTAGGCTCAAGACGTATGCCAACTTTCCAGAAGCATCTCAGGAGGAGGCTTCTCTCAGCAATAGGTATGTGGGAGGGACCCCGTGTTTGCTGCCTCAAGGGGAATACACAGGGAGAAGCCCTAATGTGAACGGAGGCCAGATTTATTTGCAGAGGGTTGAATACAGGCTCGTCTTTGATCTGACAACATTAAGGGATGTCTGAATACCCTGTGGAGAGCTTAGAGGAAGCCCTAGGTCCCTGCCTCATTTTGACGGAATACCTCACATCCCCCTGACACCTCGAGAGGCACGCAGAGTTTATTGCTTCAAAAGGTGACGATGCCTGACTCCTCTTGAATACTTATAGGAATCCCAAAATCCCTGTTGCTACTGGAAAGGGTCCTTGGGTGCCCTGGCTCACCTCGAGAAGCGTCCCCTTTGCCCTGCCAAGCCTCGAAGAGATTGCTGAGGTGTCCCTCGTTACTAGACAGGAGTCCTGACGTCACTGAAGAAACTCGTGTTTTGAAGGGCCATCCCCGCCGTAAGTCGAGAACATACCCCAGGTCCCCGCCGCAACTCGAGAAAAACCATGAGACTTCCCCCTAGAGGCGAGATGAGGCCCCATTCCCCTGCAGTGCATGCAGAGCTATTCCGTGATCCCATTCAAACAAGTCAGGAGCTTCGACTTGCTTAATGGATCTCGAGACAGTCCCCAAGAACACTGTCACCAGTCTAGACGGACCCTGAGGTCACCCCAGCAACGCAAAGCTGCTCCATGTGCCCCAAATCAACTCGAGATGAGGCCCGATTCCCCTGCATTGACTCCAGAGCCATTCCCCGTTCCCCATTCAACACGACCGGTGGCTCGACTTCCTTCAGGCAACTCCAGAGATGCCCCGAGAACACTGTCACAAGTCTAGAGGAACACCAACTTCAGCAGAGCAACTCGAGGAATGCTCCGTGTACCCCAAATCATCTCGAGATGAGAGCTGATTCCCTGGCTTAGGCTCAAGACGTATTCCAACTTTCCAGAAGCACCTCAGGAGGAGGCTTCTCTCAGCAATAGGTATGTGGGAGGGACCCCGAGTTTGCTGCCTCAAGGGGAATACACAGGGAGAAGCCCTAATGTGAACGGAGGCCAGATTTCCTTGCAGTGGCTTGAATACAGGCTCGTCTTTGATCTGACAACATGAAGGGATGTCTGAATCCGCTGTGGAGACCTTAGAGGAAGCCCTAGGTCCCTGCCTCATTTTGACGGAATACCTCACATCCCCCTGACACCTCGAGAGGCACGCAGAGTTCATTGCTTGAAAAGGTGACGATGCCTGACTCCTCTTGAATACTTATAGTAATCCCAAAATCCCTGTGGCTCCTGGAAAGGGTCCTTGGGTGCCCTGGCTCACCTCCAGAAGCGTCCCTTTTGCCCTGCCAAGCCTCGAAGAGATTGCTGAGGTGTCCCTCATTACTAGACAGGAGTCCTGACGTCACGGAAGAAACTCGTGTTTTGAAGGGCCATCCCCGCCATAAGTCGAGAACATACCCCAGGTCCCCGCCGCAACTCGAGAAAAACCATGAGACTTCCCCCTAGAGGCGAGATGAGGCCCCATTACCCTGCAGTGCATGCAGAGCTATTCCGTGATCCCATTCAAACAAGTCAGGAGCTTCGACTTGCTTAATGGATCTCGAGACAGTCCCCAAGAACACTGTCACCAGTCTAGACGGACCCTGAGGTCACCCCAGCAACGCAAAGCAGCTCCATGTGCCCCAAATCAACTCGAGATGAGGCCCGATTCCCCTGCATTGACTCCAGAGCCATTCCCCGTTCCCCGTTCAACACGAACGGAGGCTCGCCTTCCTTCAGGCAACTCCAGAGATGCCCCGAGAACACTGTCCCAAGTCTAGAGGAACACCAACTTCAGCATAGCAACTCGAGGAATGCTCTGTGTACCGCAAATCGTCTCGAGATGAGAGCTGATTCCCTGGCTTAGGCTCAAGACGTATGCCAACTTTCCAGAAGCACCTCAGGAGGAGGCTTCTCAGCAATAGGTATGTGGGAGGGACTCCGAGTTTGCTGCCTCAAGGGGAATATACATCGAGAAGCCCTAACTTGAAAGGAGGCCGGATTTCCTTGCAGTAGCTTGAATACAGGCTTGTCTTTCATCTCACAACATGAAGGGATGTCTGAATCCCCTGTGGAGACCTTAGAGAAAGCCCTAGGTCCCTGCCTCATTTTGACGGAATGCCTCACATCCCGCTGACACCTCGAGAGGCACGCGGAGTTCATTGCTTCAAAAGGTGACGATGCCTGACTCCTCTTGAATACTGATAGGAATCCCAAAATCCCTGTGGCTACTGGAAAGGGTCCTTGGGTGCCCTGGCTCACCTCGAGAAGCGTCCCTTTTGCCCTGCCAAGCCTCGAAGAGATTGCTGAGGTGTCCCTCGTTACTAGGCAGGAGTCCTGACGTCACTGGAGAAACTCGTGTTTTGAAGGGCCATCCCCGCCGTAAGTCGAGAACATACCCCAGGTCCCCGCCGCACCTCGAGAAAAACCGCGAGACTTAGCCCTAGAGGCGAGATGAGGCCCCATTCCCCTGCAGTGCATGCAGAGCTATTCCGTGATCCCATTCAAACAAGTCAGGAGCTTCGACTTGGTTAATGGATCTCGAGACAGTCCCCAAGAACACTGTCACCAGTCTAGACGGACCCTGAGGTCACCCAGCAATGCAAAGCAGCTCCATGTGCCCCAAAACACCTCGAGATGAGGCCGGATTCCCCTGCATTGACTCCAGAGCCATTCCCCGTTCCCCATTCAACACGACCGGTGGCTCAACTTCCTTCAGGCAACTCCAGAGATGCCCCGAGAACACTGTCACAAGTCTAGAGGAACACCAACTTCAGCAGAGCAACTCGAGGAATGCTCCGTGTACCCCAAATCATCTCGAGATGAGAGCTGATTCCCTGGCTTAGGCTCAAGACGTATTCCAACTTTCCAGAAGCACCTCAGGAGGAGGCTTCTGTCAGCAATAGGTATGTGGGAGGGACCCCGAGTTTGCTGCCTCAAGGGGAATACACAGGGAGAAGCCCTAATGTGAACGGAGGCCAGATTTCCTTGCAGTGGCTTGAATACAGGCTCGTCTTTGATCTGACAACATGAAGGGATGTCTGAATCCGCTGTGGAGACCTTAGAGGAAGCCCTAGGTCCCTGCCTCATTTTGACGGAATACCTCACATCCCCCTGACACCTCGAGAGGCACGCAGAGTTCATTGCTTGAAAAGGTGACGATGCCTGACTCCTCTTGAATACTTATAGTAATCCCAAAATCCCTGTGGCTCCTGGAAAGGGTCCTTGGGTGCCCTGGCTCACCTCGAGAAGCGTCCCTTTTGCCCTGCCAAGCCTCGAAGAGATTGCTGAGGTGTCCCTCATTACTAGACAGGAGTCCTGACGTCACGGAAGAAACTCGTGTTTTGAAGGGCCATCCCCGCCATAAGTCGAGAACATACCCCAGGTCCCCGCCGCAACTCGAGAAAAACCATGAGACTTCCCCCTAGAGGCGAGATGAGGCCCCATTACCCTGCAGTGCATGCAGAGCTATTCCGTGATCCCATTCAAACAAGTCAGGAGCTTCGACTTGCTTAATGGATCTCGAGACAGTCCCCAAGAACACTGTCACCAGTCTAGACGGACCCTGAGGTCACCCCAGCAACGCAAAGCAGCTCCATGTGCCCCAAATCAACTCGAGATGAGGCCCGATTCCCCTGCATTGACTCCAGAGCCATTCCCGTTCCCCGTTCAACACGAACGGAGGCTCGCCTTCCTTCAGGCAACTCCAGAGATGCCCCGAGAACACTGTCCCAAGTCTAGAGGAACACCAACTTCAGCACAGCAACTCGAGGAATGTTCTGGGTACCGAAAATCGTCTCGAGATGAGAGCTGATTCCCTGGCTTAGGCTCAAGACGTATGCCAACTTTCCAGAAGCACCTCAGGAGGAGGCTTCTCAGCAATAGGTATGTGGGAGGGACTCCGAGTTTGCTGCCTCAAGGGGAATATACATCGAGAAGCCCTAACTTGAAAGGAGGCCGGATTTCCTTGCAGTAGCTTGAATACAGGCTTGTCTTTGACCAGACAACATGAAGGGATGTCTGAATCCCCTGTGGAGACCTTAAAGAAAGCCCTAGGTCCCTGCCTCATTTTGACGGAATGCCTCACATCCCGCTGACACCTCGAGAGGCACGCGGAGTTCATTGCTTCAAAAGGTGACGATGCCTGACTCCTCTTGAATACTGATAGGAATCCCAAAATCCCTGTGGCTACTGGAAAGGGTCCTTGGGTGCCCTGCCTCACCTCGAGAAGCGTCCCTTTTGCCCTGCCAAGCCTCGAAGAGATTCCTGAGGTGTCCCTCGTTACTAGGCAGGAGTCCTGATGTCACTGAAGAAACTCGTGTTTTGAAGGGCCATCCCCGCCGTAAGTCGAGAACATACCCCCGGTCCCCGCCGCAACTCGAGAAAAACCATGAGACTTCCCCCTAGAGGCGAGATGAGGCCCCATTCCCCTGCAGTGCATGCAGAGCTATTCCGTGATCCCATTCAAACAAGTCAGGAGCTTCGACTTGCTTAATGGATCTCGAGACAGTCCCCAAGAACACTCACCAGTATAGACGGACCCTGAGGTCACCCCAGCAACGCAAAGCTGCTCCATGTGCCCCAAATCAACTCGAGATGAGGCCCGATTCCCCTGCATTGACTCCAGAGCCATTCCCCGTTCCCCATTCAACACGACCGGTGGCTCGACTTCCTTCAGGCAACTCCAGAGATGCCCAGAGAACACTTTCCCAAGTCTAGAGGAACACCAGCTTCAGCACAGCAACTCGAGGAATGCTCCGAGTACCCCAAATCATCTCGAGATGAGAGCTGATTCCCTGGCTTAGGCTCAAGACGTATGCCAACTTTCCAGAAGCACCTCAGGAGGAGGCTTCTCTCAGCAATAGGTATGTGGGAGGGACCCCGAGTTTGCTGCCTCAAGGGTAATATACAGCGAGAAGCCCTAACTTGAAAGGAGGCCGGATTTCCTTGCAGTGGCTGGAATACAGGCTCGTCTTTGATCTGACAACATGAAGGGATGTCTGAATCCCCTGTGGAGACCTTAGAGAAAGCCCTAGGTCCCTGCCTCATTTTGAAGGAATGCCTCACATCCCGCTGACACCTCGAGAGGCAAGCGGAGTTCATTGCTTCAAAAGGTGACGATGCCTGACTCCTCTTGAATACTGATAGGAATCCCAAAATCCCTGTGGCTACTGGAAAGGGTCCTTGGGTGTCCTGCCTCACCTCGAGAAGCGTCCCTTTTGCCCTGCCAAGCCTCGAAGAGATTCCTGAGGTGTCCCTCGTTACTAGGCAGGAGTCCTGACGTCACTGAAGAAACTCGTGTTTTGAAGGGCCATCCCCGCCGTAAGTCGAGAACATACCCCAGGTCCCCGCCGCACCTCGAGAAAAACCGCGAGACTTCGCCCTAGAGGCGAGATGAGGCCCCATTCCCCTGCAGTGCATGCAGAGCTATTCCGTGATCCCATTCAAACAAGTCAGGAGCTTCGACTTGCTTAATGGATCTCGAGACAGTCCCCAAGAACACTGTCACCAGTCTAGACGGACCCTGAGGTCACCCCAGCAACGCAAAGCTGCTCCATGTGCCCCAAATCAACTCGAGATGAGGCCCGATTCCCCTGCATTGACTCCAGAGCCATTCCCCGTTCCCCATTCAAGACGACCGGTGGCTCGACTTCCTTCAGGCAACTCCAGAGATTCCCCGAGAACACTGTCCCAAGGCTAGAGGAACACCAACTTCAGCACAGCAACTCGAGGAATGCTCCGTGTACCCCAAATCATCTCGAGATGAGAGCTGATTCCCTGGCTTAGGCTCAAGACGTATGCCAACTTTCCAGAAGCATCTCAGGAGGAGGCTTCTCTCAGCAATAGGTATGTGGGAGGGACCCCGTGTTTGCTGCCTCAAGGGGAATACACAGGGAGAAGCCCTAATGTGAACGGAGGCCAGATTTATTTGCAGAGGGTTGAATACAGGCTCGTCTTTGATCTGACAACATTAAGGGATGTCTGAATACCCTGTGGAGAGCTTAGAGGAAGCCCTAGGTCCCTGCCTCATTTTGACGGAATACCTCACATCCCCCTGACACCTCGAGAGGCACGCAGAGTTTATTGCTTCAAAAGGTGACGATGCCTGACTCCTCTTGAATACTTATAGGAATCCCAAAATCCCTGTTGCTACTGGAAAGGGTCCTTGGGTGCCCTGGCTCACCTCGAGAAGCGTCCCCTTTGCCCTGCCAAGCCTCGAAGAGATTGCTGAGGTGTCCCTCGTTACTAGACAGGAGTCCTGACGTCACTGAAGAAACTCGTGTTTTGAAGGGCCATCCCCGCCGTAAGTCGAGAACATACCCCAGGTCCCCGCCGCAACTCGAGAAAAACCATGAGACTTCCCCCTAGAGGCGAGATGAGGCCCCATTCCCCTGCAGTGCATGCAGAGCTATTCCGTGATCCCATTCAAACAAGTCAGGAGCTTCGACTTGCTTAATGGATCTCGAGACAGTCCCCAAGAACACTGTCACCAGTCTAGACGGACCCTGAGGTCACCCCAGCAACGCAAAGCTGCTCCATGTGCCCCAAATCAACTCGAGATGAGGCCCGATTCCCCTGCATTGACTCCAGAGCCATTCCCCGTTCCCCATTCAACACGACCGGTGGCTCGACTTCCTTCAGGCAACTCCAGAGATTCCCCGAGAACACTGTCACAAGTCTAGAGGAACACCAACTTCAGCAGAGCAACTCGAGGAATGCTCCGTGTACCCCAAATCATCTCGAGATGAGAGCTGATTCCCTGGCTTAGGCTCAAGACGTATTCCAACTTTCCAGAAGCACCTCAGGAGGAGGCTTCTCTCAGCAATAGGTATGTGGGAGGGACCCCGAGTTTGCTGCCTCAAGGGGAATACACAGGGAGAAGCCCTAATGTGAACGGAGGCCAGATTTCCTTGCAGTGGCTTGAATACAGGCTCGTCTTTGATCTGACAACATGAAGGGATGTCTGAATCCGCTGTGGAGACCTTAGAGGAAGCCCTAGGTCCCTGCCTCATTTTGACGGAATACCTCACATCCCCCTGACACCTCGAGAGGCACGCAGAGTTCATTGCTTGAAAAGGTGACGATGCCTGACTCCTCTTGAATACTTATAGTAATCCCAAAATCCCTGTGGCTCCTGGAAAGGGTCCTTGGGTGCCCTGGCTCACCTCGAGAAGCGTCCCTTTTGCCCTGCCAAGCCTCGAAGAGATTGCTGAGGTGTCCCTCATTACTAGACAGGAGTCCTGACGTCACGGAAGAAACTCGTGTTTTGAAGGGCCATCCCCGCCATAAGTCGAGAACATACCCCAGGTCCCCGCCGCAACTCGAGAAAAACCATGAGACTTCCCCCTAGAGGCGAGATGAGGCCCCATTACCCTGCAGTGCATGCAGAGCTATTCCGTGATCCCATTCAAACAAGTCAGGAGCTTCGACTTGCTTAATGGATCTCGAGACAGTCCCCAAGAACACTGTCACCAGTCTAGACGGACCCTGAGGTCACCCCAGCAACGCAAAGCAGCTCCATGTGCCCCAAATCAACTCGAGATGAGGCCCGATTCCCCTGCATTGACTCCAGAGCCATTCCCCGTTCCCCGTTCAACACGAACGGAGGCTCGCCTTCCTTCAGGCAACTCCAGAGATGCCCCGAGAACACTGTCCCAAGTCTAGAGGAACACCAACTTCAGCATAGCAACTCGAGGAATGCTCTGTGTACCGCAAATCGTCTCGAGATGAGAGCTGATTCCCTGGCTTAGGCTCAAGACGTATGCCAACTTTCCAGAAGCACCTCAGGAGGAGGCTTCTCAGCAATAGGTATGTGGGAGGGACTCCGAGTTTGCTGCCTCAAGGGGAATATACATCGAGAAGCCCTAACTTGAAAGGAGGCCGGATTTCCTTGCAGTAGCTTGAATACAGGCTTGTCTTTCATCTCACAACATGAAGGGATGTCTGAATCCCCTGTGGAGACCTTAGAGAAAGCCCTAGGTCCCTGCCTCATTTTGACGGAATGCCTCACATCCCGCTGACACCTCGAGAGGCACGCGGAGTTCATTGCTTCAAAAGGTGACGATGCCTGACTCCTCTTGAATACTGATAGGAATCCCAAAATCCCTGTGGCTACTGGAAAGGGTCCTTGGGTGCCCTGGCTCACCTCGAGAAGCGTCCCTTTTGCCCTGCCAAGCCTCGAAGAGATTGCTGAGGTGTCCCTCGTTACTAGGCAGGAGTCCTGACGTCACTGGAGAAACTCGTGTTTTGAAGGGCCATCCCCGCCGTAAGTCGAGAACATACCCCAGGTCCCCGCCGCAACTCGAGAAAAACCGTGAGACTTCCCCCTAGAGGCGAGATGAGGCCCCATTCCCCTGCAGTGCATGCAGAGCTATTCCGTGATCCCATTCAAACAAGTCAGGAGCTTCGACTTGGTTAATGGATCTCGAGACAGTCCCCAAGAACACTGTCACCAGTCTAGACGGACCCTGAGGTCACCCAGCAATGCAAAGCAGCTCCATGTGCCCCAAAACACCTCGAGATGAGGCCGGATTCCCCTGCATTGACTCCAGAGCCATTCCCCGTTCCCCATTCAACACGACCGGTGGCTCGACTTCCTTCAGGCAACTCCAGAGATGCCCCGAGAACACTGTCACAAGTCTAGAGGAACACCAACTTCAGCAGAGCAACTCGAGGAATGCTCCGTGTACCCCAAATCATCTCGAGATGAGAGCTGATTCCCTGGCTTAGGCTCAAGACGTATTCCAACTTTCCAGAAGCACCTCAGGAGGAGGCTTCTCTCAGCAATAGGTATGTGGGAGGGACCCCGAGTTTGCTGCCTCAAGGGGAATACACAGGGAGAAGCCCTAATGTGAACGGAGGCCAGATTTCCTTGCAGTGGCTTGAATACAGGCTCGTCTTTGATCTGACAACATGAAGGGATGTCTGAATCCGCTGTGGAGACCTTAGAGGAAGCCCTAGGTCCCTGCCTCATTTTGACGGAATACCTCACATCCCCCTGACACCTCGAGAGGCACGCAGAGTTCATTGCTTGAAAAGGTGACGATGCCTGACTCCTCTTGAATACTTATAGTAATCCCAAAATCCCTGTGGCTCCTGGAAAGGGTCCTTGGGTGCCCTGGCTCACCTCGAGAAGCGTCGCTTTTGCCCTGCCAAGCCTCGAAGAGATTGCTGAGGTGTCCCTCATTACTAGACAGGAGTCCTGACGTCACGGAAGAAACTCGTGTTTTGAAGGGCCATCCCCGCCATAAGTCGAGAACATACCCCAGGTCCCCGCCGCAACTCGAGAAAAACCATGAGACTTCCCCCTAGAGGCGAGATGAGGCCCCATTACCCTGCAGTGCATGCAGAGCTATTCCGTGATCCCATTCAAACAAGTCAGGAGCTTCGACTTGCTTAATGGATCTCGAGACAGTCCCCAAGAACACTGTCACCAGTCTAGATGGACCCTGAGGTCACCCCAGCAACGCAAAGCAGCTCCATGTGCCCCAAATCAACTCGAGATGAGGCCCGATTCCCCTGCATTGACTCCAGAGCCATTCCCGTTCCCTGTTCAACACGAACGGAGGCTCGCCTTCCTTCAGGCAACTCCAGAGATGCCCCGAGAACACTGTCCCAAGTCTAGAGGAACACCAACTTCAGCACAGCAACTCGAGGAATGCTCTGGGTACCGCAAATCGTCTCGAGATGAGAGCTGATTCCCTGGCTTAGGCTCAAGACGTATGCCAACTTTCCAGAAGCACCTCAGGAGGAGGCTTCTCAGCAATAGGTATGTGGGAGGGACTCCGAGTTTCCTGCCTCAAGGGGAATATACATCGAGAAGCCCTAACTTGAAAGGAGGCCGGATTTCCTTGCAGTAGCTTGAATACAGGCTTGTCTTTGACCAGACAACATGAAGGGATGTCTGAATCCCCTGTGGAGACCTTAAAGAAAGCCCTAGGTCCCTGCCTCATTTTGACGGAATGCCTCACATCCCGCTGACACCTCGAGAGGCACGCGGAGTTCATTGCTTCAAAAGGTGACGATGCCTGACTCCTCTTGAATACTGATAGGAATCCCAAAATCCCTGTGGCTACTGGAAAGGGTCCTTGGGTGCCCTGCCTCACCTCGAGAAGCGTCCCTTTTGCCCTGCCAAGCCTCGAAGAGATTCCTGAGGTGTCCCTCGTTACTAGGCAGGAGTCCTGACGTCACTGAAGAAACTCGTGTTTTGAAGGGCCATCCCCGCCGTAAGTCGAGAACATAACCCAGGTCCCCGCCGCAAGTCGACAAAAACCGTGAGACTTCCCCCTAGAGGCGAGATGAGGCCCCATTCCCCTGCAGTGCATGCAGAGCTATTCCGTGATCCCATTCAAACAAGTCAGGAGCTTCGACTTGCTTAATGGATCTCGAGACAGTCCCCAAGAACACTGTTACCAGTCTAGACGGACCCTGAGGTCACGCCAGCATCGCAAAGCTGCTCCATGTGCCCCAAATCAACTCGAGATGAGGCCCGATTCCCCTGCATTGACTCCAGAGCCATTCCCGTTCCCCGTTCAACACGAACGGAGGCTCGCCTTCCTTCAGGCAACTCCAGAGATGCCCCGAGAACACTGTCCCAAGTCTAGAGGAACACCAACTTCAGCACAGCAACTCGAGGAATGCTCTGTGTACCCCAAATCGTCTCGAGATGAGAGCTGATTCCCTGGCTTAGGCTCAAGACGTATGCCGACTTTCCAGAAGCACCTCAGGAGGAGGCTCCTCAGCAATAGGTATGTGGGAGGGACTCCGAGTGTGCTGCCTCAAGGGGAATATACATCGAGAAGCCCTAACTTGAAAGGAGGCCGGATTTCCTTGCAGTAGCTTGAATACAGGCTTGTCTTTCATCTCACAACACGAAGGGATGTCTGAATCCCCTGTGGAGACCTTAGAGAAAGCCCTAGGTCCCTGCCTCATTTTGACGGAATGCCTCACATCCCGCTGACACCTCGAGAGGCAAGCGGAGTTCATTGCTTCAAAAGGTGACGATGCCTGACTCCTCTTGAATACTGATAGGAATCCCAAAATCCCTGTGGCTACTGGAAAGGGTCCTTGGGTGTCCTGCCTCACCTCGAGAAGCGTCCCTTTTGCCCTGCCAAGCCTCGAAGAGATTCCTGAGGTGTCCCTCGTTACTAGGCAGGAGTCCTGACGTCACTGAAGAAACTCGTGTTTTGAAGGGCCATCCCCGCCGTAAGTCGAGAACATACCCCAGGTCCCCGCCGCAACTCGAGAAAAACCATGAGACTTCCCCCTAGAGGCGAGATGAGGCCCCATTCCCCTGCAGTGCATGCAGAGCTATTCCGTGATCCCATTCAAACAAGTCAGGAGCTTCGACTTGCTTAATGGATCTCGAGAGAGTCCCCAAGAACACTGTCACCAGTCTAGACGGACCCTGAGGTCACCCCAGCAACGCAAAGCAGCTCCATGTGCCCCAAATCAACTCGAGATGAGGCCCGATTCCCCTGCATTGACTCCAGAGCCATTCCCGTTCCCCCTTCAACACGAACGGAGGCTCGCCTTCCTTCAGGCTACTCCAGAGATGCCCCGAGAACACTGTCCCAAGTCTAGAGGAACACCAACTTCAGCACAGCAACTCGAGGAATGCTCTGTGTACCGTAAATCGTCTCGAGATGAGAGATGATTCCCTGGCTTAGGCTCAAGACGTATGCCAACTTTCCAGAAGCACCTCAGGAGGAGGCTTCTCAGCAATAGGTATGTGGGAGGGACTCCGAGTTTGCTGCCTCAAGGGGAATATACAGCGAGAAGCCCTAACGTGAAAGGAGGCCGGATTTCCTTGCAGTAGCTTGAATACAGGCTTGTCTTTCATCTCACAACATGAAGGGATGTCTGAATCCCCTGTGGAGACCTTAGAGAAAGCCCTAGGTCCCTGCCTCATTTTGACGGAATGCCTCACATCCCGCTGACACCTCGAGAGGCACGCGGAGTTCATTGCTTCAAAAGGTGACGATGCCTGACTCCTCTTGAATACTGATAGGAATCCCAAAATCCCTGTGGCTACTGGAAAGGGTCCTTGGGTGCCCTGGCTCACCTCGAGAAGCGTCCCTTTTGCCCTGCCAAGCCTCGAAGAGATTGCTGAGGTGTCCCTCGTTACTAGGCAGGAGTCCTGACGTCACTGAAGAAACTCGTGTTTTGAAGGGCCATCCCCGCCGTAAGTCGAGAACATACCCCAGGTCCCCGCCGCAAGTCGACACAAACCGTGAGACTTTCCCCTAGAGCTGAGATGAGGCCCCATTCCCCTGCAGTGCATGCAGAGCTATTCCGTGATCCCATTCAAACAAGTCAGGAGCTTCGACTTGCTTAATGGATCTCGAGACAGTCCCCAAGAACACTGTCACCAGTCTAGACGGACCCTGAGGTCACCCCAGCAACGCAAAGCTGCTCCATGTGCCCCAAATCAACTCGAGATGAGCCCCGATTCCCCTGCATTGATTCCAGAGCCATTCCCCGTTCCCCATTCAACACGACCGGTGGCTCGACTTCCTTCAGACAACTCCAGAGATGCCCCGAGAACACTGTCCCAAGTCTAGAGGAACACCAACTTCAGCCCAGCAACTCGAGGAATGCTCCGTGTACCCCAAATCATCTCGAGATGAGAGCTGATTCCCTGGCTTAGGCTCAAGACGTATGCCAACTTTCCAGAAGCACCTCAGGAGGAGGCTTCTCTCAGCAATAGGTATGTGGGAGGGACCCCGAGTTTGCTGCCTCAAGGGGAATATACAGCGAGAAGCCCTAACTTGAAAGGAGGCGGGATTTCCTTGCAGTGGCTTGAATACAGGCTCGTCTTTGATCTGACAACATGAAGGGATGTCTGAATCCACTGTGGAGAACTTAGAGAAAGCCCTAGGTCCCTGCATCATTTTGAATGAATGCCTCACATCCCGCTGACACCTGGAGAGTCACGCGGAGTTCATTGCTTCAAAAGGTGACGATGCCTGACTCCTCTTGAATACTGATAGGAATCCCAAAATCCCTGTGGCTACTGGAAACGGTACTTGGGTGCCCTGCCTCACCTCGAGAAGCGTCCCTTTTGCCCTGCCAAGCCTCGAAGAGATTGCTGAGGTGTCCCTCGTTACTAGGCAGGAGTCCTGACGTCACTGGAGAAACTCGTGTTTTGAAGGGCCATCCCCGCCGTAAGTCGAGAACATACCCCAGGTCCCCGCCGCAACTCGAGAAAAACCGTGAGACTTCCCCCTAGAGGCGAGATGAGGCCCCATTCCCCTGCAGTGCATGCAGAGCTATTCCGTGATCCCATTCAAACAAGTCAGGAGCTTCGACTTGGTTAATGGATCTCGAGACAGTCCCCAAGAACACTGTCACCAGTCTAGACGGACCCTGAGGTCACCCAGCAATGCAAAGCAGCTCCATGTGCCCCAAAACACCTCGAGATGAGGCCGGATTCCCCTGCATTGACTCCAGAGCCATTCCCCGTTCCCCATTCAACACGACCGGTGGCTCGACTTCCTTCAGGCAACTCCAGAGATGCCCCGAGAACACTGTCACAAGTCTAGAGGAACACCAACTTCAGCAGAGCAACTCGAGGAATGCTCCGTGTACCCCAAATCATCTCGAGATGAGAGCTGATTCCCTGGCTTAGGCTCAAGACGTATTCCAACTTTCCAGAAGCACCTCAGGAGGAGGCTTCTCTCAGCAATAGGTATGTGGGAGGGACCCCGAGTTTGCTGCCTCAAGGGGAATACACAGGGAGAAGCCCTAATGTGAACGGAGGCCAGATTTCCTTGCAGTGGCTTGAATACAGGCTCGTCTTTGATCTGACAACATGAAGGGATGTCTGAATCCGCTGTGGAGACCTTAGAGGAAGCCCTAGGTCCCTGCCTCATTTTGACGGAATACCTCACATCCCCCTGACACCTCGAGAGGCACGCAGAGTTCATTGCTTGAAAAGGTGACGATGCCTGACTCCTCTTGAATACTTATAGTAATCCCAAAATCCCTGTGGCTCCTGGAAAGGGTCCTTGGGTGCCCTGGCTCACCTCGAGAAGCGTCGCTTTTGCCCTGCCAAGCCTCGAAGAGATTGCTGAGGTGTCCCTCATTACTAGACAGGAGTCCTGACGTCACGGAAGAAACTCGTGTTTTGAAGGGCCATCCCCGCCATAAGTCGAGAACATACCCCAGGTCCCCGCCGCAACTCGAGAAAAACCATGAGACTTCCCCCTAGAGGCGAGATGAGGCCCCATTACCCTGCAGTGCATGCAGAGCTATTCCGTGATCCCATTCAAACAAGTCAGGAGCTTCGACTTGCTTAATGGATCTCGAGACAGTCCCCAAGAACACTGTCACCAGTATAGATGGACCCTGAGGTCACCCCAGCAACGCAAAGCAGCTCCATGTGCCCCAAATCAACTCGAGATGAGGCCCGATTCCCCTGCATTGACTCCAGAGCCATTCCCGTTCCCCGTTCAACACGAACGGAGGCTCGCCTTCCTTCAGGCAACTCCAGAGATGCCCCGAGAACACTGTCCCAAGTCTAGAGGAACACCAACTTCAGCACAGCAACTCGAGGAATGCTCTGGGTACCGCAAATCGTCTCGAGATGAGAGCTGATTCCCTGGCTTAGGCTCAAGACGTATGCCAACTTTCCAGAAGCACCTCAGGAGGAGGCTTCTCAGCAATAGGTATGTGGGAGGGACTCCGAGTTTGCTGCCTCAAGGGGAATATACATCGAGAAGCCCTAACTTGAAAGGAGGCCGGATTTCCTTGCAGTAGCTTGAATACAGGCTTGTCTTTGACCAGACAACATGAAGGGATGTCTGAATCCCCTGTGGAGACCTTAAAGAAAGCCCTAGGTCCCTGCCTCATTTTGACGGAATGCCTCACATCCCGCTGACACCTCGAGAGGCACGCGGAGTTCATTGCTTCAAAAGGTGACGATGCCTGACTCCTCTTGAATACTGATAGGAATCCCAAAATCCCTGTGGCTACTGGAAAGGGTCCTTGGGTGCCCTGCCTCACCTCGAGAAGCGTCCCTTTTGCCCTGCCAAGCCTCGAAGAGATTCCTGAGGTGTCCCTCGTTACTAGGCAGGAGACCTGACGTCACTGAAGAAACTCGTGTTTTGAAGGGCCATCCCCGCCGTAAGTCGAGAACATACCCCAGGTCCCCGCCGCAAGTCGACAAAAACCGTGAGACTTCCCCCTAGAGGCGAGATGAGGCCCCATTCCCCTGCAGTGCATGCAGAGCTATTCCGTGATCCCATTCAAACAAGTCAGGAGCTTCGACTTGCTTAATGGATCTCGAGACAGTCCCCAAGAACACTGTCACCAGTCTAGACGGACCCTGAGGTCACGCCAGCATCGCAAAGCTGCTCCATGTGCCCCAAATCAACTCGAGATGAGGCCCGATTCCCCTGCATTGACTCCAGAGCCATTCCCGTTCCCCGTTCAACACGAACGGAGGCTCGCCTTCCTTCAGGCAACTCCAGAGATGCCCCGAGAACACTGTCCCAAGTCTAGAGGAACACTAACTTCAGCACAGCAACTCGAGGAATGCTCTGTGTACCCCAAATCGTCTCGAGATGAGAGCTGATTCCCTGGCTTAGGCTCAAGACGTATGCCGACTTTCCAGAAGCACCTCAGGAGGAGGCTCCTCAGCAATAGGTATGTGGGAGGGACTCCGAGTGTGCTGCCTCAAGGGGAATATACATCGAGAAGCCCTAACTTGAAAGGAGGCCGGATTTCCTTGCAGTAGCTTGAATACAGGCTTGTCTTTCATCTCACAACACGAAGGGATGTCTGAATCCCCTGTGGAGACCTTAGAGAAAGCCCTAGGTCCCTGCCTCATTTTGACGGAATGCCTCACATCCCGCTGACACCTCGAGAGGCACGCGGAGTTCATTGCTTCAAAAGGTGACGATGCCTGACTCCTCTTGAATACTGATAGGAATCCCAAAATTCCTGTGGCTACTGGAAAGGGTCCTTGGGTGCCTTGCCTCACCTCGAGAAGCGTCCCTTTTGCCCTGCCAAGCCTCGAAGAGATTCCTGAGGTGTCCCTCGTTACTAGGCAGGAGTCCTGATGTCACTGAAGAAACTCGTGTTTTGAAGGGCCATCCCCGCCGTAAGTCGAGAACATACCCCAGGTCCCCGCCGCAACTCGAGAAAAACCATGAGACTTCCCCCTAGAGGCGAGATGAGGCCCCATTCCCCTGCAGTGCATGCAGAGCTATTCCGTGATCCCATTCAAACAAGTCAGGAGCTTCGACTTGCTTAATGGATCTCGAGACAGTCCCCAAGAACACTCACCAGTATAGACGGACCCTGAGGTCACCCCAGCAAGGCAAAGCTGCTCCATGTGCCCCAAATCAACTCGAGATGAGGCCCGATTCCCCTGCATTGACTCCAGAGCCATTCCCCGTTCCCCATTCAACACGACCGGTGGCTCGACTTCCTTCAGGCAACTCCAGAGATGCCCAGAGAACACTTTCCCAAGTCTAGAGGAACACCAGCTTCAGCACAGCAACTCGAGGAATGCTCCGAGTACCCCAAATCATCTCGAGATGAGAGCTGATTCCCTGGCTTAGGCTCAAGACGTATGCCAACTTTCCAGAAGCACCTCAGGAGGAGGCTTCTCTCAGCAATAGGTATGTGGGAGGGACCCCGAGTTTGCTGCCTCAAGGGGAATATACAGCGAGAAGCCCTAACTTGAAAGGAGGCCAGATTTCCTTGCAGTGGCTTGAATACAGGCTCGTCTTTGATCTGACAACATGAAGGGATGTCTGAATCCCCTGTGGAGACCTTAGAGAAAGCCCTAGGTCCCTGCCTCATTTTGACGGAATGCCTCACATCCCGCTGACACCTCGAGAGGCAAGCGGAGTTCATTGCTTCAAAAGGTGACGATGCCTGACTCCTCTTGAATACTGATAGGAATCCCAAAATCCCTGTGGCTACTGGAAAGGGTCCTTGGGTGTCCTGCCTCACCTCGAGAAGCGTCCCTTTTGCCCTGCCAAGCCTCGAAGAGATTCCTGAGGTGTCCCTCGTTACTAGGCAGGAGTCCTGACGTCACTGGAGAAACTGGTGTTTTGAAGGGCCATCCCCGCCGTAAGTCGAGAACATACCCCAGGTCCCCGCCGCACCTCGAGAAAAACCGCGAGACTTCGCCCTAGAGGCGAGATGAGGCCCCATTCCCCTGCAGTGCATGCAGAGCTATTCCGTGATCCCATTCAAACAAGTCAGGAGCTTCGACTTGCTTAATGGATCTCGAGACAGTCCCCAAGAACACTGTCACCAGTCTAGACGGACCCTGAGGTCACCCCAGCAACGCAAAGCTGCTCCATGTGCCCCAAATCAACTCGAGATGAGGCCCGATTCCCCTGCATTGACTCCAGAGCCATTCCCCGTTCCCCATTCAAGACGACCGGTGGCTCGACTTCCTTCAGGCAACTCCAGAGATTCCCCGAGAACACTGTCCCAAGGCTAGAGGAACACCAACTTCAGCACAGCAACTCGAGGAATGCTCCGTGTACCCCAAATCATCTCGAGATGAGAGCTGATTCCCTGGCTTAGGCTCAAGACGTATGCCAACTTTCCAGAAGCATCTCAGGAGGAGGCTTCTCTCAGCAATAGGTATGTGGGAGGGACCCCGTGTTTGCTGCCTCAAGGGGAATACACAGGGAGAAGCCCTAATGTGAACGGAGGCCAGATTTATTTGCAGAGGGTTGAATACAGGCTCGTCTTTGATCTGACAACATTAAGGGATGTCTGAATACCCTGTGGAGAGCTTAGAGGAAGCCCTAGGTCCCTGCCTCATTTTGACGGAATACCTCACATCCCCCTGACACCTCGAGAGGCACGCAGAGTTTATTGCTTCAAAAGGTGACGATGCCTGACTCCTCTTGAATACTTATAGGAATCCCAAAATCCCTGTTGCTACTGGAAAGGGTCCTTGGGTGCCCTGGCTCACCTCGAGAAGCGTCCCCTTTGCCCTGCCAAGCCTCGAAGAGATTGCTGAGGTGTCCCTCGTTACTAGACAGGAGTCCTGACGTCACTGAAGAAACTCGTGTTTTGAAGGGCCATCCCCGCCGTAAGTCGAGAACATACCCCAGGTCCCCGCCGCAACTCGAGAAAAACCATGAGACTTCCCCCTAGAGGCGAGATGAGGCCCCATTCCCCTGCAGTGCATGCAGAGCTATTCCGTGATCCCATTCAAACAAGTCAGGAGCTTCGACTTGCTTAATGGATCTCGAGACAGTCCCCAAGAACACTGTCACCAGTCTAGACGGACCCTGAGGTCACCCCAGCAACGCAAAGCTGCTCCATGTGCCCCAAATCAACTCGAGATGAGGCCCGATTCCCCTGCATTGACTCCAGAGCCATTCCCCGTTCCCCATTCAAGACGACCGGTGGCTCGACTTCCTTCAGGCAACTCCAGAGATTCCCCGAGAACACTGTCCCAAGGCTAGAGGAACACCAACTTCAGCACAGCAACTCGAGGAATGCTCCGTGTACCCCAAATCATCTCGAGATGAGAGCTGATTCCCTGGCTTAGGCTCAAGACGTATGCCAACTTTCCAGAAGCATCTCAGGAGGAGGCTTCTCTCAGCAATAGGTATGTGGGAGGGACCCCGTGTTTGCTGCCTCAAGGGGAATACACAGGGAGAAGCCCTAATGTGAACGGAGGCCAGATTTCCTTGCAGAGGGTTGAATACAGGCTCGTCTTTGATCTGACAACATTAAGGGATGTCTGAATACCCTGTGGAGACCTTAGAGGAAGCCCTAGGTCCCTGCCTCATTTTGACGGAATACCTCACCTCCCCCTGACACCTCGAGAGGCACGCAGAGTTCATTGCTTCAAAAGGTGACGATGCCTGACTCCTCTTGAATACCTATAGGAATCCCAAAATCCCTGTTGCTACTTGAAAGGGTCCTTGGGTGCCCTGGCTCACCTCGAGAAGCGTCCCCTTTGCCCTGCCAAGCCTCGAAGAGATTCCTGAGGTGTCCCTCGTTACTAGACAGGAGTCCTGACGTCACTGAAGAAACTCGTGTTTTGAAGGGCCATCCCCGCCATAAGTCGAGAACATACCCCAGGTCCCCGCCGCAACTCGAGAAAAACCATGAGACTTCCCCCTAGAGGCGAGATGAGGCCCCATTCCCCTGCAGTGCATGCAGAGCTATTCCGTGATCCCATTCAAACAAGTCAGGAGCTTCGACTTGCTTAATGGATCTCGAGAGAGTCCCCAAGAACACTGTCACCAGTCTAGACGGACCCTGAGGTCACCCCAGCAACGCAAAGCAGCTCCATGTGCCCCAAATCAACTCGAGATGAGGCCCGATTCCCCTGCATTGACTCCAGAGCCATTCCCGTTCCCCCTTCAACACGAACGGAGGCTCGCCTTCCTTCAGGCTTCTCCAGAGATGCCCCGAGAACACTGTCCCAAGTCTAGAGGAACACCAACTTCAGCACAGCAACTCGAGGAATGCTCTGTGTACCGTAAATCGTCTCGAGATGAGAGATGATTCCCTGGCTTAGGCTCAAGACGTATGCCAACTTTCCAGAAGCACCTCAGGAGGAGGCTTCTCAGCAATAGGTATGTGGGAGGGACTCCGAGTTTGCTGCCTCAAGGGGAATATACAGCGAGAAGCCCTAACGTGAAAGGAGGCCGGATTTCCTTGCAGTAGCTTGAATACAGGCTTGTCTTTCATCTCACAACATGAAGGGATGTCTGAATCCCCTGTGGAGAACTTAGAGAAAGCCCTAGGTCCCTGCCTCATTTTGACGGAATGCCTCACATCCCGCTGACACCTCGAGAGGCACGCGGAGTTCATTGCTTCAAAAGGTGACGATGCCTGACTCCTCTTGAATACTGATAGGAATCCCAAAATCCCTGTGGCTACTGGAAAGGGTCCTTGGGTGCCCTGGCTCACCTCGAGAAGCGTCCCTTTTGCCCTGCCAAGCCTCGAAGAGATTGCTGAGGTGTCCCTCGTTACTAGGCAGGAGTCCTGACGTCACTGAAGAAACTCGTGTTTTGAAGGGCCATCCCCGCCGTAAGTCGAGAACATACCCCAGGTCCCCGCCGCAAGTCGACACAAACCGTGAGACTTCCCCCTAGAGCTGAGATGAGGCCCCATTCCCCTGCAGTGCATGCAGAGCTATTCCGTGATCCCATTCAAACAAGTCAGGAGCTTCGACTTGCTTAATGGATCTCGAGACAGTCCCCAAGAACACTGTCACCAGTCTAGACGGACCCTGAGGTCACCCCAGCAAGGCAAAGCTGCTCCATGTGCCCCAAATCAACTCGAGATGAGGCCCGATTCCCCTGCATTGACTCCAGAGCCATTCCCCGTTCCCCATTCAACACGACCGGTGGCTCGACTTCCTTCAGGCAACTCCAGAGATGCCCAGAGAACACTTTCCCAAGTCTAGAGGAACACCAGCTTCAGCACAGCAACTCGAGGAATGCTCCGAGTACCCCAAATCATCTCGAGATGAGAGCTGATTCCCTGGCTTAGGCTCAAGACGTATGCCAACTTTCCAGAAGCACCTCAGGAGGAGGCTTCTCTCAGCAATAGGTATGTGGGAGGGACCCCGAGTTTGCTGCCTCAAGGGGAATATACAGCGAGAAGCCCTAACTTGAAAGGAGGCCGGATTTCCTTGCAGTGGCTTGAATACAGGCTCGTCTTTGATCTGACAACATGAAGGGATGTCTGAATCCCCTGTGGAGACCTTAGAGAAAGCCCTAGGTCCCTGCCTCATTTTGACGGAATGCCTCACATCCCGCTGACACCTCGAGAGGCAAGCGGAGTTCATTGCTTCAAAAGGTGACGATGCCTGACTCCTCTTGAATACTGATAGGAATCCCAAAATCCCTGTGGCTACTGGAAAGGGTCCTTGGGTGTCCTGCCTCACCTCGAGAAGCGTCCCTTTTGCCCTGCCAAGCCTCGAAGAGATTCCTGAGGTGTCCCTCGTTACTAGGCAGGAGTCCTGACGTCACTGGAGAAACTGGTGTTTTGAAGGGCCATCCCCGCCGTAAGTCGAGAACATACCCCAGGTCCCCGCCGCACCTCGAGAAAAACCGCGAGACTTCGCCCTAGAGGCGAGATGAGGCCCCATTCCCCTGCAGTGCATGCAGAGCTATTCCGTGATCCCATTCAAACAAGTCAGGAGCTTCGACTTGCTTAATGGATCTCGAGACAGTCCCCAAGAACACTGTCACCAGTCTAGACGGACCCTGAGGTCACCCCAGCAACGCAAAGCTGCTCCATGTGCCCCAAATCAACTCGAGATGAGGCCCGATTCCCCTGCATTGACTCCAGAGCCATTCCCCGTTCCCCATTCAAGACGACCGGTGGCTCGACTTCCTTCAGGCAACTCCAGAGATTCCCCGAGAACACTGTCCCAAGGCTAGAGGAACACCAACTTCAGCACAGCAACTCGAGGAATGCTCCGTGTACCCCAAATCATCTCGAGATGAGAGCTGATTCCCTGGCTTAGGCTCAAGACGTATGCCAACTTTCCAGAAGCATCTCAGGAGGAGGCTTCTCTCAGCAATAGGTATGTGGGAGGGACCCCGTGTTTGCTGCCTCAAGGGGAATACACAGGGAGAAGCCCTAATGTGAACGGAGGCCAGATTTATTTGCAGAGGGTTGAATACAGGCTCGTCTTTGATCTGACAACATTAAGGGATGTCTGAATACCCTGTGGAGAGCTTAGAGGAAGCCCTAGGTCCCTGCCTCATTTTGACGGAATACCTCACATCCCCCTGACACCTCGAGAGGCACGCAGAGTTTATTGCTTCAAAAGGTGACGATGCCTGACTCCTCTTGAATACTTATAGGAATCCCAAAATCCCTGTTGCTACTGGAAAGGGTCCTTGGGTGCCCTGGCTCACCTCGAGAAGCGTCCCCTTTGCCCTGCCAAGCCTCGAAGAGATTGCTGAGGTGTCCCTCGTTACTAGACAGGAGTCCTGACGTCACTGAAGAAACTCGTGTTTTGAAGGGCCATCCCCGCCGTAAGTCGAGAACATACCCCAGGTCCCCGCCGCAACTCGAGAAAAACCATGAGACTTCCCCCTAGAGGCGAGATGAGGCCCCATTCCCCTGCAGTGCATGCAGAGCTATTCCGTGATCCCATTCAAACAAGTCAGGAGCTTCGACTTGCTTAATGGATCTCGAGACAGTCCCCAAGAACACTGTCACCAGTCTAGACGGACCCTGAGGTCACCCCAGCAACGCAAAGCTGCTCCATGTGCCCCAAATCAACTCGAGATGAGGCCCGATTCCCCTGCATTGACTCCAGAGCCATTCCCCGTTCCCCATTCAAGACGACCGGTGGCTCGACTTCCTTCAGGCAACTCCAGAGATTCCCCGAGAACACTGTCCCAAGGCTAGAGGAACACCAACTTCAGCACAGCAACTCGAGGAATGCTCCGTGTACCCCAAATCATCTCGAGATGAGAGCTGATTCCCTGGCTTAGGCTCAAGACGTATGCCAACTTTCCAGAAGCATCTCAGGAGGAGGCTTCTCTCAGCAATAGGTATGTGGGAGGGACCCCGTGTTTGCTGCCTCAAGGGGAATACACAGGGAGAAGCCCTAATGTGAACGGAGGCCAGATTTCCTTGCAGAGGGTTGAATACAGGCTCGTCTTTGATCTGACAACATTAAGGGATGTCTGAATACCCTGTGGAGACCTTAGAGGAAGCCCTAGGTCCCTGCCTCATTTTGACGGAATACCTCACCTCCCCCTGACACCTCGAGAGGCACGCAGAGTTCATTGCTTCAAAAGGTGACGATGCCTGACTCCTCTTGAATACCTATAGGAATCCCAAAATCCCTGTTGCTACTTGAAAGGGTCCTTGGGTGCCCTGGCTCACCTCGAGAAGCGTCCACTTTGCCCTGCCAAGCCTCGAAGAGATTGCTGAGGTGTCCCTCGTTACTAGACAGGAGTCCTGACGTCACTGAAGAAACTCGTGTTTTGAAGGGCCATCCCCGCCATAAGTCGAGAACATACCCCAGGTCCCCGCCGCAACTCGAGAAAAACCATGAGACTTCCCCCTAGAGGCGAGATGAGGCCCCATTCCCCTGCAGTGCATGCAGAGCTATTCCGTGATCCCATTCAAACAAGTCAGGAGCTTCGACTTGCTTAATGGATCTCGAGAGAGTCCCCAAGAACACTGTCACCAGTCTAGACGGACCCTGAGGTCACCCCAGCAACGCAAAGCAGCTCCATGTGCCCCAAATCAACTCGAGATGAGGCCCGATTCCCCTGCATTGACTCCAGAGCCATTCCCGTTCCCCCTTCAACACGAACGGAGGCTCGCCTTCCTTCAGGCTACTCCAGAGATGCCCCGAGAACACTGTCCCAAGTCTAGAGGAACACCAACTTCAGCACAGCAACTCGAGGAATGCTCTGTGTACCGTAAATCGTCTCGAGATGAGAGATGATTCCCTGGCTTAGGCTCAAGACGTATGCCAACTTTCCAGAAGCACCTCAGGAGGAGGCTTCTCAGCAATAGGTATGTGGGAGGGACTCCGAGTTTGCTGCCTCAAGGGGAATATACAGCGAGAAGCCCTAACGTGAAAGGAGGCCGGATTTCCTTGCAGTAGCTTGAATACAGGCTTGTCTTTCATCTCACAACATGAAGGGATGTCTGAATCCCCTGTGGAGACCTTAGAGAAAGCCCTAGGTCCCTGCCTCATTTTGACGGAATGCCTCACATCCCGCTGACACCTCGAGAGGCACGCGGAGTTCATTGCTTCAAAAGGTGACGATGCCTGACTCCTCTTGAATACTGATAGGAATCCCAAAATCCCTGTGGCTACTGGAAAGGGTCCTTGGGTGCCCTGGCTCACCTCGAGAAGCGTCCCTTTTGCCCTGCCAAGCCTCGAAGAGATTGCTGAGGTGTCCCTCGTTACTAGGCAGGAGTCCTGACGTCACTGAAGAAACTCGTGTTTTGAAGGGCCATCCCCGCCGTAAGTCGAGAACATACCCCAGGTCCCCGCCGCAAGTCGACACAAACCGTGAGACTTCCCCCTAGAGCTGAGATGAGGCCCCATTCCCCTGCAGTGCATGCAGAGCTATTCCGTGATCCCATTCAAACAAGTCAGGAGCTTCGACTTGCTTAATGGATCTCGAGACAGTCCCCAAGAACACTGTCACCAGTCTAGACGGACCCTGAGGTCACCCCAGCAACGCAAAGCTGCTCCATGTGCCCCAAATCAACTCGAGATGAGCCCCGATTCCCCTGCATTGATTCCAGAGCCATTCCCCGTTCCCCATTCAACACGACCGGTGGCTCGACTTCCTTCAGACAACTCCAGAGATGCCCCGAGAACACTGTCCCAAGTCTAGAGGAACACCAACTTCAGCCCAGCAACTCGAGGAATGCTCCGTGTACCCCAAATCATCTCGAGATGAGAGCTGATTCCCTGGCTTAGGCTCAAGACGTATGCCAACTTTCCAGAAGCACCTCAGGAGGAGGCTTCTCTCAGCAATAGGTATGTGGGAGGGACCCCGAGTTTGCTGCCTCAAGGGGAATATACAGCGAGAAGCCCTAACTTGAAAGGAGGCCGGATTTCCTTGCAGTGGCTTGAATACAGGCTCGTCTTTGATCTGACAACATGAAGGGATGTCTGAATCCACTGTGGAGAACTTAGAGAAAGCCCTAGGTCCCTGCATCATTTTGAATGAATGCCTCACATCCCGCTGACACCTGGAGAGTCACGCGGAGTTCATTGCTTCAAAAGGTGACGATGCCTGACTCCTCTTGAATACTGATAGGAATCCCAAAATCCCTGTGGCTACTGGAAAGGGTCCTTGGGTGCCCTGCCTCACCTCGAGAAGCGTCCCTTTTGCCCTGCCAAGCCTCGAAGAGATTGTTGAGGTGTCCCTCGTTACTAGGCAGGAGTCCTGACGTCACTGGAGAAACTCGTGTTTTGAAGGGCCATCCCCGCCGTAAGTCGAGAACATACCCCAGGTCCCCGCCGCAACTCGAGAAAAACCGTGAGACTTCCCCCTAGAGGCGAGATGAGGCCCCATTCCCCTGCAGTGCATGCAGAGCTATTCCGTGATCCCATTCAAACAAGTCAGGAGCTTCGACTTGGTTAATGGATCTCGAGACAGTCCCCAAGAACACTGTCACCAGTCTAGACGGACCCTGAGGTCACCCAGCAATGCAAAGCAGCTCCATGTGCCCCAAAACAACTCGAGATGAGGCCGGATTCCCCTGCATTGACTCCAGAGCCATTCCCCGTTCCCCATTCAACACGACCGGTGGCTCGACTTCCTTCAGGCAACTCCAGAGATGCCCCGAGAACACTGTCACAAGTCTAGAGGAACACCAACTTCAGCAGAGCAACTCGAGGAATGCTCCGTGTACCCCAAATCATCTCGAGATGAGAGCTGATTCCCTGGCTTAGGCTCAAGACGTATTCCAACTTTCCAGAAGCACCTCAGGAGGAGGCTTCTCTCAGCAATAGGTATGTGGGAGGGACCCCGAGTTTGCTGCCTCAAGGGGAATACACAGGGAGAAGCCCTAATGTGAAGGGAGGCCAGATATCCTTGCAGTGGCTTGAATACAGGCTCGTCTTTGATCTGACAACATGAAGGGATGTCTGAATCCGCTGTGGAGACCTTAGAGGAAGCCCTAGGTCCCTGCCTCATTTTGACGGAATACCTCACATCCCCCTGACACCTCGAGAGGCACGCAGAGTTCATTGCTTGAAAAGGTGACGATGCCTGACTCCTCTTGAATACTTATAGTAATCCCAAAATCCCTGTGGCTCCTGGAAAGGGTCCTTGGGTGCCCTGGCTCACCTCGAGAAGCGTCGCTTTTGCCCTGCCAAGCCTCGAAGAGATTGCTGAGGTGTCCCTCATTACTAGACAGGAGTCCTGACGTCACGGAAGAAACTCGTGTTTTGAAGGGCCATCCCCGCCATAAGTCGAGAACATACCCCAGGTCCCCGAAGCAACTCGAGAAAAACCATGAGACTTCCCCCTAGAGGCGAGATGAGGCCCCATTCCCCTGCAGTGCATGCAGAGCTATTCCGTGATCCCATTCAAACAAGTCAGGAGCTTCGACTTGCTTAATGGATCTCGAGAGAGTCCCCAAGAACACTGTCACCAGTCTAGACGGACCCTGAGGTCACCCCAGCAACGCAAAGCAGCTCCATGTGCCCCAAATCAACTCGAGATGAGGCCCGATTCCCCTGCATTGACTCCAGAGCCATTCCCGTTCCCCCTTCAACACGAACGGAGGCTCGCCTTCCTTCAGGCTACTCCAGAGATGCCCCGAGAACACTGTCCCAAGTCTAGAGGAACACCAACTTCAGCACAGCAACTCGAGGAATGCTCTGTGTACCGTAAATCGTCTCGAGATGAGAGATGATTCCCTGGCTTAGGCTCAAGACGTATGCCAACTTTCCAGAAGCACCTCAGGAGGAGGCTTCTCAGCAATAGGTATGTGGGAGGGACTCCGAGTTTGCTGCCTCAAGGGGAATATACAGCGAGAAGCCCTAACGTGAAAGGAGGCCGGATTTCCTTGCAGTAGCTTGAATACAGGCTTGTCTTTCATCTCACAACATGAAGGGATGTCTGAATCCCCTGTGGAGACCTTAGAGAAAGCCCTAGGTCCCTGCCTCATTTTGACGGAATGCCTCACATCCCGCTGACACCTCGAGAGGCACGCGGAGTTCATTGCTTCAAAAGGTGACGATGCCTGACTCCTCTTGAATACTGATAGGAATCCCAAAATCCCTGTGGCTACTGGAAAGGGTCCTTGGGTGCCCTGGCTCACCTCGAGAAGCGTCCCTTTTGCCCTGCCAAGCCTCGAAGAGATTGCTGAGGTGTCCCTCGTTACTAGGCAGGAGTCCTGACGTCACTGAAGAAACTCGTGTTTTGAAGGGCCATCCCCGCCGTAAGTCGAGAACATACCCCAGGTCCCCGCCGCAAGTCGACACAAACCATGAGACTTCCCCCTAGAGCTGAGATGAGGCCCCATTCCCCTGCAGTGCATGCAGAGCTATTCCGTGATCCCATTCAAACAAGTCAGGAGCTTCGACTTGCTTAATGGATCTCGAGACAGTCCCCAAGAACACTGTCACCAGTCTAGACGGACCCTGAGGTCACCCCAGCAACGCAAAGCTGCTCCATGTGCCCCAAATCAACTCGAGATGAGCCCCGATTCCCCTGCATTGATTCCAGAGCCATTCCCCGTTCCCCATTCAACACGACCGGTGGCTCGACTTCCTTCAGACAACTCCAGAGATGCCCCGAGAACACTGTCTCAAGTCTAGAGGAACACCAACTTCAGCCCAGCAACTCGAGGAATGCTCCGTGTACCCCAAATCATCTCGAGATGAGAGCTGATTCCCTGGCTTAGGCTCAAGACGTATGCCAACTTTCCAGAAGCACCTCAGGAGGAGGCTTCTCTCAGCAATAGGTATGTGGGAGGGACCCCGAGTTTGCTGCCTCAAGGGGAATATACAGCGAGAAGCCCTAACTTGAAAGGAGGCCGGATTTCCTTGCAGTGGCTTGAATACAGGCTCGTCTTTGATCTGACAACATGAAGGGATGTCTGAATCCACTGTGGAGAACTTAGAGAAAGCCCTAGGTCCCTGCATCATTTTGAATGAATGCCTCACATCCCGCTGACACCTGGAGAGTCACGCGGAGTTCATTGCTTCAAAAGGTGATGATGCCTGACTCCTCTTGAATACTGATAGGAATCCCAAAATCCCTGTGGCTACTGGAAAGGGTCCTTGGGTACCCTGCCTCACCTCGAGAAGCGTCCCTTTTGCCCTGCCAAGCCTCGAAGAGATTGCTGAGGTGTCCCTCGTTACTAGGCAGGAGTCCTGACGTCACTGGAGAAACTCGTGTTTTGAAGGGCCATCCCCGCCGTAAGTCGAGAACATACCCCAGGTCCCCGCCGCAACTCGAGAAAAACCGTGAGACTTCCCCCTAGAGGCGAGATGAGGCCCCATTCCCCTGCAGTGCATGCAGAGCTATTCCGTGATCCCATTCAAACAAGTCAGGAGCTTCGACTTGGTTAATGGATCTCGAGACAGTCCCCAAGAACACTGTCACCAGTCTAGACGGACCCTGAGGTCACCCAGCAATGCAAAGCAGCTCCATGTGCCCCAAAACAACTCGAGATGAGGCCGGATTCCCCTGCATTGACTCCAGAGCCATTCCCCGTTCCCCATTCAACACGACCGGTGGCTCGACTTCCTTCAGGCAACTCCAGAGATGCCCCGAGAACACTGTCACAAGTCTAGAGGAACACCAACTTCAGCAGAGCAACTCGAGGAATGCTCCGTGTACCCCAAATCATCTCGAGATGAGAGCTGATTCCCTGGCTTAGGCTCAAGACGTATTCCAACTTTCCAGAAGCACCTCAGGAGGAGGCTTCTCTCAGCAATAGGTATGTGGGAGGGACCCCGAGTTTGCTGCCTCAAGGGGAATACACAGGGAGAAGCCCTAATGTGAAGGGAGGCCAGATATCCTTGCAGTGGCTTGAATACAGGCTCGTCTTTGATCTGACAACATGAAGGGATGTCTGAATCCGCTGTGGAGACCTTAGAGGAAGCCCTAGGTCCCTGCCTCATTTTGACGGAATACCTCACATCCCCCTGACACCTCGAGAGGCACGCAGAGTTCATTGCTTGAAAAGGTGACGATGCCTGACTCCTCTTGAATACTTATAGTAATCCCAAAATCCCTGTGGCTCCTGGAAAGGGTCCTTGGGTGCCCTGGCTCACCTCGAGAAGCGTCGCTTTTGCCCTGCCAAGCCTCGAAGAGATTGCTGAGGTGTCCCTCATTACTAGACAGGAGTCCTGACGTCACGGAAGAAACTCGTGTTTTGAAGGGCCATCCCCGCCATAAGTCGAGAACATACCCCAGGTCCCCGCAGCAACTCGAGAAAAACCATGAGACTTCCCCCTAGAGGCGAGATGAGGCCCCATTACCCTGCAGTGCATGCAGAGCTATTCCGTGATCCCATTCAAACAAGTCAGGAGCTTCGACTTGCTTAATGGATCTCGAGACAGTCCCCAAGAACACTGTCACCAGTCTAGACGGACCCTGAGGTCACCCCAGCAATGCAAAGCAGCTCCATGTGCCCCAAATCAACTCGAGATGAGGCCCGATTCCCCTGCATTGACTCCAGAGCCATTCCCGTTCCCCGTTCAACACGAACGGAGGCTCGCCTTCCTTCAGGCAACTCCAGAGATGCCCCGAGAACACTGTCCCAAGTCTAGAGGAACACCAACTTCAGCACAGCAACTCGAGGAATGCTCTGTGTACCGCAAATCGTCTCGAGATGAGAGCTGATTCCCTGGCTTAGGCTCAAGACGTATGCCAACTTTCCAGAAGCACCTCAGGAGGAGGCTTCTCAGCAATAGGTATGTGGGAGGGACTCCGAGTTTGCTGCCTCAAGGGGAATATACATCGAGAAGCCCTAACTTGAAAGGAGGCCGGATTTCCTTGCAGTAGCTTGAATACAGGCTTGTCTTTCATCTCACAACATGAAGGGATGTCTGAATCCCCTGTGGAGACCTTAGAGAAAGCCCTAGGTCCCTGCCTCATTTTGACGGAATGCCTCACATCCCGCTGACACCTCGAGAGGCACGCGGAGTTCATTGCTTCAAAAGGTGACGATGCCTGACTCCTCTTGAATACTGATAGGAATCCCAAAATCCCTGTGGCTACTGGAAAGGGTCCTTGGGTGCCCTGCCTCACCTCGAGAAGCGTCCCTTTTGCCCTGCCAAGCCTCGAAGAGATTGCTGAGGTGTCCCTCGTTACTAGGCAGGAGTCCTGACGTCACTGGAGAAACTCGTGTTTTGAAGGGCCATCCCCGCCGTAAGTCGAGAACATACCCCAGGTCCCCGCCGCAACTCGAGAAAAACCGTGAGACTTCCCCCTAGAGGCGAGATGAGGCCCCATTCCCCTGCAGTGCATGCAGAGCTATTCCGTGATCCCATTCAAACAAGTCAGGAGCTTCGACTTGGTTAATGGATCTCGAGACAGTCCCCAAGAACACTGTCACCAGTCTAGACGGACCCTGAGGTCACCCAGCAATGCAAAGCAGCTCCATGTGCCCCAAAACACCTCGAGATGAGGCCGGATTCCCCTGCATTGACTCCAGAGCCATTCCCCGTTCCCCATTCAACACGACCGGTGGCTCGACTTCCTTCAGGCAACTCCAGAGATGCCCCGAGAACACTGTCACAAGTCTAGAGGAACACCAACTTCAGCAGAGCAACTCGAGGAATGCTCCGTGTACCCCAAATCATCTCGAGATGAGAGCTGATTCCCTGGCTTAGGCTCAAGACGTATTCCAACTTTCCAGAAGCACCTCAGGAGGAGGCTTCTCTCAGCAATAGGTATGTGGGAGGGACCCCGAGTTTGCTGCCTCAAGGGGAATACACAGGGAGAAGCCCTAATGTGAACGGAGGCCAGATTTCCTTGCAGTGGCTTGAATACAGGCTCGTCTTTGATCTGACAACATGAAGGGATGTCTGAATCCGCTGTGGAGACCTTAGAGGAAGCCCTAGGTCCCTGCCTCATTTTGACGGAATACCTCACATCCCCCTGACACCTCGAGAGGCACGCAGAGTTCATTGCTTGAAAAGGTGACGATGCCTGACTCCTCTTGAATACTTATAGTAATCCCAAAATCCCTGTGGCTCCTGGAAAGGGTCCTTGGGTGCCCTGGCTCACCTCGAGAAGCGTCGCTTTTGCCCTGCCAAGCCTCGAAGAGATTGCTGAGGTGTCCCTCATTACTAGACAGGAGTCCTGACGTCACGGAAGAAACTCGTGTTTTGAAGGGCCATCCCCGCCATAAGTCGAGAACATACCCCAGGTCCCCGCCGCAACTCGAGAAAAACCATGAGACTTCCCCCTAGAGGCGAGATGAGGCCCCATTACCCTGCAGTGCATGCAGAGCTATTCCGTGATCCCATTCAAACAAGTCAGGAGCTTCGACTTGCTTAATGGATCTCGAGACAGTCCCCAAGAACACTGTCACCAGTATAGATGGACCCTGAGGTCACCCCAGCAACGCAAAGCAGCTCCATGTGCCCCAAATCAACTCGAGATGAGGCCCGATTCCCCTGCATTGACTCCAGAGCCATTCCCGTTCCCCGTTCAACACGAACGGAGGCTCGCCTTCCTTCAGGCAACTCCAGAGATGCCCCGAGAACACTGTCCCAAGTCTAGAGGAACACCAACTTCAGCACAGCAACTCGAGGAATGCTCTGGGTACCGCAAATCGTCTCGAGATGAGAGCTGATTCCCTGGCTTAGGCTCAAGACGTATGCCAACTTTCCAGAAGCACCTCAGGAGGAGGCTTCTCAGCAATAGGTATGTGGGAGGGACTCCGAGTTTGCTGCCTCAAGGGGAATATACATCGAGAAGCCCTAACTTGAAAGGAGGCCGGATTTCCTTGCAGTAGCTTGAATACAGGCTTGTCTTTGACCAGACAACATGAAGGGATGTCTGAATCCCCTGTGGAGACCTTAAAGAAAGCCCTAGGTCCCTGCCTCATTTTGACGGAATGCCTCACATCCCGCTGACACCTCGAGAGGCACGCGGAGTTCATTGCTTCAAAAGGTGACGATGCCTGACTCCTCTTGAATACTGATAGGAATCCCAAAATCCCTGTGGCTACTGGAAAGGGTCCTTGGGTGCCCTGCCTCACCTCGAGAAGCGTCCCTTTTGCCCTGCCAAGCCTCGAAGAGATTCCTGAGGTGTCCCTCGTTACTAGGCAGGAGACCTGACGTCACTGAAGAAACTCGTGTTTTGAAGGGCCATCCCCGCCGTAAGTCGAGAACATACCCCAGGTCCCCGCCGCAAGTCGACAAAAACCGTGAGACTTCCCCCTAGAGGCGAGATGAGGCCCCATTCCCCTGCAGTGCATGCAGAGCTATTCCGTGATCCCATTCAAACAAGTCAGGAGCTTCGACTTGCTTAATGGATCTCGAGACAGTCCCCAAGAACACTGTCACCAGTCTAGACGGACCCTGAGGTCACGCCAGCATCGCAAAGCTGCTCCATGTGCCCCAAATCAACTCGAGATGAGGCCCGATTCCCCTGCATTGACTCCAGAGCCATTCCCGTTCCCCGTTCAACACGAACGGAGGCTCGCCTTCCTTCAGGCAACTCCAGAGATGCCCCGAGAACACTGTCCCAAGTCTAGAGGAACACTAACTTCAGCACAGCAACTCGAGGAATGCTCTGTGTACCCCAAATCGTCTCGAGATGAGAGCTGATTCCCTGGCTTAGGCTCAAGACGTATGCCGACTTTCCAGAAGCACCTCAGGAGGAGGCTCCTCAGCAATAGGTATGTGGGAGGGACTCCGAGTGTGCTGCCTCAAGGGGAATATACATCGAGAAGCCCTAACTTGAAAGGAGGCCGGATTTCCTTGCAGTAGCTTGAATACAGGCTTGTCTTTCATCTCACAACACGAAGGGATGTCTGAATCCCCTGTGGAGACCTTAGAGAAAGCCCTAGGTCCCTGCCTCATTTTGACGGAATGCCTCACATCCCGCTGACACCTCGAGAGGCACGCGGAGTTCATTGCTTCAAAAGGTGACGATGCCTGACTCCTCTTGAATACTGATAGGAATCCCAAAATTCCTGTGGCTACTGGAAAGGGTCCTTGGGTGCCTTGCCTCACCTCGAGAAGCGTCCCTTTTGCCCTGCCAAGCCTCGAAGAGATTCCTGAGGTGTCCCTCGTTACTAGGCAGGAGTCCTGATGTCACTGAAGAAACTCGTGTTTTGAAGGGCCATCCCCGCCGTAAGTCGAGAACATACCCCAGGTCCCCGCCGCAACTCGAGAAAAACCATGAGACTTCCCCCTAGAGGCGAGATGAGGCCCCATTCCCCTGCAGTGCATGCAGAGCTATTCCGTGATCCCATTCAAACAAGTCAGGAGCTTCGACTTGCTTAATGGATCTCGAGACAGTCCCCAAGAACACTCACCAGTATAGACGGACCCTGAGGTCACCCCAGCAAGGCAAAGCTGCTCCATGTGCCCCAAATCAACTCGAGATGAGGCCCGATTCCCCTGCATTGACTCCAGAGCCATTCCCCGTTCCCCATTCAACACGACCGGTGGCTCGACTTCCTTCAGGCAACTCCAGAGATGCCCAGAGAACACTTTCCCAAGTCTAGAGGAACACCAGCTTCAGCACAGCAACTCGAGGAATGCTCCGAGTACCCCAAATCATCTCGAGATGAGAGCTGATTCCCTGGCTTAGGCTCAAGACGTATGCCAACTTTCCAGAAGCACCTCAGGAGGAGGCTTCTCTCAGCAATAGGTATGTGGGAGGGACCCCGAGTTTGCTGCCTCAAGGGGAATATACAGCGAGAAGCCCTAACTTGAAAGGAGGCCGGATTTCCTTGCAGTGGCTTGAATACAGGCTCGTCTTTGATCTGACAACATGAAGGGATGTCTGAATCCCCTGTGGAGACCTTAGAGAAAGCCCTAGGTCCCTGCCTCATTTTGACGGAATGCCTCACATCCCGCTGACACCTCGAGAGGCAAGCGGAGTTCATTGCTTCAAAAGGTGACGATGCCTGACTCCTCTTGAATACTGATAGGAATCCCAAAATCCCTGTGGCTACTGGAAAGGGTCCTTGGGTGTCCTGCCTCACCTCGAGAAGCGTCCCTTTTGCCCTGCCAAGCCTCGAAGAGATTCCTGAGGTGTCCCTCGTTACTAGGCAGGAGTCCTGACGTCACTGGAGAAACTGGTGTTTTGAAGGGCCATCCCCGCCGTAAGTCGAGAACATACCCCAGGTCCCCGCCGCACCTCGAGAAAAACCGCGAGACTTCGCCCTAGAGGCGAGATGAGGCCCCATTCCCCTGCAGTGCATGCAGAGCTATTCCGTGATCCCATTCAAACAAGTCAGGAGCTTCGACTTGCTTAATGGATCTCGAGACAGTCCCCAAGAACACTGTCACCAGTCTAGACGGACCCTGAGGTCACCCCAGCAACGCAAAGCTGCTCCATGTGCCCCAAATCAACTCGAGATGAGGCCCGATTCCCCTGCATTGACTCCAGAGCCATTCCCCGTTCCCCATTCAAGACGACCGGTGGCTCGACTTCCTTCAGGCAACTCCAGAGATTCCCCGAGAACACTGTCCCAAGGCTAGAGGAACACCAACTTCAGCACAGCAACTCGAGGAATGCTCCGTGTACCCCAAATCATCTCGAGATGAGAGCTGATTCCCTGGCTTAGGCTCAAGACGTATGCCAACTTTCCAGAAGCATCTCAGGAGGAGGCTTCTCTCAGCAATAGGTATGTGGGAGGGACCCCGTGTTTGCTGCCTCAAGGGGAATACACAGGGAGAAGCCCTAATGTGAACGGAGGCCAGATTTATTTGCAGAGGGTTGAATACAGGCTCGTCTTTGATCTGACAACATTAAGGGATGTCTGAATACCCTGTGGAGAGCTTAGAGGAAGCCCTAGGTCCCTGCCTCATTTTGACGGAATACCTCACATCCCCCTGACACCTCGAGAGGCACGCAGAGTTTATTGCTTCAAAAGGTGACGATGCCTGACTCCTCTTGAATACTTATAGGAATCCCAAAATCCCTGTTGCTACTGGAAAGGGTCCTTGGGTGCCCTGGCTCACCTCGAGAAGCGTCCCCTTTGCCCTGCCAAGCCTCGAAGAGATTGCTGAGGTGTCCCTCGTTACTAGACAGGAGTCCTGACGTCACTGAAGAAACTCGTGTTTTGAAGGGCCATCCCCGCCGTAAGTCGAGAACATACCCCAGGTCCCCGCCGCAACTCGAGAAAAACCATGAGACTTCCCCCTAGAGGCGAGATGAGGCCCCATTCCCCTGCAGTGCATGCAGAGCTATTCCGTGATCCCATTCAAACAAGTCAGGAGCTTCGACTTGCTTAATGGATCTCGAGACAGTCCCCAAGAACACTGTCACCAGTCTAGACGGACCCTGAGGTCACCCCAGCAACGCAAAGCTGCTCCATGTGCCCCAAATCAACTCGAGATGAGGCCCGATTCCCCTGCATTGACTCCAGAGCCATTCCCCGTTCCCCATTCAAGACGACCGGTGGCTCGACTTCCTTCAGGCAACTCCAGAGATTCCCCGAGAACACTGTCCCAAGGCTAGAGGAACACCAACTTCAGCACAGCAACTCGAGGAATGCTCCGTGTACCCCAAATCATCTCGAGATGAGAGCTGATTCCCTGGCTTAGGCTCAAGACGTATGCCAACTTTCCAGAAGCATCTCAGGAGGAGGCTTCTCTCAGCAATAGGTATGTGGGAGGGACCCCGTGTTTGCTGCCTCAAGGGGAATACACAGGGAGAAGCCCTAATGTGAACGGAGGCCAGATTTCCTTGCAGAGGGTTGAATACAGGCTCGTCTTTGATCTGACAACATTAAGGGATGTCTGAATACCCTGTGGAGACCTTAGAGGAAGCCCTAGGTCCCTGCCTCATTTTGACGGAATACCTCACCTCCCCCTGACACCTCGAGAGGCACGCAGAGTTCATTGCTTCAAAAGGTGACGATGCCTGACTCCTCTTGAATACCTATAGGAATCCCAAAATCCCTGTTGCTACTTGAAAGGGTCCTTGGGTGCCCTGGCTCACCTCGAGAAGCGTCCCCTTTGCCCTGCCAAGCCTCGAAGAGATTCCTGAGGTGTCCCTCGTTACTAGACAGGAGTCCTGACGTCACTGAAGAAACTCGTGTTTTGAAGGGCCATCCCCGCCATAAGTCGAGAACATACCCCAGGTCCCCGCCGCAACTCGAGAAAAACCATGAGACTTCCCCCTAGAGGCGAGATGAGGCCCCATTCCCCTGCAGTGCATGCAGAGCTATTCCGTGATCCCATTCAAACAAGTCAGGAGCTTCGACTTGCTTAATGGATCTCGAGAGAGTCCCCAAGAACACTGTCACCAGTCTAGACGGACCCTGAGGTCACCCCAGCAACGCAAAGCAGCTCCATGTGCCCCAAATCAACTCGAGATGAGGCCCGATTCCCCTGCATTGACTCCAGAGCCATTCCCGTTCCCCCTTCAACACGAACGGAGGCTCGCCTTCCTTCAGGCTTCTCCAGAGATGCCCCGAGAACACTGTCCCAAGTCTAGAGGAACACCAACTTCAGCACAGCAACTCGAGGAATGCTCTGTGTACCGTAAATCGTCTCGAGATGAGAGATGATTCCCTGGCTTAGGCTCAAGACGTATGCCAACTTTCCAGAAGCACCTCAGGAGGAGGCTTCTCAGCAATAGGTATGTGGGAGGGACTCCGAGTTTGCTGCCTCAAGGGGAATATACAGCGAGAAGCCCTAACGTGAAAGGAGGCCGGATTTCCTTGCAGTAGCTTGAATACAGGCTTGTCTTTCATCTCACAACATGAAGGGATGTCTGAATCCCCTGTGGAGAACTTAGAGAAAGCCCTAGGTCCCTGCCTCATTTTGACGGAATGCCTCACATCCCGCTGACACCTCGAGAGGCACGCGGAGTTCATTGCTTCAAAAGGTGACGATGCCTGACTCCTCTTGAATACTGATAGGAATCCCAAAATCCCTGTGGCTACTGGAAAGGGTCCTTGGGTGCCCTGGCTCACCTCGAGAAGCGTCCCTTTTGCCCTGCCAAGCCTCGAAGAGATTGCTGAGGTGTCCCTCGTTACTAGGCAGGAGTCCTGACGTCACTGAAGAAACTCGTGTTTTGAAGGGCCATCCCCGCCGTAAGTCGAGAACATACCCCAGGTCCCCGCCGCAAGTCGACACAAACCGTGAGACTTCCCCCTAGAGCTGAGATGAGGCCCCATTCCCCTGCAGTGCATGCAGAGCTATTCCGTGATCCCATTCAAACAAGTCAGGAGCTTCGACTTGCTTAATGGATCTCGAGACAGTCCCCAAGAACACTGTCACCAGTCTAGACGGACCCTGAGGTCACCCCAGCAAGGCAAAGCTGCTCCATGTGCCCCAAATCAACTCGAGATGAGGCCCGATTCCCCTGCATTGACTCCAGAGCCATTCCCCGTTCCCCATTCAACACGACCGGTGGCTCGACTTCCTTCAGGCAACTCCAGAGATGCCCAGAGAACACTTTCCCAAGTCTAGAGGAACACCAGCTTCAGCACAGCAACTCGAGGAATGCTCCGAGTACCCCAAATCATCTCGAGATGAGAGCTGATTCCCTGGCTTAGGCTCAAGACGTATGCCAACTTTCCAGAAGCACCTCAGGAGGAGGCTTCTCTCAGCAATAGGTATGTGGGAGGGACCCCGAGTTTGCTGCCTCAAGGGGAATATACAGCGAGAAGCCCTAACTTGAAAGGAGGCCGGATTTCCTTGCAGTGGCTTGAATACAGGCTCGTCTTTGATCTGACAACATGAAGGGATGTCTGAATCCCCTGTGGAGACCTTAGAGAAAGCCCTAGGTCCCTGCCTCATTTTGACGGAATGCCTCACATCCCGCTGACACCTCGAGAGGCAAGCGGAGTTCATTGCTTCAAAAGGTGACGATGCCTGACTCCTCTTGAATACTGATAGGAATCCCAAAATCCCTGTGGCTACTGGAAAGGGTCCTTGGGTGTCCTGCCTCACCTCGAGAAGCGTCCCTTTTGCCCTGCCAAGCCTCGAAGAGATTCCTGAGGTGTCCCTCGTTACTAGGCAGGAGTCCTGACGTCACTGGAGAAACTGGTGTTTTGAAGGGCCATCCCCGCCGTAAGTCGAGAACATACCCCAGGTCCCCGCCGCACCTCGAGAAAAACCGCGAGACTTCGCCCTAGAGGCGAGATGAGGCCCCATTCCCCTGCAGTGCATGCAGAGCTATTCCGTGATCCCATTCAAACAAGTCAGGAGCTTCGACTTGCTTAATGGATCTCGAGACAGTCCCCAAGAACACTGTCACCAGTCTAGACGGACCCTGAGGTCACCCCAGCAACGCAAAGCTGCTCCATGTGCCCCAAATCAACTCGAGATGAGGCCCGATTCCCCTGCATTGACTCCAGAGCCATTCCCCGTTCCCCATTCAAGACGACCGGTGGCTCGACTTCCTTCAGGCAACTCCAGAGATTCCCCGAGAACACTGTCCCAAGGCTAGAGGAACACCAACTTCAGCACAGCAACTCGAGGAATGCTCCGTGTACCCCAAATCATCTCGAGATGAGAGCTGATTCCCTGGCTTAGGCTCAAGACGTATGCCAACTTTCCAGAAGCATCTCAGGAGGAGGCTTCTCTCAGCAATAGGTATGTGGGAGGGACCCCGTGTTTGCTGCCTCAAGGGGAATACACAGGGAGAAGCCCTAATGTGAACGGAGGCCAGATTTATTTGCAGAGGGTTGAATACAGGCTCGTCTTTGATCTGACAACATTAAGGGATGTCTGAATACCCTGTGGAGAGCTTAGAGGAAGCCCTAGGTCCCTGCCTCATTTTGACGGAATACCTCACATCCCCCTGACACCTCGAGAGGCACGCAGAGTTTATTGCTTCAAAAGGTGACGATGCCTGACTCCTCTTGAATACTTATAGGAATCCCAAAATCCCTGTTGCTACTGGAAAGGGTCCTTGGGTGCCCTGGCTCACCTCGAGAAGCGTCCCCTTTGCCCTGCCAAGCCTCGAAGAGATTGCTGAGGTGTCCCTCGTTACTAGACAGGAGTCCTGACGTCACTGAAGAAACTCGTGTTTTGAAGGGCCATCCCCGCCGTAAGTCGAGAACATACCCCAGGTCCCCGCCGCAACTCGAGAAAAACCATGAGACTTCCCCCTAGAGGCGAGATGAGGCCCCATTCCCCTGCAGTGCATGCAGAGCTATTCCGTGATCCCATTCAAACAAGTCAGGAGCTTCGACTTGCTTAATGGATCTCGAGACAGTCCCCAAGAACACTGTCACCAGTCTAGACGGACCCTGAGGTCACCCCAGCAACGCAAAGCTGCTCCATGTGCCCCAAATCAACTCGAGATGAGGCCCGATTCCCCTGCATTGACTCCAGAGCCATTCCCCGTTCCCCATTCAAGACGACCGGTGGCTCGACTTCCTTCAGGCAACTCCAGAGATTCCCCGAGAACACTGTCCCAAGGCTAGAGGAACACCAACTTCAGCACAGCAACTCGAGGAATGCTCCGTGTACCCCAAATCATCTCGAGATGAGAGCTGATTCCCTGGCTTAGGCTCAAGACGTATGCCAACTTTCCAGAAGCATCTCAGGAGGAGGCTTCTCTCAGCAATAGGTATGTGGGAGGGACCCCGTGTTTGCTGCCTCAAGGGGAATACACAGGGAGAAGCCCTAATGTGAACGGAGGCCAGATTTCCTTGCAGAGGGTTGAATACAGGCTCGTCTTTGATCTGACAACATTAAGGGATGTCTGAATACCCTGTGGAGACCTTAGAGGAAGCCCTAGGTCCCTGCCTCATTTTGACGGAATACCTCACCTCCCCCTGACACCTCGAGAGGCACGCAGAGTTCATTGCTTCAAAAGGTGACGATGCCTGACTCCTCTTGAATACCTATAGGAATCCCAAAATCCCTGTTGCTACTTGAAAGGGTCCTTGGGTGCCCTGGCTCACCTCGAGAAGCGTCCACTTTGCCCTGCCAAGCCTCGAAGAGATTGCTGAGGTGTCCCTCGTTACTAGACAGGAGTCCTGACGTCACTGAAGAAACTCGTGTTTTGAAGGGCCATCCCCGCCATAAGTCGAGAACATACCCCAGGTCCCCGCCGCAACTCGAGAAAAACCATGAGACTTCCCCCTAGAGGCGAGATGAGGCCCCATTCCCCTGCAGTGCATGCAGAGCTATTCCGTGATCCCATTCAAACAAGTCAGGAGCTTCGACTTGCTTAATGGATCTCGAGAGAGTCCCCAAGAACACTGTCACCAGTCTAGACGGACCCTGAGGTCACCCCAGCAACGCAAAGCAGCTCCATGTGCCCCAAATCAACTCGAGATGAGGCCCGATTCCCCTGCATTGACTCCAGAGCCATTCCCGTTCCCCCTTCAACACGAACGGAGGCTCGCCTTCCTTCAGGCTACTCCAGAGATGCCCCGAGAACACTGTCCCAAGTCTAGAGGAACACCAACTTCAGCACAGCAACTCGAGGAATGCTCTGTGTACCGTAAATCGTCTCGAGATGAGAGATGATTCCCTGGCTTAGGCTCAAGACGTATGCCAACTTTCCAGAAGCACCTCAGGAGGAGGCTTCTCAGCAATAGGTATGTGGGAGGGACTCCGAGTTTGCTGCCTCAAGGGGAATATACAGCGAGAAGCCCTAACGTGAAAGGAGGCCGGATTTCCTTGCAGTAGCTTGAATACAGGCTTGTCTTTCATCTCACAACATGAAGGGATGTCTGAATCCCCTGTGGAGACCTTAGAGAAAGCCCTAGGTCCCTGCCTCATTTTGACGGAATGCCTCACATCCCGCTGACACCTCGAGAGGCACGCGGAGTTCATTGCTTCAAAAGGTGACGATGCCTGACTCCTCTTGAATACTGATAGGAATCCCAAAATCCCTGTGGCTACTGGAAAGGGTCCTTGGGTGCCCTGGCTCACCTCGAGAAGCGTCCCTTTTGCCCTGCCAAGCCTCGAAGAGATTGCTGAGGTGTCCCTCGTTACTAGGCAGGAGTCCTGACGTCACTGAAGAAACTCGTGTTTTGAAGGGCCATCCCCGCCGTAAGTCGAGAACATACCCCAGGTCCCCGCCGCAAGTCGACACAAACCGTGAGACTTCCCCCTAGAGCTGAGATGAGGCCCCATTCCCCTGCAGTGCATGCAGAGCTATTCCGTGATCCCATTCAAACAAGTCAGGAGCTTCGACTTGCTTAACGGATCTCGAGACAGTCCCCAAGAACACTGTCACCAGTCTAGACGGACCCTGAGGTCACCCCAGCAACGCAAAGCTGCTCCATGTGCCCCAAATCAACTCGAGATGAGCCCCGATTCCCCTGCATTGATTCCAGAGCCATTCCCCGTTCCCCATTCAACACGACCGGTGGCTCGACTTCCTTCAGACAACTCCAGAGATGCCCCGAGAACACTGTCCCAAGTCTAGAGGAACACCAACTTCAGCCCAGCAACTCGAGGAATGCTCCGTGTACCCCAAATCATCTCGAGATGAGAGCTGATTCCCTGGCTTAGGCTCAAGACGTATGCCAACTTTCCAGAAGCACCTCAGGAGGAGGCTTCTCTCAGCAATAGGTATGTGGGAGGGACCCCGAGTTTGCTGCCTCAAGGGGAATATACAGCGAGAAGCCCTAACTTGAAAGGAGGCCGGATTTCCTTGCAGTGGCTTGAATACAGGCTCGTCTTTGATCTGACAACATGAAGGGATGTCTGAATCCACTGTGGAGAACTTAGAGAAAGCCCTAGGTCCCTGCATCATTTTGAATGAATGCCTCACATCCCGCTGACACCTGGAGAGTCACGCGGAGTTCATTGCTTCAAAAGGTGACGATGCCTGACTCCTCTTGAATACTGATAGGAATCCCAAAATCCCTGTGGCTACTGGAAAGGGTCCTTGGGTGCCCTGCCTCACCTCGAGAAGCGTCCCTTTTGCCCTGCCAAGCCTCGAAGAGATTGTTGAGGTGTCCCTCGTTACTAGGCAGGAGTCCTGACGTCACTGGAGAAACTCGTGTTTTGAAGGGCCATCCCCGCCGTAAGTCGAGAACATACCCCAGGTCCCCGCCGCAACTCGAGAAAAACCGTGAGACTTCCCCCTAGAGGCGAGATGAGGCCCCATTCCCCTGCAGTGCATGCAGAGCTATTCCGTGATCCCATTCAAACAAGTCAGGAGCTTCGACTTGGTTAATGGATCTCGAGACAGTCCCCAAGAACACTGTCACCAGTCTAGACGGACCCTGAGGTCACCCAGCAATGCAAAGCAGCTCCATGTGCCCCAAAACAACTCGAGATGAGGCCGGATTCCCCTGCATTGACTCCAGAGCCATTCCCCGTTCCCCATTCAACACGACCGGTGGCTCGACTTCCTTCAGGCAACTCCAGAGATGCCCCGAGAACACTGTCACAAGTCTAGAGGAACACCAACTTCAGCAGAGCAACTCGAGGAATGCTCCGTGTACCCCAAATCATCTCGAGATGAGAGCTGATTCCCTGGCTTAGGCTCAAGACGTATTCCAACTTTCCAGAAGCACCTCAGGAGGAGGCTTCTCTCAGCAATAGGTATGTGGGAGGGACCCCGAGTTTGCTGCCTCAAGGGGAATACACAGGGAGAAGCCCTAATGTGAAGGGAGGCCAGATATCCTTGCAGTGGCTTGAATACAGGCTCGTCTTTGATCTGACAACATGAAGGGATGTCTGAATCCGCTGTGGAGACCTTAGAGGAAGCCCTAGGTCCCTGCCTCATTTTGACGGAATACCTCACATCCCCCTGACACCTCGAGAGGCACGCAGAGTTCATTGCTTGAAAAGGTGACGATGCCTGACTCCTCTTGAATACTTATAGTAATCCCAAAATCCCTGTGGCTCCTGGAAAGGGTCCTTGGGTGCCCTGGCTCACCTCGAGAAGCGTCGCTTTTGCCCTGCCAAGCCTCGAAGAGATTGCTGAGGTGTCCCTCATTACTAGACAGGAGTCCTGACGTCACGGAAGAAACTCGTGTTTTGAAGGGCCATCCCCGCCATAAGTCGAGAACATACCCCAGGTCCCCGAAGCAACTCGAGAAAAACCATGAGACTTCCCCCTAGAGGCGAGATGAGGCCCCATTCCCCTGCAGTGCATGCAGAGCTATTCCGTGATCCCATTCAAACAAGTCAGGAGCTTCGACTTGCTTAATGGATCTCGAGAGAGTCCCCAAGAACACTGTCACCAGTCTAGACGGACCCTGAGGTCACCCCAGCAACGCAAAGCAGCTCCATGTGCCCCAAATCAACTCGAGATGAGGCCCGATTCCCCTGCATTGACTCCAGAGCCATTCCCGTTCCCCCTTCAACACGAACGGAGGCTCGCCTTCCTTCAGGCTACTCCAGAGATGCCCCGAGAACACTGTCCCAAGTCTAGAGGAACACCAACTTCAGCACAGCAACTCGAGGAATGCTCTGTGTACCGTAAATCGTCTCGAGATGAGAGATGATTCCCTGGCTTAGGCTCAAGACGTATGCCAACTTTCCAGAAGCACCTCAGGAGGAGGCTTCTCAGCAATAGGTATGTGGGAGGGACTCCGAGTTTGCTGCCTCAAGGGGAATATACAGCGAGAAGCCCTAACGTGAAAGGAGGCCGGATTTCCTTGCAGTAGCTTGAATACAGGCTTGTCTTTCATCTCACAACATGAAGGGATGTCTGAATCCCCTGTGGAGACCTTAGAGAAAGCCCTAGGTCCCTGCCTCATTTTGACGGAATGCCTCACATCCCGCTGACACCTCGAGAGGCACGCGGAGTTCATTGCTTCAAAAGGTGACGATGCCTGACTCCTCTTGAATACTGATAGGAATCCCAAAATCCCTGTGGCTACTGGAAAGGGTCCTTGGGTGCCCTGGCTCACCTCGAGAAGCGTCCCTTTTGCCCTGCCAAGCCTCGAAGAGATTGCTGAGGTGTCCCTCGTTACTAGGCAGGAGTCCTGACGTCACTGAAGAAACTCGTGTTTTGAAGGGCCATCCCCGCCGTAAGTCGAGAACATACCCCAGGTCCCCGCCGCAAGTCGACACAAACCATGAGACTTCCCCCTAGAGCTGAGATGAGGCCCCATTCCCCTGCAGTGCATGCAGAGCTATTCCATGATCCCATTCAAACAAGTCAGGAGCTTCGACTTGCTTAATGGATCTCGAGACAGTCCCCAAGAACACTGTCACCAGTCTAGACGGACCCTGAGGTCACCCCAGCAACGCAAAGCTGCTCCATGTGCCCCAAATCAACTCGAGATGAGCCCCGATTCCCCTGCATTGATTCCAGAGCCATTCCCCGTTCCCCATTCAACACGACCGGTGGCTCGACTTCCTTCAGACAACTCCAGAGATGCCCCGAGAACACTGTCTCAAGTCTAGAGGAACACCAACTTCAGCCCAGCAACTCGAGGAATGCTCCGTGTACCCCAAATCATCTCGAGATGAGAGCTGATTCCCTGGCTTAGGCTCAAGACGTATGCCAACTTTCCAGAAGCACCTCAGGAGGAGGCTTCTCTCAGCAATAGGTATGTGGGAGGGACCCCGAGTTTGCTGCCTCAAGGGGAATATACAGCGAGAAGCCCTAACTTGAAAGGAGGCCGGATTTCCTTGCAGTGGCTTGAATACAGGCTCGTCTTTGATCTGACAACATGAAGGGATGTCTGAATCCACTGTGGAGAACTTAGAGAAAGCCCTAGGTCCCTGCATCATTTTGAATGAATGCCTCACATCCCGCTGACACCTGGAGAGTCACGCGGAGTTCATTGCTTCAAAAGGTGATGATGCCTGACTCCTCTTGAATACTGATAGGAATCCCAAAATCCCTGTGGCTACTGGAAAGGGTCCTTGGGTACCCTGCCTCACCTCGAGAAGCGTCCCTTTTGCCCTGCCAAGCCTCGAAGAGATTGCTGAGGTGTCCCTCGTTACTAGGCAGGAGTCCTGACGTCACTGGAGAAACTCGTGTTTTGAAGGGCCATCCCCGCCGTAAGTCGAGAACATACCCCAGGTCCCCGCCGCAACTCGAGAAAAACCGTGAGACTTCCCCCTAGAGGCGAGATGAGGCCCCATTCCCCTGCAGTGCATGCAGAGCTATTCCGTGATCCCATTCAAACAAGTCAGGAGCTTCGACTTGGTTAATGGATCTCGAGACAGTCCCCAAGAACACTGTCACCAGTCTAGACGGACCCTGAGGTCACCCAGCAATGCAAAGCAGCTCCATGTGCCCCAAAACAACTCGAGATGAGGCCGGATTCCCCTGCATTGACTCCAGAGCCATTCCCCGTTCCCCATTCAACACGACCGGTGGCTCGACTTCCTTCAGGCAACTCCAGAGATGCCCCGAGAACACTGTCACAAGTCTAGAGGAACACCAACTTCAGCAGAGCAACTCGAGGAATGCTCCGTGTACCCCAAATCATCTCGAGATGAGAGCTGATTCCCTGGCTTAGGCTCAAGACGTATTCCAACTTTCCAGAAGCACCTCAGGAGGAGGCTTCTCTCAGCAATAGGTATGTGGGAGGGACCCCGAGTTTGCTGCCTCAAGGGGAATACACAGGGAGAAGCCCTAATGTGAAGGGAGGCCAGATATCCTTGCAGTGGCTTGAATACAGGCTCGTCTTTGATCTGACAACATGAAGGGATGTCTGAATCCGCTGTGGAGACCTTAGAGGAAGCCCTAGGTCCCTGCCTCATTTTGACGGAATACCTCACATCCCCCTGACACCTCGAGAGGCACGCAGAGTTCATTGCTTGAAAAGGTGACGATGCCTGACTCCTCTTGAATACTTATAGTAATCCCAAAATCCCTGTGGCTCCTGGAAAGGGTCCTTGGGTGCCCTGGCTCACCTCGAGAAGCGTCGCTTTTGCCCTGCCAAGCCTCGAAGAGATTGCTGAGGTGTCCCTCATTACTAGACAGGAGTCCTGACGTCACGGAAGAAACTCGTGTTTTGAAGGGCCATCCCCGCCATAAGTCGAGAACATACCCCAGGTCCCCGCAGCAACTCGAGAAAAACCATGAGACTTCCCCCTAGAGGCGAGATGAGGCCCCATTACCCTGCAGTGCATGCAGAGCTATTCCGTGATCCCATTCAAACAAGTCAGGAGCTTCGACTTGCTTAATGGATCTCGAGACAGTCCCCAAGAACACTGTCACCAGTCTAGACGGACCCTGAGGTCACCCCAGCAATGCAAAGCAGCTCCATGTGCCCCAAATCAACTCGAGATGAGGCCCGATTCCCCTGCATTGACTCCAGAGCCATTCCCGTTCCCCGTTCAACACGAACGGAGGCTCGCCTTCCTTCAGGCAACTCCAGAGATGCCCCGAGAACACTGTCCCAAGTCTAGAGGAACACCAACTTCAGCACAGCAACTCGAGGAATGCTCTGTGTACCGCAAATCGTCTCGAGATGAGAGCTGATTCCCTGGCTTAGGCTCAAGACGTATGCCAACTTTCCAGAAGCACCTCAGGAGGAGGCTTCTCAGCAATAGGTATGTGGGAGGGACTCCGAGTTTGCTGCCTCAAGGGGAATATACATCGAGAAGCCCTAACTTGAAAGGAGGCCGGATTTCCTTGCAGTAGCTTGAATACAGGCTTGTCTTTCATCTCACAACATGAAGGGATGTCTGAATCCCCTGTGGAGACCTTAGAGAAAGCCCTAGGTCCCTGCCTCATTTTGACGGAATGCCTCACATCCCGCTGACACCTCGAGAGGCACGCGGAGTTCATTGCTTCAAAAGGTGACGATGCCTGACTCCTCTTGAATACTGATAGGAATCCCAAAATCCCTGTGGCTACTGGAAAGGGTCCTTGGGTGCCCTGCCTCACCTCGAGAAGCGTCCCTTTTGCCCTGCCAAGCCTCGAAGAGATTGCTGAGGTGTCCCTCGTTACTAGGCAGGAGTCCTGACGTCACTGGAGAAACTCGTGTTTTGAAGGGCCATCCCCGCCGTAAGTCGAGAACATACCCCAGGTCCCCGCCGCAACTCGAGAAAAACCGTGAGACTTCCCCCTAGAGGCGAGATGAGGCCCCATTCCCCTGCAGTGCATGCAGAGCTATTCCGTGATCCCATTCAAACAAGTCAGGAGCTTCGACTTGGTTAATGGATCTCGAGACAGTCCCCAAGAACACTGTCACCAGTCTAGACGGACCCTGAGGTCACCCAGCAATGCAAAGCAGCTCCATGTGCCCCAAAACACCTCGAGATGAGGCCGGATTCCCCTGCATTGACTCCAGAGCCATTCCCCGTTCCCCATTCAACACGACCGGTGGCTCGACTTCCTTCAGGCAACTCCAGAGATGCCCCGAGAACACTGTCACAAGTCTAGAGGAACACCAACTTCAGCAGAGCAACTCGAGGAATGCTCCGTGTACCCCAAATCATCTCGAGATGAGAGCTGATTCCCTGGCTTAGGCTCAAGACGTATTCCAACTTTCCAGAAGCACCTCAGGAGGAGGCTTCTCTCAGCAATAGGTATGTGGGAGGGACCCCGAGTTTGCTGCCTCAAGGGGAATACACAGGGAGAAGCCCTAATGTGAACGGAGGCCAGATTTCCTTGCAGTGGCTTGAATACAGGCTCGTCTTTGATCTGACAACATGAAGGGATGTCTGAATCCGCTGTGGAGACCTTAGAGGAAGCCCTAGGTCCCTGCCTCATTTTGACGGAATACCTCACATCCCCCTGACACCTCGAGAGGCACGCAGAGTTCATTGCTTGAAAAGGTGACGATGCCTGACTCCTCTTGAATACTTATAGTAATCCCAAAATCCCTGTGGCTCCTGGAAAGGGTCCTTGGGTGCCCTGGCTCACCTCGAGAAGCGTCGCTTTTGCCCTGCCAAGCCTCGAAGAGATTGCTGAGGTGTCCCTCATTACTAGACAGGAGTCCTGACGTCACGGAAGAAACTCGTGTTTTGAAGGGCCATCCCCGCCATAAGTCGAGAACATACCCCAGGTCCCCGCCGCAACTCGAGAAAAACCATGAGACTTCCCCCTAGAGGCGAGATGAGGCCCCATTACCCTGCAGTGCATGCAGAGCTATTCCGTGATCCCATTCAAACAAGTCAGGAGCTTCGACTTGCTTAATGGATCTCGAGACAGTCCCCAAGAACACTGTCACCAGTATAGATGGACCCTGAGGTCACCCCAGCAACGCAAAGCAGCTCCATGTGCCCCAAATCAACTCGAGATGAGGCCCGATTCCCCTGCATTGACTCCAGAGCCATTCCCGTTCCCCGTTCAACACGAACGGAGGCTCGCCTTCCTTCAGGCAACTCCAGAGATGCCCCGAGAACACTGTCCCAAGTCTAGAGGAACACCAACTTCAGCACAGCAACTCGAGGAATGCTCTGGGTACCGCAAATCGTCTCGAGATGAGAGCTGATTCCCTGGCTTAGGCTCAAGACGTATGCCAACTTTCCAGAAGCACCTCAGGAGGAGGCTTCTCAGCAATAGGTATGTGGGAGGGACTCCGAGTTTGCTGCCTCAAGGGGAATATACATCGAGAAGCCCTAACTTGAAAGGAGGCCGGATTTCCTTGCAGTAGCTTGAATACAGGCTTGTCTTTGACCAGACAACATGAAGGGATGTCTGAATCCCCTGTGGAGACCTTAAAGAAAGCCCTAGGTCCCTGCCTCATTTTGACGGAATGCCTCACATCCCGCTGACACCTCGAGAGGCACGCGGAGTTCATTGCTTCAAAAGGTGACGATGCCTGACTCCTCTTGAATACTGATAGGAATCCCAAAATCCCTGTGGCTACTGGAAAGGGTCCTTGGGTGCCCTGCCTCACCTCGAGAAGCGTCCCTTTTGCCCTGCCAAGCCTCGAAGAGATTCCTGAGGTGTCCCTCGTTACTAGGCAGGAGACCTGACGTCACTGAAGAAACTCGTGTTTTGAAGGGCCATCCCCGCCGTAAGTCGAGAACATACCCCAGGTCCCCGCCGCAAGTCGACAAAAACCGTGAGACTTCCCCCTAGAGGCGAGATGAGGCCCCATTCCCCTGCAGTGCATGCAGAGCTATTCCGTGATCCCATTCAAACAAGTCAGGAGCTTCGACTTGCTTAATGGATCTCGAGACAGTCCCCAAGAACACTGTCACCAGTCTAGACGGACCCTGAGGTCACGCCAGCATCGCAAAGCTGCTCCATGTGCCCCAAATCAACTCGAGATGAGGCCCGATTCCCCTGCATTGACTCCAGAGCCATTCCCGTTCCCCGTTCAACACGAACGGAGGCTCGCCTTCCTTCAGGCAACTCCAGAGATGCCCCGAGAACACTGTCCCAAGTCTAGAGGAACACTAACTTCAGCACAGCAACTCGAGGAATGCTCTGTGTACCCCAAATCGTCTCGAGATGAGAGCTGATTCCCTGGCTTAGGCTCAAGACGTATGCCGACTTTCCAGAAGCACCTCAGGAGGAGGCTCCTCAGCAATAGGTATGTGGGAGGGACTCCGAGTGTGCTGCCTCAAGGGGAATATACATCGAGAAGCCCTAACTTGAAAGGAGGCCGGATTTCCTTGCAGTAGCTTGAATACAGGCTTGTCTTTCATCTCACAACACGAAGGGATGTCTGAATCCCCTGTGGAGACCTTAGAGAAAGCCCTAGGTCCCTGCCTCATTTTGACGGAATGCCTCACATCCCGCTGACACCTCGAGAGGCACGCGGAGTTCATTGCTTCAAAAGGTGACGATGCCTGACTCCTCTTGAATACTGATAGGAATCCCAAAATTCCTGTGGCTACTGGAAAGGGTCCTTGGGTGCCTTGCCTCACCTCGAGAAGCGTCCCTTTTGCCCTGCCAAGCCTCGAAGAGATTCCTGAGGTGTCCCTCGTTACTAGGCAGGAGTCCTGATGTCACTGAAGAAACTCGTGTTTTGAAGGGCCATCCCCGCCGTAAGTCGAGAACATACCCCAGGTCCCCGCCGCAACTCGAGAAAAACCATGAGACTTCCCCCTAGAGGCGAGATGAGGCCCCATTCCCCTGCAGTGCATGCAGAGCTATTCCGTGATCCCATTCAAACAAGTCAGGAGCTTCGACTTGCTTAATGGATCTCGAGACAGTCCCCAAGAACACTCACCAGTATAGACGGACCCTGAGGTCACCCCAGCAAGGCAAAGCTGCTCCATGTGCCCCAAATCAACTCGAGATGAGGCCCGATTCCCCTGCATTGACTCCAGAGCCATTCCCCGTTCCCCATTCAACACGACCGGTGGCTCGACTTCCTTCAGGCAACTCCAGAGATGCCCAGAGAACACTTTCCCAAGTCTAGAGGAACACCAGCTTCAGCACAGCAACTCGAGGAATGCTCCGAGTACCCCAAATCATCTCGAGATGAGAGCTGATTCCCTGGCTTAGGCTCAAGACGTATGCCAACTTTCCAGAAGCACCTCAGGAGGAGGCTTCTCTCAGCAATAGGTATGTGGGAGGGACCCCGAGTTTGCTGCCTCAAGGGGAATATACAGCGAGAAGCCCTAACTTGAAAGGAGGCCGGATTTCCTTGCAGTGGCTTGAATACAGGCTCGTCTTTGATCTGACAACATGAAGGGATGTCTGAATCCCCTGTGGAGACCTTAGAGAAAGCCCTAGGTCCCTGCCTCATTTTGACGGAATGCCTCACATCCCGCTGACACCTCGAGAGGCAAGCGGAGTTCATTGCTTCAAAAGGTGACGATGCCTGACTCCTCTTGAATACTGATAGGAATCCCAAAATCCCTGTGGCTACTGGAAAGGGTCCTTGGGTGTCCTGCCTCACCTCGAGAAGCGTCCCTTTTGCCCTGCCAAGCCTCGAAGAGATTCCTGAGGTGTCCCTCGTTACTAGGCAGGAGTCCTGACGTCACTGGAGAAACTGGTGTTTTGAAGGGCCATCCCCGCCGTAAGTCGAGAACATACCCCAGGTCCCCGCCGCACCTCGAGAAAAACCGCGAGACTTCGCCCTAGAGGCGAGATGAGGCCCCATTCCCCTGCAGTGCATGCAGAGCTATTCCGTGATCCCATTCAAACAAGTCAGGAGCTTCGACTTGCTTAATGGATCTCGAGACAGTCCCCAAGAACACTGTCACCAGTCTAGACGGACCCTGAGGTCACCCCAGCAACGCAAAGCTGCTCCATGTGCCCCAAATCAACTCGAGATGAGGCCCGATTCCCCTGCATTGACTCCAGAGCCATTCCCCGTTCCCCATTCAAGACGACCGGTGGCTCGACTTCCTTCAGGCAACTCCAGAGATTCCCCGAGAACACTGTCCCAAGGCTAGAGGAACACCAACTTCAGCACAGCAACTCGAGGAATGCTCCGTGTACCCCAAATCATCTCGAGATGAGAGCTGATTCCCTGGCTTAGGCTCAAGACGTATGCCAACTTTCCAGAAGCATCTCAGGAGGAGGCTTCTCTCAGCAATAGGTATGTGGGAGGGACCCCGTGTTTGCTGCCTCAAGGGGAATACACAGGGAGAAGCCCTAATGTGAACGGAGGCCAGATTTATTTGCAGAGGGTTGAATACAGGCTCGTCTTTGATCTGACAACATTAAGGGATGTCTGAATACCCTGTGGAGAGCTTAGAGGAAGCCCTAGGTCCCTGCCTCATTTTGACGGAATACCTCACATCCCCCTGACACCTCGAGAGGCACGCAGAGTTTATTGCTTCAAAAGGTGACGATGCCTGACTCCTCTTGAATACTTATAGGAATCCCAAAATCCCTGTTGCTACTGGAAAGGGTCCTTGGGTGCCCTGGCTCACCTCGAGAAGCGTCCCCTTTGCCCTGCCAAGCCTCGAAGAGATTGCTGAGGTGTCCCTCGTTACTAGACAGGAGTCCTGACGTCACTGAAGAAACTCGTGTTTTGAAGGGCCATCCCCGCCGTAAGTCGAGAACATACCCCAGGTCCCCGCCGCAACTCGAGAAAAACCATGAGACTTCCCCCTAGAGGCGAGATGAGGCCCCATTCCCCTGCAGTGCATGCAGAGCTATTCCGTGATCCCATTCAAACAAGTCAGGAGCTTCGACTTGCTTAATGGATCTCGAGACAGTCCCCAAGAACACTGTCACCAGTCTAGACGGACCCTGAGGTCACCCCAGCAACGCAAAGCTGCTCCATGTGCCCCAAATCAACTCGAGATGAGGCCCGATTCCCCTGCATTGACTCCAGAGCCATTCCCCGTTCCCCATTCAAGACGACCGGTGGCTCGACTTCCTTCAGGCAACTCCAGAGATTCCCCGAGAACACTGTCCCAAGGCTAGAGGAACACCAACTTCAGCACAGCAACTCGAGGAATGCTCCGTGTACCCCAAATCATCTCGAGATGAGAGCTGATTCCCTGGCTTAGGCTCAAGACGTATGCCAACTTTCCAGAAGCATCTCAGGAGGAGGCTTCTCTCAGCAATAGGTATGTGGGAGGGACCCCGTGTTTGCTGCCTCAAGGGGAATACACAGGGAGAAGCCCTAATGTGAACGGAGGCCAGATTTCCTTGCAGAGGGTTGAATACAGGCTCGTCTTTGATCTGACAACATTAAGGGATGTCTGAATACCCTGTGGAGACCTTAGAGGAAGCCCTAGGTCCCTGCCTCATTTTGACGGAATACCTCACCTCCCCCTGACACCTCGAGAGGCACGCAGAGTTCATTGCTTCAAAAGGTGACGATGCCTGACTCCTCTTGAATACCTATAGGAATCCCAAAATCCCTGTTGCTACTTGAAAGGGTCCTTGGGTGCCCTGGCTCACCTCGAGAAGCGTCCCCTTTGCCCTGCCAAGCCTGGAAGAGATTCCTGAGGTGTCCCTCGTTACTAGACAGGAGTCCTGACGTCACTGAAGAAACTCGTGTTTTGAAGGGCCATCCCCGCCATAAGTCGAGAACATACCCCAGGTCCCCGCCGCAACTCGAGAAAAACCATGAGACTTCCCCCTAGAGGCGAGATGAGGCCCCATTCCCCTGCAGTGCATGCAGAGCTATTCCGTGATCCCATTCAAACAAGTCAGGAGCTTCGACTTGCTTAATGGATCTCGAGAGAGTCCCCAAGAACACTGTCACCAGTCTAGACGGACCCTGAGGTCACCCCAGCAACGCAAAGCAGCTCCATGTGCCCCAAATCAACTCGAGATGAGGCCCGATTCCCCTGCATTGACTCCAGAGCCATTCCCGTTCCCCCTTCAACACGAACGGAGGCTCGCCTTCCTTCAGGCTTCTCCAGAGATGCCCCGAGAACACTGTCCCAAGTCTAGAGGAACACCAACTTCAGCACAGCAACTCGAGGAATGCTCTGTGTACCGTAAATCGTCTCGAGATGAGAGATGATTCCCTGGCTTAGGCTCAAGACGTATGCCAACTTTCCAGAAGCACCTCAGGAGGAGGCTTCTCAGCAATAGGTATGTGGGAGGGACTCCGAGTTTGCTGCCTCAAGGGGAATATACAGCGAGAAGCCCTAACGTGAAAGGAGGCCGGATTTCCTTGCAGTAGCTTGAATACAGGCTTGTCTTTCATCTCACAACATGAAGGGATGTCTGAATCCCCTGTGGAGAACTTAGAGAAAGCCCTAGGTCCCTGCCTCATTTTGACGGAATGCCTCACATCCCGCTGACACCTCGAGAGGCACGCGGAGTTCATTGCTTCAAAAGGTGACGATGCCTGACTCCTCTTGAATACTGATAGGAATCCCAAAATCCCTGTGGCTACTGGAAAGGGTCCTTGGGTGCCCTGGCTCACCTCGAGAAGCGTCCCTTTTGCCCTGCCAAGCCTCGAAGAGATTGCTGAGGTGTCCCTCGTTACTAGGCAGGAGTCCTGACGTCACTGAAGAAACTCGTGTTTTGAAGGGCCATCCCCGCCGTAAGTCGAGAACATACCCCAGGTCCCCGCCGCAAGTCGACACAAACCGTGAGACTTCCCCCTAGAGCTGAGATGAGGCCCCATTCCCCTGCAGTGCATGCAGAGCTATTCCGTGATCCCATTCAAACAAGTCAGGAGCTTCGACTTGCTTAATGGATCTCGAGACAGTCCCCAAGAACACTGTCACCAGTCTAGACGGACCCTGAGGTCACCCCAGCAAGGCAAAGCTGCTCCATGTGCCCCAAATCAACTCGAGATGAGGCCCGATTCCCCTGCATTGACTCCAGAGCCATTCCCCGTTCCCCATTCAACACGACCGGTGGCTCGACTTCCTTCAGGCAACTCCAGAGATGCCCAGAGAACACTTTCCCAAGTCTAGAGGAACACCAGCTTCAGCACAGCAACTCGAGGAATGCTCCGAGTACCCCAAATCATCTCGAGATGAGAGCTGATTCCCTGGCTTAGGCTCAAGACGTATGCCAACTTTCCAGAAGCACCTCAGGAGGAGGCTTCTCTCAGCAATAGGTATGTGGGAGGGACCCCGAGTTTGCTGCCTCAAGGGGAATATACAGCGAGAAGCCCTAACTTGAAAGGAGGCCGGATTTCCTTGCAGTGGCTTGAATACAGGCTCGTCTTTGATCTGACAACATGAAGGGATGTCTGAATCCCCTGTGGAGACCTTAGAGAAAGCCCTAGGTCCCTGCCTCATTTTGACGGAATGCCTCACATCCCGCTGACACCTCGAGAGGCAAGCGGAGTTCATTGCTTCAAAAGGTGACGATGCCTGACTCCTCTTGAATACTGATAGGAATCCCAAAATCCCTGTGGCTACTGGAAAGGGTCCTTGGGTGTCCTGCCTCACCTCGAGAAGCGTCCCTTTTGCCCTGCCAAGCCTCGAAGAGATTCCTGAGGTGTCCCTCGTTACTAGGCAGGAGTCCTGACGTCACTGGAGAAACTGGTGTTTTGAAGGGCCATCCCCGCCGTAAGTCGAGAACATACCCCAGGTCCCCGCCGCACCTCGAGAAAAACCGCGAGACTTCGCCCTAGAGGCGAGATGAGGCCCCATTCCCCTGCAGTGCATGCAGAGCTATTCCGTGATCCCATTCAAACAAGTCAGGAGCTTCGACTTGCTTAATGGATCTCGAGACAGTCCCCAAGAACACTGTCACCAGTCTAGACGGACCCTGAGGTCACCCCAGCAACGCAAAGCTGCTCCATGTGCCCCAAATCAACTCGAGATGAGGCCCGATTCCCCTGCATTGACTCCAGAGCCATTCCCCGTTCCCCATTCAAGACGACCGGTGGCTCGACTTCCTTCAGGCAACTCCAGAGATTCCCCGAGAACACTGTCCCAAGGCTAGAGGAACACCAACTTCAGCACAGCAACTCGAGGAATGCTCCGTGTACCCCAAATCATCTCGAGATGAGAGCTGATTCCCTGGCTTAGGCTCAAGACGTATGCCAACTTTCCAGAAGCATCTCAGGAGGAGGCTTCTCTCAGCAATAGGTATGTGGGAGGGACCCCGTGTTTGCTGCCTCAAGGGGAATACACAGGGAGAAGCCCTAATGTGAACGGAGGCCAGATTTATTTGCAGAGGGTTGAATACAGGCTCGTCTTTGATCTGACAACATTAAGGGATGTCTGAATACCCTGTGGAGAGCTTAGAGGAAGCCCTAGGTCCCTGCCTCATTTTGACGGAATACCTCACATCCCCCTGACACCTCGAGAGGCACGCAGAGTTTATTGCTTCAAAAGGTGACGATGCCTGACTCCTCTTGAATACTTATAGGAATCCCAAAATCCCTGTTGCTACTGGAAAGGGTCCTTGGGTGCCCTGGCTCACCTCGAGAAGCGTCCCCTTTGCCCTGCCAAGCCTCGAAGAGATTGCTGAGGTGTCCCTCGTTACTAGACAGGAGTCCTGACGTCACTGAAGAAACTCGTGTTTTGAAGGGCCATCCCCGCCGTAAGTCGAGAACATACCCCAGGTCCCCGCCGCAACTCGAGAAAAACCATGAGACTTCCCCCTAGAGGCGAGATGAGGCCCCATTCCCCTGCAGTGCATGCAGAGCTATTCCGTGATCCCATTCAAACAAGTCAGGAGCTTCGACTTGCTTAATGGATCTCGAGACAGTCCCCAAGAACACTGTCACCAGTCTAGACGGACCCTGAGGTCACCCCAGCAACGCAAAGCTGCTCCATGTGCCCCAAATCAACTCGAGATGAGGCCCGATTCCCCTGCATTGACTCCAGAGCCATTCCCCGTTCCCCATTCAAGACGACCGGTGGCTCGACTTCCTTCAGGCAACTCCAGAGATTCCCCGAGAACACTGTCCCAAGGCTAGAGGAACACCAACTTCAGCACAGCAACTCGAGGAATGCTCCGTGTACCCCAAATCATCTCGAGATGAGAGCTGATTCCCTGGCTTAGGCTCAAGACGTATGCCAACTTTCCAGAAGCATCTCAGGAGGAGGCTTCTCTCAGCAATAGGTATGTGGGAGGGACCCCGTGTTTGCTGCCTCAAGGGGAATACACAGGGAGAAGCCCTAATGTGAACGGAGGCCAGATTTCCTTGCAGAGGGTTGAATACAGGCTCGTCTTTGATCTGACAACATTAAGGGATGTCTGAATACCCTGTGGAGACCTTAGAGGAAGCCCTAGGTCCCTGCCTCATTTTGACGGAATACCTCACCTCCCCCTGACACCTCGAGAGGCACGCAGAGTTCATTGCTTCAAAAGGTGACGATGCCTGACTCCTCTTGAATACCTATAGGAATCCCAAAATCCCTGTTGCTACTTGAAAGGGTCCTTGGGTGCCCTGGCTCACCTCGAGAAGCGTCCACTTTGCCCTGCCAAGCCTCGAAGAGATTGCTGAGGTGTCCCTCGTTACTAGACAGGAGTCCTGACGTCACTGAAGAAACTCGTGTTTTGAAGGGCCATCCCCGCCATAAGTCGAGAACATACCCCAGGTCCCCGCCGCAACTCGAGAAAAACCATGAGACTTCCCCCTAGAGGCGAGATGAGGCCCCATTCCCCTGCAGTGCATGCAGAGCTATTCCGTGATCCCATTCAAACAAGTCAGGAGCTTCGACTTGCTTAATGGATCTCGAGAGAGTCCCCAAGAACACTGTCACCAGTCTAGACGGACCCTGAGGTCACCCCAGCAACGCAAAGCAGCTCCATGTGCCCCAAATCAACTCGAGATGAGGCCCGATTCCCCTGCATTGACTCCAGAGCCATTCCCGTTCCCCCTTCAACACGAACGGAGGCTCGCCTTCCTTCAGGCTACTCCAGAGATGCCCCGAGAACACTGTCCCAAGTCTAGAGGAACACCAACTTCAGCACAGCAACTCGAGGAATGCTCTGTGTACCGTAAATCGTCTCGAGATGAGAGATGATTCCCTGGCTTAGGCTCAAGACGTATGCCAACTTTCCAGAAGCACCTCAGGAGGAGGCTTCTCAGCAATAGGTATGTGGGAGGGACTCCGAGTTTGCTGCCTCAAGGGGAATATACAGCGAGAAGCCCTAACGTGAAAGGAGGCCGGATTTCCTTGCAGTAGCTTGAATACAGGCTTGTCTTTCATCTCACAACATGAAGGGATGTCTGAATCCCCTGTGGAGACCTTAGAGAAAGCCCTAGGTCCCTGCCTCATTTTGACGGAATGCCTCACATCCCGCTGACACCTCGAGAGGCACGCGGAGTTCATTGCTTCAAAAGGTGACGATGCCTGACTCCTCTTGAATACTGATAGGAATCCCAAAATCCCTGTGGCTACTGGAAAGGGTCCTTGGGTGCCCTGGCTCACCTCGAGAAGCGTCCCTTTTGCCCTGCCAAGCCTCGAAGAGATTGCTGAGGTGTCCCTCGTTACTAGGCAGGAGTCCTGACGTCACTGAAGAAACTCGTGTTTTGAAGGGCCATCCCCGCCGTAAGTCGAGAACATACCCCAGGTCCCCGCCGCAAGTCGACACAAACCGTGAGACTTCCCCCTAGAGCTGAGATGAGGCCCCATTCCCCTGCAGTGCATGCAGAGCTATTCCGTGATCCCATTCAAACAAGTCAGGAGCTTCGACTTGCTTAATGGATCTCGAGACAGTCCCCAAGAACACTGTCACCAGTCTAGACGGACCCTGAGGTCACCCCAGCAACGCAAAGCTGCTCCATGTGCCCCAAATCAACTCGAGATGAGCCCCGATTCCCCTGCATTGATTCCAGAGCCATTCCCCGTTCCCCATTCAACACGACCGGTGGCTCGACTTCCTTCAGACAACTCCAGAGATGCCCCGAGAACACTGTCCCAAGTCTAGAGGAACACCAACTTCAGCCCAGCAACTCGAGGAATGCTCCGTGTACCCCAAATCATCTCGAGATGAGAGCTGATTCCCTGGCTTAGGCTCAAGACGTATGCCAACTTTCCAGAAGCACCTCAGGAGGAGGCTTCTCTCAGCAATAGGTATGTGGGAGGGACCCCGAGTTTGCTGCCTCAAGGGGAATATACAGCGAGAAGCCCTAACTTGAAAGGAGGCCGGATTTCCTTGCAGTGGCTTGAATACAGGCTCGTCTTTGATCTGACAACATGAAGGGATGTCTGAATCCACTGTGGAGAACTTAGAGAAAGCCCTAGGTCCCTGCATCATTTTGAATGAATGCCTCACATCCCGCTGACACCTGGAGAGTCACGCGGAGTTCATTGCTTCAAAAGGTGACGATGCCTGACTCCTCTTGAATACTGATAGGAATCCCAAAATCCCTGTGGCTACTGGAAAGGGTCCTTGGGTGCCCTGCCTCACCTCGAGAAGCGTCCCTTTTGCCCTGCCAAGCCTCGAAGAGATTGTTGAGGTGTCCCTCGTTACTAGGCAGGAGTCCTGACGTCACTGGAGAAACTCGTGTTTTGAAGGGCCATCCCCGCCGTAAGTCGAGAACATACCCCAGGTCCCCGCCGCAACTCGAGAAAAACCGTGAGACTTCCCCCTAGAGGCGAGATGAGGCCCCATTCCCCTGCAGTGCATGCAGAGCTATTCCGTGATCCCATTCAAACAAGTCAGGAGCTTCGACTTGGTTAATGGATCTCGAGACAGTCCCCAAGAACACTGTCACCAGTCTAGACGGACCCTGAGGTCACCCAGCAATGCAAAGCAGCTCCATGTGCCCCAAAACAACTCGAGATGAGGCCGGATTCCCCTGCATTGACTCCAGAGCCATTCCCCGTTCCCCATTCAACACGACCGGTGGCTCGACTTCCTTCAGGCAACTCCAGAGATGCCCCGAGAACACTGTCACAAGTCTAGAGGAACACCAACTTCAGCAGAGCAACTCGAGGAATGCTCCGTGTACCCCAAATCATCTCGAGATGAGAGCTGATTCCCTGGCTTAGGCTCAAGACGTATTCCAACTTTCCAGAAGCACCTCAGGAGGAGGCTTCTCTCAGCAATAGGTATGTGGGAGGGACCCCGAGTTTGCTGCCTCAAGGGGAATACACAGGGAGAAGCCCTAATGTGAAGGGAGGCCAGATATCCTTGCAGTGGCTTGAATACAGGCTCGTCTTTGATCTGACAACATGAAGGGATGTCTGAATCCGCTGTGGAGACCTTAGAGGAAGCCCTAGGTCCCTGCCTCATTTTGACGGAATACCTCACATCCCCCTGACACCTCGAGAGGCACGCAGAGTTCATTGCTTGAAAAGGTGACGATGCCTGACTCCTCTTGAATACTTATAGTAATCCCAAAATCCCTGTGGCTCCTGGAAAGGGTCCTTGGGTGCCCTGGCTCACCTCGAGAAGCGTCGCTTTTGCCCTGCCAAGCCTCGAAGAGATTGCTGAGGTGTCCCTCATTACTAGACAGGAGTCCTGACGTCACGGAAGAAACTCGTGTTTTGAAGGGCCATCCCCGCCATAAGTCGAGAACATACCCCAGGTCCCCGAAGCAACTCGAGAAAAACCATGAGACTTCCCCCTAGAGGCGAGATGAGGCCCCATTCCCCTGCAGTGCATGCAGAGCTATTCCGTGATCCCATTCAAACAAGTCAGGAGCTTCGACTTGCTTAATGGATCTCGAGAGAGTCCCCAAGAACACTGTCACCAGTCTAGACGGACCCTGAGGTCACCCCAGCAACGCAAAGCAGCTCCATGTGCCCCAAATCAACTCGAGATGAGGCCCGATTCCCCTGCATTGACTCCAGAGCCATTCCCGTTCCCCCTTCAACACGAACGGAGGCTCGCCTTCCTTCAGGCTACTCCAGAGATGCCCCGAGAACACTGTCCCAAGTCTAGAGGAACACCAACTTCAGCACAGCAACTCGAGGAATGCTCTGTGTACCGTAAATCGTCTCGAGATGAGAGATGATTCCCTGGCTTAGGCTCAAGACGTATGCCAACTTTCCAGAAGCACCTCAGGAGGAGGCTTCTCAGCAATAGGTATGTGGGAGGGACTCCGAGTTTGCTGCCTCAAGGGGAATATACAGCGAGAAGCCCTAACGTGAAAGGAGGCCGGATTTCCTTGCAGTAGCTTGAATACAGGCTTGTCTTTCATCTCACAACATGAAGGGATGTCTGAATCCCCTGTGGAGACCTTAGAGAAAGCCCTAGGTCCCTGCCTCATTTTGACGGAATGCCTCACATCCCGCTGACACCTCGAGAGGCACGCGGAGTTCATTGCTTCAAAAGGTGACGATGCCTGACTCCTCTTGAATACTGATAGGAATCCCAAAATCCCTGTGGCTACTGGAAAGGGTCCTTGGGTGCCCTGGCTCACCTCGAGAAGCGTCCCTTTTGCCCTGCCAAGCCTCGAAGAGATTGCTGAGGTGTCCCTCGTTACTAGGCAGGAGTCCTGACGTCACTGAAGAAACTCGTGTTTTGAAGGGCCATCCCCGCCGTAAGTCGAGAACATACCCCAGGTCCCCGCCGCAAGTCGACACAAACCATGAGACTTCCCCCTAGAGCTGAGATGAGGCCCCATTCCCCTGCAGTGCATGCAGAGCTATTCCGTGATCCCATTCAAACAAGTCAGGAGCTTCGACTTGCTTAATGGATCTCGAGACAGTCCCCAAGAACACTGTCACCAGTCTAGACGGACCCTGAGGTCACCCCAGCAACGCAAAGCTGCTCCATGTGCCCCAAATCAACTCGAGATGAGCCCCGATTCCCCTGCATTGATTCCAGAGCCATTCCCCGTTCCCCATTCAACACGACCGGTGGCTCGACTTCCTTCAGACAACTCCAGAGATGCCCCGAGAACACTGTCTCAAGTCTAGAGGAACACCAACTTCAGCCCAGCAACTCGAGGAATGCTCCGTGTACCCCAAATCATCTCGAGATGAGAGCTGATTCCCTGGCTTAGGCTCAAGACGTATGCCAACTTTCCAGAAGCACCTCAGGAGGAGGCTTCTCTCAGCAATAGGTATGTGGGAGGGACCCCGAGTTTGCTGCCTCAAGGGGAATATACAGCGAGAAGCCCTAACTTGAAAGGAGGCCGGATTTCCTTGCAGTGGCTTGAATACAGGCTCGTCTTTGATCTGACAACATGAAGGGATGTCTGAATCCACTGTGGAGAACTTAGAGAAAGCCCTAGGTCCCTGCATCATTTTGAATGAATGCCTCACATCCCGCTGACACCTGGAGAGTCACGCGGAGTTCATTGCTTCAAAAGGTGATGATGCCTGACTCCTCTTGAATACTGATAGGAATCCCAAAATCCCTGTGGCTACTGGAAAGGGTCCTTGGGTACCCTGCCTCACCTCGAGAAGCGTCCCTTTTGCCCTGCCAAGCCTCGAAGAGATTGCTGAGGTGTCCCTCGTTACTAGGCAGGAGTCCTGACGTCACTGGAGAAACTCGTGTTTTGAAGGGCCATCCCCGCCGTAAGTCGAGAACATACCCCAGGTCCCCGCCGCAACTCGAGAAAAACCGTGAGACTTCCCCCTAGAGGCGAGATGAGGCCCCATTCCCCTGCAGTGCATGCAGAGCTATTCCGTGATCCCATTCAAACAAGTCAGGAGCTTCGACTTGGTTAATGGATCTCGAGACAGTCCCCAAGAACACTGTCACCAGTCTAGACGGACCCTGAGGTCACCCAGCAATGCAAAGCAGCTCCATGTGCCCCAAAACAACTCGAGATGAGGCCGGATTCCCCTGCATTGACTCCAGAGCCATTCCCCGTTCCCCATTCAACACGACCGGTGGCTCGACTTCCTTCAGGCAACTCCAGAGATGCCCCGAGAACACTGTCACAAGTCTAGAGGAACACCAACTTCAGCAGAGCAACTCGAGGAATGCTCCGTGTACCCCAAATCATCTCGAGATGAGAGCTGATTCCCTGGCTTAGGCTCAAGACGTATTCCAACTTTCCAGAAGCACCTCAGGAGGAGGCTTCTCTCAGCAATAGGTATGTGGGAGGGACCCCGAGTTTGCTGCCTCAAGGGGAATACACAGGGAGAAGCCCTAATGTGAAGGGAGGCCAGATATCCTTGCAGTGGCTTGAATACAGGCTCGTCTTTGATCTGACAACATGAAGGGATGTCTGAATCCGCTGTGGAGACCTTAGAGGAAGCCCTAGGTCCCTGCCTCATTTTGACGGAATACCTCACATCCCCCTGACACCTCGAGAGGCACGCAGAGTTCATTGCTTGAAAAGGTGACGATGCCTGACTCCTCTTGAATACTTATAGTAATCCCAAAATCCCTGTGGCTCCTGGAAAGGGTCCTTGGGTGCCCTGGCTCACCTCGAGAAGCGTCGCTTTTGCCCTGCCAAGCCTCGAAGAGATTGCTGAGGTGTCCCTCATTACTAGACAGGAGTCCTGACGTCACGGAAGAAACTCGTGTTTTGAAGGGCCATCCCCGCCATAAGTCGAGAACATACCCCAGGTCCCCGCAGCAACTCGAGAAAAACCATGAGACTTCCCCCTAGAGGCGAGATGAGGCCCCATTACCCTGCAGTGCATGCAGAGCTATTCCGTGATCCCATTCAAACAAGTCAGGAGCTTCGACTTGCTTAATGGATCTCGAGACAGTCCCCAAGAACACTGTCACCAGTCTAGACGGACCCTGAGGTCACCCCAGCAATGCAAAGCAGCTCCATGTGCCCCAAATCAACTCGAGATGAGGCCCGATTCCCCTGCATTGACTCCAGAGCCATTCCCGTTCCCCGTTCAACACGAACGGAGGCTCGCCTTCCTTCAGGCAACTCCAGAGATGCCCCGAGAACACTGTCCCAAGTCTAGAGGAACACCAACTTCAGCACAGCAACTCGAGGAATGCTCTGTGTACCGCAAATCGTCTCGAGATGAGAGCTGATTCCCTGGCTTAGGCTCAAGACGTATGCCAACTTTCCAGAAGCACCTCAGGAGGAGGCTTCTCAGCAATAGGTATGTGGGAGGGACTCCGAGTTTGCTGCCTCAAGGGGAATATACATCGAGAAGCCCTAACTTGAAAGGAGGCCGGATTTCCTTGCAGTAGCTTGAATACAGGCTTGTCTTTCATCTCACAACATGAAGGGATGTCTGAATCCCCTGTGGAGACCTTAGAGAAAGCCCTAGGTCCCTGCCTCATTTTGACGGAATGCCTCACATACCGCTGACACCTCGAGAGGCACGCGGAGTTCATTGCTTCAAAAGGTGACGATGCCTGACTCCTCTTGAATACTGATAGGAATCCCAAAATCCCTGTGGCTACTGGAAAGGGTCCTTGGGTGCCCTGCCTCACCTCGAGAAGCGTCCCTTTTGCCCTGCCAAGCCTCGAAGAGATTGCTGAGGTGTCCCTCGTTACTAGGCAGGAGTCCTGACGTCACTGGAGAAACTCGTGTTTTGAAGGGCCATCCCCGCCGTAAGTCGAGAACATACCCCAGGTCCCCGCCGCAACTCGAGAAAAACCGTGAGACTTCCCCCTAGAGGCGAGATGAGGCCCCATTCCCCTGCAGTGCATGCAGAGCTATTCCGTGATCCCATTCAAACAAGTCAGGAGCTTCGACTTGGTTAATGGATCTCGAGACAGTCCCCAAGAACACTGTCACCAGTCTAGACGGACCCTGAGGTCACCCAGCAATGCAAAGCAGCTCCATGTGCCCCAAAACACCTCGAGATGAGGCCGGATTCCCCTGCATTGACTCCAGAGCCATTCCCCGTTCCCCATTCAACACGACCGGTGGCTCGACTTCCTTCAGGCAACTCCAGAGATGCCCCGAGAACACTGTCACAAGTCTAGAGGAACACCAACTTCAGCAGAGCAACTCGAGGAATGCTCCGTGTACCCCAAATCATCTCGAGATGAGAGCTGATTCCCTGGCTTAGGCTCAAGACGTATTCCAACTTTCCAGAAGCACCTCAGGAGGAGGCTTCTCTCAGCAATAGGTATGTGGGAGGGACCCCGAGTTTGCTGCCTCAAGGGGAATACACAGGGAGAAGCCCTAATGTGAACGGAGGCCAGATTTCCTTGCAGTGGCTTGAATACAGGCTCGTCTTTGATCTGACAACATGAAGGGATGTCTGAATCCGCTGTGGAGACCTTAGAGGAAGCCCTAGGTCCCTGCCTCATTTTGACGGAATACCTCACATCCCCCTGACACCTCGAGAGGCACGCAGAGTTCATTGCTTGAAAAGGTGACGATGCCTGACTCCTCTTGAATACTTATAGTAATCCCAAAATCCCTGTGGCTCCTGGAAAGGGTCCTTGGGTGCCCTGGCTCACCTCGAGAAGCGTCCCATTTGCCCTGCCAAGCCTCGAAGAGATTGCTGAGGTGTCCCTCATTACTAGACAGGAGTCCTGACGTCACGGAAGAAACTCGTGTTTTGAAGGGCCATCCCTGCCATAAGTCGAGAACATACCCCAGGTCCCCGCCGCAACTCGAGAAAAACCATGAGACTTCCCCCTAGAGGCGAGATGAGGCCCCATTCCCCTGCAGTGCATGCAGAGCTATTCCGTGATCCCATTCAAACAAGTCAGGAGCTTCGACTTGCTTAATGGATCTCGAGACAGTCCCCAAGAACACTGTCACCAGTCTAGACGGACCCTGAGGTCACCCCAGCAACGCAAAGCAGCTCCATGTGCCCCAAATCAACTCGAGATGAGGCCCGATTCCCCTGCATTGACTCCAGAGCCATTCCCGTTCCCCGTTCAACACGAACGGAGGCTCGCCTTCCTTCAGGCAACTCCAGAGATGCCCCGAGAACACTGTCCCAAGTCTAGAGGAACACCAACTTCAGCACAGCAACTCGAGGAATGCTCTGTGTACCGCAAATCGTCTCGAGATGAGAGCTGATTCCCTGGCTTAGGCTCAAGACGTATGCCAACTTTCCAGAAGCACCTCAGGAGGAGGCTTCTCAGCAATAGGTATGTGGGAGGGACTCCGAGTTTGCTGCCTCAAGGGGAATATACATCGAGAAGCCCTAACTTGAAAGGAGGCCGGATTTCCTTGCAGTAGCTTGAATACAGGCTTGTCTTTGACCAGACAACATGAAGGGATGTCTGAATCCCCTGTGGAGACCTTAAAGAAAGCCCTAGGTCCCTGCCTCATTTTGACGGAATGCCTCACATCCCGCTGACACCTCGAGAGGCACGCGGAGTTCATTGCTTCAAAAGGTGACGATACCTGACTCCTCTTGAATACATATAGGAATCCCAAAATCCCTGTGGCTACTGGAAAGGGTCCTTGGGTGCCCTGCCTCACCTCGAGAAGCGTCCCTTTTGCCCTGCCAAGCCTCGAAGAGATTCCTGAGGTGTCCCTTGTTACTAGGCAGGAGTCCTGACGTCACTGAAGAAACTCGTGTTTTGAAAGGCCATCCCCGCCGTAAGTCGAGAACATACCCCAGGTCCCCGCCGCAAGTCGACAAAAACCGTGAGACTTCCCCCTAGAGGCGAGATGAGGCCCCATTCCCCTGCAGTGCATGCAGAGCTATTCCGTGATCCCATTCAAACAAGTCAGGAGCTTCGACTTGCTTAATGGATCTCGAGACAGTCCCCAAGAACACTGTCACCAGTCTAGACGGACCCTGAGGTCACGCCAGCAACGCAAAGCTGCTCCATGTGCCCCAAATCAACTCGAGATGAGCCCCGATTCCCCTGCATTGATTCCAGAGCCATTCCCCGTTCCCCATTCAACACGACCGGTGGCTCGACTTCCTTCAGGCAACTCCAGAGATGCCCCGAGAACACTGTCCCAAGTCTAGAGGAACACCAACTTCAGCCCAGCAACTCGAGGAATGCTCCGTGTACCCCAAATCATCTCGAGATGAGAGCTGATTCCCTGGCTTAGGCTCAAGACGTATGCCAACTTTCCAGAAGCACCTCAGGAGGAGGCTTCTCTCAGCAATAGGTATGTGGGAGGGACCCCGAGTTTGCTGCCTCAAGGGGAATATACAGCGAGAAGCCCTAACTTGAAAGGAGGCCGGATTTCCTTGCAGTGGCTTGAATACAGGCTCGTCTTTGATCTGACAACATGAAGGGATGTCTGAATCCCCTGTGGAGACCTTAGAGGAAGCCCTATTTCCCTGCCTCATTTTGACGGAATACCTCACATCCCCCTGACACCTCGAGAGGCACGCAGAGTTCATTGCTTCAAAAGGTGACGATGCCTGACTCCTCTTGAATACTGATAGGAATCCCCAAATCCCTGTGGCTACTGGAAAGCGTCCTTGTGTGCCCTGGCTCACCTCGAAAAGCGTCCCTTTTGCCCTGCCAAGCCTCGAAGAGATTGCTGAGGTGTCCCTCGTTACTAGACAGGAGTCCTGACGTCACTGAAGAAACTCGTGTTTTGAAGGGCCATCCCCGCCGTAAGTCGAGAACATACCCCAGGTCCCCGCCACAACTCGAGAAAAACCATGAGACTTCCCCCTAGAGGCGAGATGAGGCCCCATTCCCCTGCAGTGCATGCAGAGCTATTCCGTGATCCCATTCAAACAAGTCAGGAGCTTCGACTTGCTTAATGGATCTCGAGACAGTCCCCAAGAACACTGTCACCAGTCTAGACGGACCCTGAGGTCACCCCAGCAACGCAAAGCAGCTCCATGTGCCCCAAATCAACTCGAGATGAGGCCCGATTCCCCTGCATTGACTCCAGAGCCATTCCCCGTTCCCCGTTCAACACGAACGGAGGCTCGCCTTCCTTCAGGCAACTCCAGAGATGCCCCGAGAACACTGTCCCAAGTCTAGAGGAACACCAACTTCAGCACAGCAACTCGAGGAATGCTCTGTGTACCCCAAATCGTCTCGAGATGAGAGCTGATTCCCTGGCTTAGGCTCAAGACGTATGCCGACTTTCCAGAAGCACCTCAGGAGGAGGCTTCTCAGCAATAGGTATGTGGGAGGGACTCCGAGTGTGCTGCCTCAAGGGGAATATACATCGAGAAGCCCTAACTTGAAAGGAGGCCGGATTTCCTTGCAGTAGCTTGAATACAGGCTTGTCTTTCATCTCACAACATGAAGGGATGTCTGAATCCCCTGTGGAGACCTTAGAGAAAGCCCTAGGTCCCTGCCTCATTTTCACGGAATGCCTCACATCCCGCTGACACCTCGAGAGGCACGCGGAGTTCATTGCTTCAAAAGGTGACGATGCCTGACTCCTCTTGAATACTTATAGGAATCCCAAAATTCCTGTGGCTACTGGAAAGGGTCCTTGGGTGCCCTGCCTCACCTCGAGAAGCGTCCCTTTTGCCCTGCCAAACCTCGAAGAGATTCCTGAGGTGTCCCTCGTTACTAGGCAGGAGTCCTGACGTAACTGAAGAAACTCGTGTTTTGAAGGGCCATCCCCGCCGTAAGTCGAGAACATACCCCCGGTCCCCGCCGCAACTCGAGAAAAACCATGAGACTTCCCCCTAGAGGCGAGATGAGGCCCCATTCCCCTGCAGTGCATGCAGAGCTATTCCGTGATCCCATTCAAACAAGTCAGGAGCTTCGACTTGCTTAATGGATCTCGAGACAGTCCCCAAGAACACTTTCACCAGTCTAGACGGACCCTGAGGTCACCCCAGCAACGCAAAGCTGCTCCATGTGCCCCAAATCAACTCGAGATGAGGCCCGATTCCCCTGCATTGACTCCAGAGCCATTCCCCGTTCCCCGTTCAACACGACCGGTTGCTCGACTTCCTTCAGGCAACTCCAGAGATGCCCAGAGAACACTTTCCCAAGTCTAGAGGAACACCAGCTTCAGCACAGCAACTCGAGGAATGCTGTGAGTACCCCAAATCATCTCGAGATGAGAGCTGATTCCCTGGCTTAGGCTCAAGACGTATGCCAACTTTCCAGAAGCACCTCAGGAGGAGGCTTCTCTCAGCAATAGGTATGTGCGAGGGACGCCGAGTTTGCTGCCTCAAGGGGAATATACAGCGAGAAGCCCTAACTTGAAAGGAGGCCGGATTTCCTTGCAGTGGCTTGAATACAGGCTCGTCTTTGATCTGACAACATGAAGGGATGTCTGAATCCCCTGTGGAGACCTTAGAGAAAGCCCTAGGTCCCTGCCTCATTTTGACGGAATGCCTCACATCCCGCTGACACCTCGAGAGGCACGCGGAGTTCATTGCTTCAAAAGGTGACGATGCCTGACTCCTCTTGAATACTGATAGGAATCCCAAAATCCCTGTGGCTACTGGAAAGGGTCCTTGGGTGTCCTGCCTCACCTCGAGAAGCGTCCCTTTTGCCCTGCCAAGCCTCGAAGAGATTCCTGAGGTGTCCCTCGTTATTAGGCAGGAGTCCTGACGTCACTGGAGAAACTGGTGTTTTGAAGGGCCATCCCCGCCGTAAGTCGAGAACATACCCCAGGTCCCCGCCGCACCTCGAGAAAAACCGCGAGACTTCGCCCTAGAGGCGAGATGAGGCCCCATTCCCCTGCAGTGCATGCAGAGCTATTCCGTGATCCCATTCAAACAAGTCAGGAGCTTCGACTTGCTTAATGGATCTCGAGACAGTCCCCAAGAACACTGTCACCAGTCTAGACGGACCCTGAGGTCACCCCAGCAACGCAAAGCTGCTCCATGTGCCCCAAATCAACTCGAGATGAGGCCCGATTCCCCTGCATTGACTCCAGAGCCATTCCCCGTTCCCCATTCAAGAAGACCGGTGGCTCGACTTCCTTCAGGCAACTCCAGAGATGCCCCGAGAACACTGTCCCAAGTCTAGAGGAACACCAACTTCAACACAGCAACTCGAGGAATGCTCCCTGTACCCCAAATCATCTCGAGATGAGAGCTGATTCCCTGGCTTAGGCTCAAGACGTATGCCAACTTTCCAGAAGCATCTCAGGAGGAGGCTTCTCTCAGCAATAGGTATGTGGGAGGGACCTCGTGTTTGCTGCCTCAGGGGGAATACACAGGGAGAAGCCCTAATGTGATCGGAGGCCAGATTTCCCTGCAGAGGGTTGAATACAGGCTCGTCTTTGATCTGACAACATTAAGGGATGTCTGAATACCCTGTGGAGACCTTAGAGGAAGCCCTAGGTCCCTGCCTCATTTTGACGGAATACCTCACATCCCCCTGACACCTCGAGAGGCACGCAGAGTTTATTGCTTCAAAAGGTGACGATGCCTGACTCCTCTTGAATACTTATAGGAATCCCAAAATCCCTGTTGCTACTGGAAAGGGTCCTTGGGTGCCCTGGCTCACCTCGAGAAGCGTCCACTTTGCCCTGCCAAGCCTCGAAGAGATTGCTGAGGTGTCCCTCGTTACTAGACAGGAGTCCTGACGTCACTGAAGAAACTCGTGTTTTGAAGGGCCATCCCCGCCGTAAGTCGAGAACATACCCCAGGTCCCCGCCGCAACTCGAGAAAAACCATGAGACTTCCCCCTATAGGCGAGATGAGGCCCCATTCCCCTGCAGTGCATGCAGAGCTATTCCGTGATCCCATTCAAACAAGTCAGGAGCTTCGACTTGCTTAATGGATCTCGAGACAGTCCCCAAGAACACTGTCACCAGTCTAGACGGACCCTGAGGTCACCCCAGCAATGCAAAGCAGCTCCATGTGCCCCAGATCAACTCGAGATGAGGCCCGATTCCCCTGCATTGACTCCAGAGCCATTCCCCGTTCCCCGTTCAACACGAACGGAGGCTCGCCTTCCTTCAGGCAACTCCAGAGATGCCCCGAGAACACTGTCCCAAGTCTAGAGGAACACCAACTTCAGCACAGCAACTCGAGGAATGCTCTGTGTACCCCAAATCGTCTCGAGATGAGAGCTGATTCCCTGGCTTAGGCTCAAGACGTATGCCAACTTTCCAGAAGCACCTCAGGAGGAGGCTTCTCAGCAATAGGTATGTGGGAGGGACTCCGAGTTTGCTGCCTCAAGGGGAATATACATCGAGAAGCCCTAACTTGAAAGGAGGCCGGATTTCCTTGCAGTAGCTTGAATACAGGCTTGTCTTTCATCTCACAACATGAAGGGATGTCTGAATCCCCTATGGAGACCTTAGAGAAAGCCCTAGGTCCCTGCCTCATTTTGACGGAATGCCTCACATCCCGCTGACACCTCGAGAGGCACGCGGAGTTCATTGCTTCAAAAGGTGACGATGCCTGACTCCTCTTGAATACTGATAGGAATCCCAAAATCCCTGTGGCTACTGGAAAGGGTCCTTGGGTGCCCTGCCTCACCTCGAGAAGCGTCCCTTTTGCCCTGCCAAGCCTCGAAGAGATTGCTGAGGTGTCCCTCGTTACTAGGCAGGAGTCCTGACGTCACTGGAGAAACTCGTGTTTTGAAGGGCCATCCCCGCCGTAAGTCGAGAACATACCCCAGGTCCCCGCCGCAACTCGAGAAAAACCGTGAGACTTCCCCCTAGAGGCGAGATGAGGCCCCATTCCCCTGCAGTGCATGCAGAGCTATTCCGTGATCCCATTCAAACAAGTCAGGAGCTTCGACTTGGTTAATGGATCTCGAGAGAGTCCCCAAGAACACTGTCACCAGTCTAGACGGACCCTGAGGTCACCCAGCAATGCAAAGCAGCTCCATGTGCCCCAAAACAACTCGAGATGAGGCCGGATTCCCCTGCATTGACTCCAGAGCCATTCCCCGTTCCCCATTCAACACGACCGGTGGCTCGACTTCCTTCAGGCAACTCCAGAGATGCCCCGAGAACACTGTCACAAGTCTAGAGGAACACCAACTTCAGCAGAGCAACTCGAGGAATGCTCCGTGTACCCCAAATCATCTCGAGATGAGAGCTGATTCCCTGGCTTAGGCTCAAGACGTATTCCAACTTTCCAGAAGCACCTCAGGAGGAGGCTTCTCTCAGCAATAGGTATGTGGGAGGGACCCCGAGTTTGCTGCCTCAAGGGGAATACACAGGGAGAAGCCCTAATGTGAACGGAGGCCAGATTTCCTTGCAGTGGCTTGAATACAGGCTCGTCTTTGATCTGACAACATGAAGGGATGTCTGAATCCGCTGTGGAGACCTTAGAGGAAGCCCTAGGTCCCTGCCTCATTTTGACGGAATACCTCACATCCCCCTGACACCTCGAGAGGCACGCAGAGTTCATTGCTTGAAAAGGTGACGATGCCTGACTCCTCTTGAATACTTATAGTAATCCCAAAATCCCTGTGGCTCCTGGAAAGGGTCCTTGGGTGCCCTGGCTCACCTCGAGAAGCGTCCCTTTTGCCCTGCCAAGCCTCGAAGAGATTGCTGAGGTGTCCCTCATTACTAGACAGGAGTCCTGACGTCACGGAAGAAACTCGTGTTTTGAAGGGCCATCCCCGCCATAAGTCGAGAACATACCCCAGGTCCCTGCCGCAACTCGAGAAAAACCATGAGACTTCCCCCTAGAGGCGAGATGAGGCCCCATTACCCTGCAGTGCATGCAGAGCTATTCCGTGATCCCATTCAAACAAGTCAGGAGCTTCGACTTGCTTAATGGATCTCGAGACAGTCCCCAAGAACACTGTCACCAGTCTAGACGGACCCTGAGGTCACCCCAGCAACGCAAAGCAGCTCCATGTGCCCCAAATCAACTCGAGATGAGGCCCGATTCCCCTGCATTGACTCCAGAGCCATTCCCCGTTCCCCGTTCAACACGAACGGAGGCTCGCCTTCCTTCAGGCAACTCCAGAGATGCCCCGAGAACACTGTCCCAAGTCTAGAGGAACACCAACTTCAGCATAGCAACTCGAGGAATGCTCTGTGTACCGCAAATCGTCTCGAGATGAGAGCTGATTCCCTGGCTTAGGCTCAAGACGTATGCCAACTTTCCAGAAGCACCTCAGGAGGAGGCTTCTCAGCAATAGGTATGTGGGAGGGACTCCGAGTTTGCTGCCTCAAGGGGAATATACAGCGAGAAGCCCTAACGTGAAAGGAGGCCGGATTTCCTTGCAGTAGCTTGAATACAGGCTTGTCTTTCATCTCACAACATGAAGGGATGTCTGAATCCCCTGTGGAGACCTTAGAGAAAGCCCTAGGTCCCTGCCTCATTTTGACGGAATGCCTCACATCCCGCTGACACCTCGAGAGGCACGCGGAGTTCATTGCTTCAAAAGGTGACGATGCCTGACTCCTCTTGAATACTGATAGGAATCCCAAAATCCCTGTGGCTACTGGAAAGGGTCCTTGGGTGCCCTGCCTCACCTCGAGAAGCGTCCCTTTTGCCCTGCCAAGCCTCGAAGAGATTGCTGAGGTGTCCCTCGTTACTAGGCAGGAGTCCTGACGTCACTGGAGAAACTCGTGTTTTGAAGGGCCATCCCCGCCGTAAGTCGAGAACATACCCCAGGTCCCCGCCGCAACTCGAGAAAAACCGTGAGACTTCCCCCTAGAGGCGAGATGAGGCCCCATTCCCCTGCAGTGCATGCAGAGCTATTCCGTGATCCCATTCAAACAAGTCAGGAGCTTCGACTTGGTTAATGGATCTCGAGACAGTCCCCAAGAACACTGTCACCAGTCTAGACGGACCCTGAGGTCACCCAGCAATGCAAAGCAGCTCCATGTGCCCCAAAACACCTCGAGATGAGGCCGGATTCCCCTGCATTGACTCCAGAGCCATTCCCCGTTCCCCATTCAACACGACCGGTGGCTCGACTTCCTTCAGGCAACTCCAGAGATGCCCCGAGAACACTGTCACAAGTCTAGAGGAACACCAACTTCAGCACAGCAACTCGAGGAATGCTCCGTGTACCCCAAATCATCTCGAGATGAGAGCTGATTCCCTGGCTTAGGCTCAAGACGTATTCCAACTTTCCAGAAGCACCTCAGGAGGAGGCTTCTCTCAGCAATAGGTATGTGGGAGGGACCCCGAGTTTGCTGCCTCAAGGGGAATACACAGGGAGAAGCCCTAATGTGAAGGGAGGCCAGATATCCTTGCAGTGGCTTGAATACAGGCTCGTCTTTGATCTGACAACATGAAGGGATGTCTGAATCCGCTGTGGAGACCTTAGAGGAAGCCCTAGGTCCCTGCCTCATTTTGACGGAATACCTCACATCCCCCTGACACCTCGAGAGGCACGCAGAGTTCATTGCTTCAAAAGGTGACGATGCCTGACTCCTCTTGAATACCTATAGGAATCCCAAAATCCCTGTTGCTACTTGAAAGGGTCCTTGGGTGCCCTGGCTCACCTCGAGAAGCGTCCCCTTTGCCCTGCCAAGCCTCGAAGAGATTGCTGAGGTGTCCCTCGTTACTAGACAGGAGTCCTGACGTCACTGAAGAAACTCGTGTTTTGAAGGGCCATCCCCGCCATAAGTCGAGAACATACCCCAGGTCCCCGCCGCAACTCGAGAAAAACCATGAGACTTCCCCCTAGAGGCGAGATGAGGCCCCATTCCCCTGCAGTGCATGCAGAGCTATTCCGTGATCCCATTCAAACAAGTCAGGAGCTTCGACTTGCTTAATGGATCTCGAGAGAGTCCCCAAGAACACTGTCACCAGTCTAGACGGACCCTGAGGTCACCCCAGCAACGCAAAGCAGCTCCATGTGCCCCAAATCAACTCGAGATGAGGCCCGATTCCCCTGCATTGACTCCAGAGCCATTCCCGTTCCCCCTTCAACACGAACGGAGGCTCGCCTTCCTTCAGGCTACTCCAGAGATGCCCCGAGAACACTGTCCCAAGTCTAGAGGAACACCAACTTCAGCACAGCAACTCGAGGAATGCTCTGTGTACCGTAAATCGTCTCGAGATGAGAGATGATTCCCTGGCTTAGGCTCAAGACGTATGCCAACTTTCCAGAAGCACCTCAGGAGGAGGCTTCTCAGCAATAGGTATGTGGGAGGGACTCCGAGTTTGCTGCCTCAAGGGGAATATACAGCGAGAAGCCCTAACGTGAAAGGAGGCCGGATTTCCTTGCAGTAGCTTGAATACAGGCTTGTCTTTCATCTCACAACATGAAGGGATGTCTGAATCCCCTGTGGAGACCTTAGAGAAAGCCCTAGGTCCCTGCCTCATTTTGACGGAATGCCTCACATCCCGCTGACACCTCGAGAGGCACGCGGAGTTCATTGCTTCAAAAGGTGACGATGCCTGACTCCTCTTGAATACTGATAGGAATCCCAAAATCCCTGTGGCTACTGGAAAGGGTCCTTGGGTGCCCTGCCTCACCTCGAGAAGCGTCCCTTTTGCCCTGCCAAGCCTCGAAGAGATTGCTGAGGTGTCCCTCGTTACTAGGCAGGAGTCCTGACGTCACTGGAGAAACTCGTGTTTTGAAGGGCCATCCCCGCCGTAAGTCGAGAACATACCCCAGGTCCCCGCCGCAACTCGAGAAAAACCGTGAGACTTCCCCCTAGAGGCGAGATGAGGCCCCATTCCCCTGCAGTGCATGCAGAGCTATTCCGTGATCCCATTCAAACAAGTCAGGAGCTTCGACTTGGTTAATGGATCTCGAGACAGTCCCCAAGAACACTGTCACCAGTCTAGACGGACCCTGAGGTCACCCAGCAATGCAAAGCAGCTCCATGTGCCCCAAAACAACTCGAGATGAGGCCGGATTCCCCTGCATTGACTCCAGAGCCATTCCCCGTTCCCCATTCAACACGACCGGTGGCTCGACTTCCTTCAGGCAACTCCAGAGATGCCCCGAGAACACTGTCACAAGTCTAGAGGAACACCAACTTCAGCAGAGCAACTCGAGGAATGCTCCGTGTACCCCAAATCATCTCGAGATGAGAGCTGATTCCCTGGCTTAGGCTCAAGACGTATTCCAACTTTCCAGAAGCACCTCAGGAGGAGGCTTCTCTCAGCAATAGGTATGTGGGAGGGACCCCGAGTTTGCTGCCTCAAGGGGAATACACAGGGAGAAGCCCTAATGTGAAGGGAGGCCAGATATCCTTGCAGTGGCTTGAATACAGGCTCGTCTTTGATCTGACAACATGAAGGGATGTCTGAATCCGCTGTGGAGACCTTAGAGGAAGCCCTAGGTCCCTGCCTCATTTTGACGGAATACCTCACATCCCCCTGACACCTCGAGAGGCACGCAGAGTTCATTGCTTGAAAAGGTGACGATGCCTGACTCCTCTTGAATACTTATAGTAATCCCAAAATCCCTGTGGCTCCTGGAAAGGGTCCTTGGGTGCCCTGGCTCACCTCGAGAAGCGTCGCTTTTGCCCTGCCAAGCCTCGAAGAGATTGCTGAGGTGTCCCTCATTACTAGACAGGAGTCCTGACGTCACGGAAGAAACTCGTGTTTTGAAGGGCCATCCCCGCCATAAGTCGAGAACATACCCCAGGTCCCCGCAGCAACTCGAGAAAAACCATGAGACTTCCCCCTAGAGGCGAGATGAGGCCCCATTACCCTGCAGTGCATGCAGAGCTATTCCGTGATCCCATTCAAACAAGTCAGGAGCTTCGACTTGCTTAATGGATCTCGAGACAGTCCCCAAGAACACTGTCACCAGTCTAGACGGACCCTGAGGTCACCCCAGCAACGCAAAGCAGCTCCATGTGCCCCAAATCAACTCGAGATGAGGCCCGATTCCCCTGCATTGACTCCAGAGCCATTCCCGTTCCCCGTTCAACACGAACGGAGGCTCGCCTTCCTTCAGGCAACTCCAGAGATGCCCCGAGAACACTGTCCCAAGTCTAGAGGAACACCAACTTCAGCACAGCAACTCGAGGAATGCTCTGTGTACCGCAAATCGTCTCGAGATGAGAGCTGATTCCCTGGCTTAGGCTCAAGACGTATGCCAACTTTCCAGAAGCACCTCAGGAGGAGGCTTCTCAGCAATAGGTATGTGGGAGGGACTCCGAGTTTGCTGCCTCAAGGGGAATATACATCGAGAAGCCCTAACTTGAAAGGAGGCCGGATTTCCTTGCAGTAGCTTGAATACAGGCTTGTCTTTCATCTCACAACATGAAGGGATGTCTGAATCCCCTGTGGAGACCTTAGAGAAAGCCCTAGGTCCCTGCCTCATTTTGACGGAATGCCTCACATCCCGCTGACACCTCGAGAGGCACGCGGAGTTCATTGCTTCAAAAGGTGACGATGCCTGACTCCTCTTGAATACTGATAGGAATCCCAAAATCCCTGTGGCTACTGGAAAGGGTCCTTGGGTGCCCTGCCTCACCTCGAGAAGCGTCCCTTTTGCCCTGCCAAGCCTCGAAGAGATTGCTGAGGTGTCCCTCGTTACTAGGCAGGAGTCCTGACGTCACTGGAGAAACTCGTGTTTTGAAGGGCCATCCCCGCCGTAAGTCGAGAACATACCCCAGGTCCCCGCCGCAACTCGAGAAAAACCGTGAGACTTCCCCCTAGAGGCGAGATGAGGCCCCATTCCCCTGCAGTGCATGCAGAGCTATTCCGTGATCCCATTCAAACAAGTCAGGAGCTTCGACTTGGTTAATGGATCTCGAGACAGTCCCCAAGAACACTGTCACCAGTCTAGACGGACCCTGAGGTCACCCAGCAATGCAAAGCAGCTCCATGTGCCCCAAAACACCTCGAGATGAGGCCGGATTCCCCTGCATTGACTCCAGAGCCATTCCCCGTTCCCCATTCAACACGACCGGTGGCTCGACTTCCTTCAGGCAACTCCAGAGATGCCCCGAGAACACTGTCACAAGTCTAGAGGAACACCAACTTCAGCAGAGCAACTCGAGGAATGCTCCGTGTACCCCAAATCATCTCGAGATGAGAGCTGATTCCCTGGCTTAGGCTCAAGACGTATTCCAACTTTCCAGAAGCACCTCAGGAGGAGGCTTCTCTCAGCAATAGGTATGTGGGAGGGACCCCGAGTTTGCTGCCTCAAGGGGAATACACAGGGAGAAGCCCTAATGTGAACGGAGGCCAGATTTCCTTGCAGTGGCTTGAATACAGGCTCGTCTTTGATCTGACAACATGAAGGGATGTCTGAATCCGCTGTGGAGACCTTAGAGGAAGCCCTAGGTCCCTGCCTCATTTTGACGGAATACCTCACATCCCCCTGACACCTCGAGAGGCACGCAGAGTTCATTGCTTGAAAAGGTGACGATGCCTGACTCCTCTTGAATACTTATAGTAATCCCAAAATCCCTGTGGCTCCTGGAAAGGGTCCTTGGGTGCCCTGGCTCACCTCGAGAAGCGTCCCATTTGCCCTGCCAAGCCTCGAAGAGATTGCTGAGGTGTCCCTCATTACTAGACAGGAGTCCTGACGTCACGGAAGAAACTCGTGTTTTGAAGGGCCATCCCTGCCATAAGTCGAGAACATACCCCAGGTCCCCGCCGCAACTCGAGAAAAACCATGAGACTTCCCCCTAGAGGCGAGATGAGGCCCCATTCCCCTGCAGTGCATGCAGAGCTATTCCGTGATCCCATTCAAACAAGTCAGGAGCTTCGACTTGCTTAATGGATCTCGAGACAGTCCCCAAGAACACTGTCACCAGTCTAGACGGACCCTGAGGTCACCCCAGCAACGCAAAGCAGCTCCATGTGCCCCAAATCAACTCGAGATGAGGCCCGATTCCCCTGCATTGACTCCAGAGCCATTCCCGTTCCCCGTTCAACACGAACGGAGGCTCGCCTTCCTTCAGGCAACTCCAGAGATGCCCCGAGAACACTGTCCCAAGTCTAGAGGAACACCAACTTCAGCACAGCAACTCGAGGAATGCTCTGTGTACCGCAAATCGTCTCGAGATGAGAGCTGATTCCCTGGCTTAGGCTCAAGACGTATGCCAACTTTCCAGAAGCACCTCAGGAGGAGGCTTCTCAGCAATAGGTATGTGGGAGGGACTCCGAGTTTGCTGCCTCAAGGGGAATATACATCGAGAAGCCCTAACTTGAAAGGAGGCCGGATTTCCTTGCAGTAGCTTGAATACAGGCTTGTCTTTGACCAGACAACATGAAGGGATGTCTGAATCCCCTGTGGAGACCTTAAAGAAAGCCCTAGGTCCCTGCCTCATTTTGACGGAATGCCTCACATCCCGCTGACACCTCGAGAGGCACGCGGAGTTCATTGCTTCAAAAGGTGACGATACCTGACTCCTCTTGAATACATATAGGAATCCCAAAATCCCTGTGGCTACTGGAAAGGGTCCTTGGGTGCCCTGCCTCACCTCGAGAAGCGTCCCTTTTGCCCTGCCAAGCCTCGAAGAGATTCCTGAGGTGTCCCTCGTTACTAGGCAGGAGTCCTGACGTCACTGAAGAAACTCGTGTTTTGAAAGGCCATCCCCGCCGTAAGTCGAGAACATACCCCAGGTCCCCGCCGCAAGTCGACAAAAACCGTGAGACTTCCCCCTAGAGGCGAGATGAGGCCCCATTCCCCTGCAGTGCATGCAGAGCTATTCCGTGATCCCATTCAAACAAGTCAGGAGCTTCGACTTGCTTAATGGATCTCGAGACAGTCCCCAAGAACACTGTCACCAGTCTAGACGGACCCTGAGGTCACGCCAGCAACGCAAAGCTGCTCCATGTGCCCCAAATCAACTCGAGATGAGCCCCGATTCCCCTGCATTGATTCCAGAGCCATTCCCCGTTCCCCATTCAACACGACCGGTGGCTCGACTTCCTTCAGGCAACTCCAGAGATGCCCCGAGAACACTGTCCCAAGTCTAGAGGAACACCAACTTCAGCCCAGCAACTCGAGGAATGCTCCGTGTACCCCAAATCATCTCGAGATGAGAGCTGATTCCCTGGCTTAGGCTCAATACGTATGCCAACTTTCCAGAAGCACCTCAGGAGGAGGCTTCTCTCAGCAATAGGTATGTGGGAGGGACCCCGAGTTTGCTGCCTCAAGGGGAATATACAGCGAGAAGCCCTAACTTGAAAGGAGGCCGGATTTCCTTGCAGTGGCTTGAATACAGGCTCGTCTTTGATCTGACAACATGAAGGGATGTCTGAATCCCCTGTGGAGACCTTAGAGGAAGCCCTATTTCCCTGCCTCATTTTGACGGAATACCTCACATCCCCCTGACACCTCGAGAGGCACGCAGAGTTCATTGCTTCAAAAGGTGACGATGCCTGACTCCTCTTGAATACTGATAGGAATCCCCAAATCCCTGTTGCTACTGGAAAGCGTCCTTGTGTGCCCTGGCTCACCTCGAAAAGCGTCCCTTTTGCCCTGCCAAGCCTCGAAGAGATTGCTGAGGTGTCCCTCGTTACTAGACAGGAGTCCTGACGTCACTGAAGAAACTCGTGTTTTGAAGGGCCATCCCCGCCGTAAGTCGAGAACATACCCCAGGTCCCCGCCACAACTCGAGAAAAACCATGAGACTTCCCCCTAGAGGCGAGATGAGGCCCCATTCCCCTGCAGTGCATGCAGAGCTATTCCGTGATCCCATTCAAACAAGTCAGGAGCTTCGACTTGCTTAATGGATCTCGAGACAGTCCCCAAGAACACTGTCACCAGTCTAGACGGACCCTGAGGTCACCCCAGCAACGCAAAGCAGCTCCATGTGCCCCAAATCAACTCGAGATGAGGCCCGATTCCCCTGCATTGACTCCAGAGCCATTCCCCGTTCCCCGTTCAACACGAACGGAGGCTCGCCTTCCTTCAGGCAACTCCAGAGATGCCCCGAGAACACTGTCCCAAGTCTAGAGGAACACCAACTTCAGCACAGCAACTCGAGGAATGCTCTGTGTACCCCAAATCGTCTCGAGATGAGAGCTGATTCCCTGGCTTAGGCTCAAGACGTATGCCGACTTTCCAGAAGCACCTCAGGAGGAGGCTCCTCAGCAATAGGTATGTGGGCGGGACTCCGAGTGTGCTGCGTCAAGGGGAATATACATCGAGAAGCCCTAACTTGAAAGGAGGCCGGATTTCCTTGCAGTAGCTTGAATACAGGCTTGTCTTTCATCTCACAACACGAAGGGATGTCTGAGTCCCCTGTGGAGACCTTAGAGAAAGCCCTAGGTCCCTGCCTCATTTTGACGGAATGCCTCACATCCCGCTGACACCTCGAGAGGCACGCGGAGTTCATTGCTTCAAAAGGTGACGATGCCTGACTCCTCTTGAATACTGATAGGAATCCCAAAATTCCTGTGGCTACTGGAAAGGGTCCTTGGGTGCCTTGCCTCACCTTTAGAAGCGTCCCTTTTGCCCTGCCAAGCCTCGAAGAGATTCCTGAGGTGTCCCTCATTACTAGGCAGGAGTCCTGATGTCACTGAAGAAACTCGTGTTTTGAAGGGCCATCCCCGCCGTAAGTCGAGAACATACCCCCGATCCCCGCCGCAACTCGAGAAAAACCATGAGACTTCCCCCTAGAGGCGAGATGAGGCCCCATTCCCCTGCAGTGCATGCAGAGCTATTCCGTGATCCCATTCAAACAAGTCAGGAGCTTCGACTTGCTTAATGGATCTCGAGACAGTCCCGAAGAACACTGTCACCAGTCTAGACGGACCCTGAGGTCACCCCAGCAACGCAAAGCAGCTCCATGTGCCCCAAATCAACTCGAGATGAGGCCCGATTCCCCTGCATTGACTCCAGAGCCATACCCCGTTCCCCGTTCAACACGAACGGAGGCTCGCCTTCCTTCAGGCAACTCCAGAGATGCCCCGAGAACACTGTCCCAAGTCTAGAGGAACACCAACTTCAGCACAGCAACTCGAGGAATGCTCTGTGTACCCCAAATCGTCTCGAGATGAGAGCTGATTCCCTGGCTTAGGCTCAAGACGTATGCCGACTTTCCAGAAGCACCTCAGGAGGAGGCTTCTCAGCAATAGGTATGTGGGAGGGACTCCGAGTGTGCTGCCTCAAGGGGAATATACATCGAGAAGCCCTAACTTGAAAGGAGGCCGGATTTCCTTGCAGTAGCTTGAATACAGGCTTGTCTTTCATCTCACAACATGAAGGGATGTCTGAATCCCCTGTGGAGACCTTAGAGAAAGCCCTAGGTCCCTGCCTCATTTTGACGGAATGCCTCACATCCCGCTGACACCTCGAGAGGCACGCGGAGTTCATTGCTTCAAAAGGTGACGATGCCTGACTCCTCTTGAATACTTATAGGAATCCCAAAATTCCTGTGGCTACTGGAAAGGGTCCTTGGGTGCCCTGCCTCACCTCGAGAAGCGTCCCTTTTGCCCTGCCAAACCTCGAAGAGATTCCTGAGGTGTCCCTCGTTACTAGGCAGGAGTCCTGACGTCACTGAAGAAACTCGTGTTTTGAAGGGCCATCCCCGCCGTAAGTCGAGAACATACCCCCGGTCCCCGCCGCAACTCGAGAAAAACCATGAGACTTCCCCCTAGAGGCGAGATGAGGCCCCATTCCCCTGCAGTGCATGCAGAGCTATTCCGTGATCCCATTCAAACAAGTCAGGAGCTTCGACTTGCTTAATGGATCTCGAGACAGTCCCCAAGAACACTTTCACCAGTCTAGACGGACCCTGAGGTCACCCCAGCAACGCAAAGCTGCTCCATGTGCCCCAAATCAACTCGAGATGAGGCCCGATTCCCCTGCATTGACTCCAGAGCCATTCCCCGTTCCCCGTTCAACACGACCGGTTGCTCGACTTCCTTCAGGCAACTCCAGAGATGCCCAGAGAACACTTTCCCAAGTCTAGAGGAACACCAGCTTCAGCACAGCAACTCGAGGAATGCTGTGAGTACCCCAAATCATCTCGAGATGAGAGCTGATTCCCTGGCTTAGGCTCAAGACGTATGCCAACTTTCCAGAAGCACCTCAGGAGGAGGCTTCTCTCAGCAATAGGTATGTGCGAGGGACGCCGAGTTTGCTGCCTCAAGGGGAATATACAGCGAGAAGCCCTAACTTGAAAGGAGGCCGGATTTCCTTGCAGTGGCTTGAATACAGGCTCGTCTTTGATCTGACAACATGAAGGGATGTCTGAATCCCCTGTGGAGACCTTAGAGAAAGCCCTAGGTCCCTGCCTCATTTTGACGGAATGCCTCACATCCCGCTGACACCTCGAGAGGCACGCGGAGTTCATTGCTTCAAAAGGTGACGATGCCTGACTCCTCTTGAATACTGATAGGAATCCCAAAATCCCTGTGGCTACTGGAAAGGGTCCTTGGGTGTCCTGCCTCACCTCGAGAAGCGTCCCTTTTGCCCTGCCAAGCCTCGAAGAGATTCCTGAGGTGTCCCTCGTTATTAGGCAGGAGTCCTGACGTCACTGGAGAAACTGGTGTTTTGAAGGGCCATCCCCGCCGTAAGTCGAGAACATACCCCAGGTCCCCGCCGCACCTCGAGAAAAACCGCGAGACTTCGCCCTAGAGGCGAGATGAGGCCCCATTCCCCTGCAGTGCATGCAGAGCTATTCCGTGATCCCATTCAAACAAGTCAGGAGCTTCGACTTGGTTAATGGATCTCGAGACAGTCCCCAAGAACACTGTCACCAGTCTAGACGGACCCTGAGGTCACCCAGCAATGCAAAGCAGCTCCATGTGCCCCAAAACACCTCGAAATGAGGCCGGATTCCCCTGCATTGACTCCAGAGCCATTCCCCGTTCCCCGTTCAACACGACCGGTGGCTCGACTTCCTTCAGGCAACTACAGAGATGCCCCGAGAACACTGTCACAAGTCTAGAGGAACACCAACTTCAGCAGAGCAACTCGAGGAATGCTCCGTGTACCCCAAATCATCTCGAGATGAGAGCTGATTCCCTGGCTTAGGCTCAAGACGTATTCCAACTTTCCAGAAGCACCTCAGGAGGAGGCTTCTCTCAGCAATAGGTATGTGGGAGGGACCCCGAGTTTGCTGCCTCAAGGGGAATACACAGGGAGAAGCCCTAATGTGAACGGAGGCCAGATTTCCTTGCAGTGGCTTGAATACAGGCTCGTCTTTGATCTGACAACATGAAGGGATGTCTGAATCCGCTGTGGAGACCTTAGAGGAAGCCCTAGGTCCCTGCCTCATTTTGACGGAATACCTCACATCCCCCTGACACCTCGAGAGGCACGCAGAGTTCATTGCTTGAAAAGGTGACGATGCCTGACTCCTCTTGAATACTTATAGTAATCCCAAAATCCCTGTGGCTCCTGGAAAGGGTCCTTGGGTGCACTGGCTCACCTCGAGAAGCGTCGCTTTTGCCCTGCCAAGCCTCGAAGAGATTGCTGAGGTGTCCCTCATTACTAGACAGGAGTCCTGACGTCACGGAAGAAACTCGTGTTTTGAAGGGCCATCCCCGCCATAAGTCGAGAACATACCCCAGGTCCCCGCCGCAACTCGAGAAAAACCATGAGACTTCCCCCTAGAGGCGAGATGAGGCCCCATTACCCTGCAGTGCATGCAGAGCTATTCCGTGATCCCATTCAAACAAGTCAGGAGCTTCGACTTGCTTAATGGATCTCGAGACAGTCCCCAAGAACACTGTCACCAGTCTAGACGGACCCTGAGGTCACCCCAGCAACGCAAAGCAGCTCCATGTGCCCCAAATCAACTCGAGATGAGGCCCGATTCCCCTGCATTGACTCCAGAGCCATTCCCGTTCCCCGTTCAACACGAACGGAGGCTCGCCTTCCTTCAGGCAACTCCAGAGATGCCCCGAGAACACTGTCCCAAGTCTAGAGGAACACCAACTTCAGCACAGCAACTCGAGGAATGCTCTGGGTACCGCAAATCGTCTCGAGATGAGAGCTGATTCCCTGGCTTAGGCTCAAGACGTATGCCAACTTTCCAGAAGCACCTCAGGAGGAGGCTCCTCAGCAATAGGTATGTGGGAGGGACTCCGAGTGTGCTGCCTCAAGGGGAATATACATCGAGAAGCCCTAACTTGAAAGGAGGCCGGATTTCCTTGCAGTAGCTTGAATACAGGCTTGTCTTTCATCTCACAACACGAAGGGATGTCTGAATCCCCTGTGGAGACCTTAGAGAAAGCCCTAGGTCCCTGCCTCATTTTGACGGAATGCCTCACATCCCGCTGACACCTCGAGAGGCACGCGGAGTTCATTGCTTCAAAAGGTGACGATGCCTGACTCCTCTTGAATACTGATAGGAATCCCAAAATTCCTGTGGCTACTGGAAAGGGTCCTGGGTGCCTTGCCTCACCTCGAGAAGCGTCCCTTTTGCCCTGCCAAGCCTCGAAGAGATTCCTGAGGTGTCCCTCGTTACTAGGCAGGAGTCCTGATGTCACTGAAGAAACTCGTGTTTTGAAGGGCCATCCCCGCCGTAAGTCGAGAACATACCGCCGGTCCCCGCCGCAACTCGAGAAAAACCATGAGACTTCCCCCTAGAGGCGAGATGAGGCCCCATTCCCCTGCAGTGCATGCAGAGCTATTCCGTGATCCCATTCAAACAAGTCAGGAGCTTCGACTTGCTTAATGGATCTCGAGACAGTCCCCAAGAACACTTTCACCAGTATAGACGGACCCTGAGGTCACCCCAGCAACGCAAAGCTGCTCCATGTGCCCCAAATCAACTCGAGATGAGGCCCGATTCCCCTGCATTGACTCCAGAGCCATTCCCCGTTCCCCATTCAACACGACCGGTGGCTCGACTTCCTTCAGGCAACTTCAGAGATGCCCAGAGAACACTTTCCCAAGTCTAGAGGAACACCAGCTTCAGCACAGCAACTCGAGGAATGCTCCGAGTACCCCAAATCATCTCGAGATGAGAGCTGATTCCCTGGCTTAGGCTCAAGACGTATGCCAACTTTCCAGAAGCACCTCAGGAGGAGGCTTCTCTCAGCAATAGGTATGTGGGAGGGACCCCGAGTTTGCTGCCTCAAGGGGAATACACAGCGAGAAGCCCTAACTTGAAAGGAGGCCGGATTTCCTTGCAGTGGCTTGAATACAGGCTCGTCTTTGATCTGACAACATGAAGGGATGTCTGAATCCCCTGTGGAGACCTTAGAGAAAGCCCTAGGTCCCTGCCTCATTTTGACGGAATGCCTCACATCCCGCTGACACCTCGAGAGGCAAGCGGAGTTCATTGTTTCAAAAGGTGACGATGCCTGACTCCTCTTGAATACTGATAGGAATCCCAAAATCCCTGTGGCTACTGGAAAGGGTCCTTGGGTGTCCTGCCTCACCTCGAGAAGCGTCCCTTTTGCCCTGCCAAGCCTCGAAGAGATTCCTGAGGTGTCCCTCGTTACTAGGCAGGAGTCCTGACGTCACTGGAGAAACTCGTGTTTTGAAGGGCCATCCCCGCCGTAAGTCGAGAACATACCCCAGGTCCCCGCCGCACCTCGAGAAAAACCGCGAGACCTCGCCCTAGAGGCGAGATGAGGCCCCATTCCCCTGCAGTGCATGCAGAGCTATTCCGTGATCCCATTCAAACAAGTCAGGAGCTTCGACTTGCTTAATGGATCTCGAGACAGTCCCCAAGAACACTGTCACCAGTCTAGACGGACCCTGAGGTCACCCCAGCAACGCAAAGCAGCTCCATGTGCCCCAAATCAACTCGAGATGAGGCCCGATTCCCCTGCATTGACTCCAGAGCCATTCCCCGTTCCCCATTCAAGACGACCGGTGGCTCGACTTCCTTCAGGCAACTCCAGAGATTCCCCGAGAACACTGTCCCAAGGCTAGAGGAACACCAACTTCAGCACAGCAACTCGAGGAATGCTCCGTGTACCCCAAATCATCTCGAGATGAGAGCTGATTCCCTGGCTTAGGCTCAAGACGTATGCCAACTTTCCAGAAGCATCTCAGGAGGAGGCTTCTCTCAGCAATAGGTATGTGGGAGGGACCCCGTGTTTGCTGCCTCAAGGGGAATACACAGGGAGAAGCCCTAATGTGAACGGAGGCCAGATTTATTTGCAGAGGGTTGAATACAGGCTCGTCTTTGATCTGACAACATTAAGGGATGTCTGAATACCCTGTGGAGACCTTAGAGGAAGCCCTAGGTCCCTGCCTCATTTTGACGGAATACCTCACATCCCCCTGACACCTCGAGAGGCACGCAGAGTTTATTGCTTCAAAAGGTGATGATGCCTGACTCCTCTTGAATACTTATAGGAATCCCAAAATCCCTGTTGCTACTGGAAAGGGTCCTTGGGTGCCCTGGCTCACCTCGAGAAGCGTCCCCTTTGCCCTGCCAAGCCTCGAAGAGATTGCTGAGGTGTCCCTCGTTACTAGACAGGAGTCCTGACGTCACTGAAGAAACTCGTGTTTTGAAGGGCCATCCCCGCCGTAAGTCGAGAACATACCCCAGGTCCCCGCCGCAACTCGAGAAAAACCATGAGACTTCCCCCTAGAGGCGAGATGAGGCCCCATTCCCCTGCAGTGCATGCAGAGCTATTCCGTGATCCCATTCAAACAAGTCAGGAGCTTCGACTTGCTTAATGGATCTCGAGACAGTCCCCAAGAACACTGTCACCAGTCTAGACGGACCCTGAGGTCACCCCAGCAACGCAAAGCTGCTCCATGTGCCCCAAATCAACTCGAGATGAGGCCCGATTCCCCTGCATTGACTCCAGAGACATTCCCCGTTCCCCATTCAAGACGACCGGTGGCTCGACTTCCTTCAGGCAACTCCAGAGATTCCCCGAGAACACTGTCCCAAGGCTAGAGGAACACCAACTTCAGCACAGCAACTCGAGGAATGCTCCGTGTACCCCAAATCATCTCGAGATGAGAGCTGATTCCCTGGCTTAGGCTCAAGACGTATGCCAACTTTCCAGAAGCATCTCAGGAGGAGGCTTCTCTCAGCAATAGGTATGTGGGAGGGACCCCGTGTTTGCTGCCTCAAGGGGAATACACAGGGAGAAGCCCTAATGTGAACGGAGGCCAGATTTCCTTGCAGAGGGTTGAATACAGGCTCGTCTTTGATCTGACAACATTAAGGGATGTCTGAATACCCTGTGGAGACCTTAGAGGAAGCCCTAGGTCCCTGCCTCATTTTGACGGAATACCTCACCTCCCCCTGACACCTCGAGAGGCACGCAGAGTTCATTGCTTCAAAAGGTGACGATGCCTGACTCCTCTTGAATACCTATAGGAATCCCAAAATCCCTGTTGCTACTTGAAAGGGTCCTTGGGTGCCCTGGCTCACCTCGAGAAGCGTCCCCTTTGCCCTGCCAAGCCTCGAAGAGATTGCTGAGGTGTCCCTCGTTACTAGACAGGAGTCCTGACGTCACTGAAGAAACTCGTGTTTTGAAGGGCCATCCCCGCCATAAGTCGAGAACATACCCCAGGTCCCCGCCGCAACTCGAGAAAAACCATGAGACTTCCCCCTATAGGCGAGATGAGGCCCCATTCCCCTGCAGTGCATGCAGAGCTATTCCGTGATCCCATTCAAACAAGTCAGGAGCTTCGACTTGCTTAATGGATCTCGAGAGAGTCCCCAAGAACACTGTCACCAGTCTAGACGGACCCTGAGGTCACCCCAGCAACGCAAAGCAGCTCCATGTGCCCCAAATCAACTCGAGATGAGGCCCGATTCCCCTGCATTGACTCCAGAGCCATTCCCGTTCCCCCTTCAACACGAACGGAGGCTCGCCTTCCTTCAGGCTACTCCAGAGATGCCCCGAGAACACTGTCCCAAGTCTAGAGGAACACCAACTTCAGCACAGCAACTCGAGGAATGCTCTGTGTACCGTAAATCGTCTCGAGATGAGAGATGATTCCCTGGCTTAGGCTCAAGACGTATGCCAACTTTCCAGAAGCACCTCAGGAGGAGGCTTCTCAGCAATAGGTATGTGGGACGGACTCCGAGTTTGCTGCCTCAAGGGGAATATACAGCGAGAAGCCCTAACGTGAAAGGAGGCCGGATTTCCTTGCAGTAGCTTGAATACAGGCTTGTCTTTCATCTCACAACATGAAGGGATGTCTGAATCCCCTGTGGAGACCTTAGAGAAAGCCCTAGGTCCCTGCCTCATTTTGACGGAATGCCTCACATCCCGCTGACACCTCGAGAGGCACGCGGAGTTCATTGCTTCAAAAGGTGACGATGCCTGACTCCTCTTGAATACTGATAGGAATCCCAAAATCCCTGTGGCTACTGGAAAGGGTCCTTGGGTGCCCTGGCTCACCTCGAGAAGCGTCCCTTTTGCCCTGCCAAGCCTCGAAGAGATTGCTGAGGTGTCCCTCGTTACTAGGCAGGAGTCCTGACGTCACTGAAGAAACTCGTGTTTTGAAGGGCCATCCCCGCCGTAAGTCGAGAACATACCCCAGGTCCCCGCCGCAAGTCGACAAAAACCGTGAGACTTCCCCCTAGAGCTGAGATGAGGCCCCATTCCCCTGCAGTGCATGCAGAGCTATTCCGTGATCCCATTCAAACAAGTCAGGAGCTTCGACTTGCTTAATGGATCTCGAGACAGTCCCCAAGAACACTGTCACCAGTCTAGACGGACCCTGAGGTCACCCCAGCAACACAAAGCTGCTCCATGTGCCCCAAATCAACTCGAGATGAGGCCCGATTCCCCTGCATTAACTCCAGAGCCATTTCCCGTTCCCCATTCAACACGACCGGTGGCTCGACTTCCTTCAGACAACTCCAGAGATGCCCAGAGAACACTTTCCCAAGTCTAGAGGAACACCAGCTTCAGCACAGCAACTCGAGGAATGCTCCGAGTACCCCAAATCATCTCGAGATGAGAGCTGATTCCCTGGCTTAGGCTCAAGACGTATGCCAACTTTCCAGAAGCACCTCAGGAGGAGGCTTCTCTCAGCAATAGGTATGTGGGAGGGACCCCGAGTTTGCTGCCTCAAGGGGAATATACAGCGAGAAGCCTAACTTGAAAGGAGGCCGGATTTCCTTGCAGTGGCTTGAATACAGGCTCGTCTTTGATCTGACAACATGAAGGGATGTGTGAATCCCCTGTGGAGACCTTAGAGAAAGCCCTAGGTCACTGCCTCATTTTGACGGAATGCCTCACATCCCGCTGACACCTCGAGAGGCACGCGGAGTTCATTGCTTCAAAAGGTGACGATGCCTGACTCCTCTTGAATACTGATAGGAATCCCAAAATCCCTGTGGCTACTGGAAAGGGTCCTTGGGTGTCCTGCCTCACCTCGAGAAGCGTCCCTTTTGCCCTGCCAAGCCTCGAAGAGATTCCTGAGGTGTCCCTCGTTACTAGGCAGTAGTCCTGACGTCACTGGAGAAACTCGTGTTTTGAAGGGCCATCCCCGCCGTAAGTCGAGAACATACCCCAGGTCCCCGCCGCAACTCGAGAAAAACCGCGAGACTTCCCCCTATAGGCGAGATGAGGCCCCATTCCCCTGCAGTGCATGCAGAGCTATTCCGTGATCCCATTCAAACAAGTCAGGAGCTTCGACTTGCTTAATGGATCTCGAGACAGTCCCCAAGAACACTGTCACCAGTCTAGACGGACCCTGAGGTCACCCCAGCAACGCAAAGCTGCTCCATGTGCCCCAAATCAACTCGAGATGAGGCCCGATTCCCCTGCATTGACTCCAGAGCCATTCCCCGTTCCCCGTTCAACACGAACGGTGGCTCGACTTCCTTCAGGCAACTCCAGGGATGCCCCGAGAACACTGTCCCAAGTCTAGAGGAACACCAACTTCAGCACAGCAACTCGAGGAATGCTCTGTGTACCCCAAATCGTCTCTAGATGAGAGCTGATTCCCTGGCTTAGGCTCAAGACGTATGCCAACTTTCCAGAAGCACCTCAGGAGGAGGCTTCTCTCAGCAATAGGTATGTGGGAGGGACTCCGAGTTTGCTGCCTCAAGGGGAATATACATCGAGAAGCCCTAACTTGAAAGGAGGCCGGATTTCCTTGCAGTAGCTTGAATACAGGCTTGTCTTTCATCTCACAACATGAAGGGATGTCTGAATCCCCTGTGGAGACCTTAGAGAAAGCCCTAGGTCCCTGCCTCATTTTGACGGAATGCCTCACATCCCGCTGACACCTCGAGAGGCACGCGGAGTTCATTGCTTCAAAAGGTGACGATGCCTGACTCCTCTTGAATACTGATAGGAATCCCAAAATCCCTGTGGCTACTGGAAAGGGTCCTTGGGTGCCCTGCCTCACCTCGAGAAGCGTCCCTTTTGCCCTGCCAAGCCTCGAAGAGATTGCTGAGGTGTCCCTCGTTACTAGGCAGGAGTCCTGACGTCACTGGAGAAACTCGTGTTTTGAAGGGCCATCCCCGCCGTAAGTCGAGAACATACCCCAGGTCCTCGCCGCAACTCGAGAAAAACCGTGAGACTTCCCCCTAGAGGCGAGATGAGGCCCCATTCCCCTGCAGTGCATGCAGAGCTATTCCGTGATCCCATTCAAACAAGTCAGGAGCTTCGACTTGGTTAATGGATCTCGAGACAGTCCCCAAGAACACTGTCACCAGTCTAGACGGACCCTGAGGTCACCCAGCAATGCAAAGCAGCTCCATGTGCCCCAAAACAACTCGAGATGAGGCCGGATTCCCCTGCATTGACTCCAGAGCCATTCCCTGTTCCCCATTCAACACGACCGGTGGCTCGACTTCCTTCAGGCAACTCCAGAGATGCCCCGAGAACACTGTCACAAGTCTAGAGGAACACCAACTTCAGCAGAGCAACTCGAGGAATGCTCCGTGTACCCCAAATCATCTCGAGATGAGAGCTGATTCCCTGGCTTAGGCTCAAGACGTATTCCAACTTTCCAGAAGCACCTCAGGAGGAGGCTTCTCTCAGCAATAGGTATGTGGGAGGGACCCCGAGTTTGCTGCCTCAAGGGGAATACACAGGGAGAAGCCCTAATGTGAACGGAGGCCAGATTTCCTTGCAGTGGCTTGAATACAGGCTCGTCTTTGATCTGACAACATGAAGGGATGTCTGAATCCGCTGTGGAGACCTTAGAGGAAGCCCTAGGTCCCTGCCTCATTTTGACGGAATACCTCACATCCCCCTGACACCTCGAGAGGCACGCAGAGTTCATTGCTTCAAAAGGTGACGATGCCTGACTCCTCTTGAATACTGATAGTAATCCCAAAATCCCTGTGGCTACTGGAAAGGGTCCTTGGGTGCCCTGCCTCACCTCGAGAAGCGTCCCTTTTGCCCTGCCAAGCCTCGAAGAGATTGCTGAGGTGTCCCTCATTACTAGACAGGAGTCCTGACGTCACGGAAGAAACCCGTGTTTTGAAGGGCCATCCCCGCCATAAGTCGAGAACATACCCCAGGTCCCCGCCGCAACTCGAGAAAAACCATGAGACTTCCCCCTATAGGCGAGATGAGGCCCCATTCCCCTGCAGTGCATGCAGAGCTATTCCGTGATCCCATTCAAACAAGTCAGGAGCTTCGACTTGCTTAATGGATCTCGAGACAGTCCCCAAGAACACTGTCACCAGTCTAGACGGACCCTGAGGTCACCCCAGCAACGCAAAGCAGCTCCATGTGCCCCAAATCAACTCGAGATGAGGCCCGATTCCCCTGCATTGACTCCAGAGCCATTCCCGTTCCCCGTTCAACACGAACGGAGGCTCCCCTTCCTTCAGGCTACTCCAGAGATGCCCCGAGAACACTGTCCCAAGTCTAGAGGAACACCAACTTCAGCACAGCAACTCGAGGAATGCTCTGTGTACCGCAAATCGTCTCGAGATGAGAGCTGATTCCCTGGCTTAGGCTCAAGACGTATGCCAACTTTCCAGAAGCACCTCAGGAGGAGGCTTCTCAGCAATAGGTATGTGGGAGGGAATCCGAGTTTGCTGCCTCAAGGGGAATATACATCGAGAAGCCCTAACTTGAAAGGAGGCCGGATTTCCTTGCAGTAGCTTGAATACAGGCTTGTCTTTGACCAGACAACATGAAGGGATGTCTGAATCCCCTGTGGAGACCTTAAAGAAAGCCCTAGGTCCATGCCTCATTTTGACGGAATGCCTCACATCCCGCTGACACCTCGAGAGGCACGCGGAGTTCATTGCTTCAAAAGGTGACGATGCCTGACTCCTCTTGAATACTGATAGGAATCCCAAAATCCCTGTGGCTACTGGAAAGGGTCCTTGGGTGCCCTGCCTCACCTCGAGAAGCGTCCCCTTTGCCCTGCCAAGCCTCGAAGAGATTCCTGAGGTGTCCCTCGTTACTAGGCAGGAGTCCTGACGTCACTGAAGAAACTCGTGTTTTGAAGGGCCATCCCCGCCGTAAGTCGAGAACATACCCCAGGTACCCGCCGCAAGTCGACAAAAACCATGAGACTTCCCCCTAGAGCTGAGATGAGGCCCCATTCCCCTGCAGTGCATGCAGAGCTATTCCATGATCCCATTCAAACAAGTCAGGAGCTTCGACTTGCTTAATGGATCTCGAGACAGTCCCCAAGAACACTGTCACCAGTCTAGACGGACCCTGAGGTCACACCAGCAACGCAAAGCTGCTCCATGTGCCCCAAATCAACTCGAGATGAGCCCCGATTCCCCTGCATTGATTCCAGAGCCATTCCCCGTTCCCCATTCAACACGACCGGTGGCTCGACTTCCTTCAGGCAACTCCAGAGATGCCCCGAGAACACTGTCCCAAGTCTAGAGGAACACCAACTTCAGCCCAGCAACTCGAGGAATGCTCCGTGTACCCCAAATCATCTCGAGATGAGAGCTGATTCCCTGGCTTAGGCTCAAGACGTATGCCAACTTTCCAGAAGCACCTCAGGAGGAGGCTTCTCTCAGCAATAGGTATGTGGGAGGGACCCCGAGTTTGCTGCCTCAAGGGGAATATACAGCGAGAAGCCCTAACTTGAAAGGAGGCCGGATTTCCTTGCAGTGGCTTGAATACAGGCTCGTCTTTGATCTGACAACATGAAGGGATGTCTGAATCCCCTGTGGAGACCTTAGAGGAAGCCCTATTTCCCTGCCTCATTTTGACGGAATACCTCACATCCCCCTGACACCTCGAGAGGCACGCAGAGTTCATTGCTTCAAAAGGTGACGATGCCTGACTCCTCTTGAATACTGATAGGAATCCCAAAATTCCTGTGGCTACTGGAAAGGGTCCTTGGGTGCCCTGCCTCACCTCGAGAAGCGTCCCTTTTGCCCTGCCAAGCCTCGAAGAGATTCCTGAGGTGTCCCTCGTTACTAGGCAGGAGTCCTGACGTCACTGAAGAAACTCGTGTTTTGAAGGGCCATCCCCGCCGTAAGTCGAGAACATACCCCAGGTCCCCGCCGCAACTCGAGAAAAACCGTGAGACTTCCCCCTAGAGGCGAGATGAGGCCCCATTCTCCTGCAGTGCATGCAGAGCTATTCCGTGATCCCATTCAAACAAGTCAGGAGCTTCGACTTGCTTAATGGATCTCGAGACAGTCCCCAAGAACACTTTCACCAGTCTAGACGGACCCTGAGGTCACCCCAGCAACGCAAAGCTGCTCCATGTGCCCCAAATCAACTCGAGATGAGGCCCGATTCCCCTGCATTGACGCCAGAGCCATTCCCCGTTCCCCATTCAACACGACCGGTGGCTCGACTTCCTTCAGGCAACTCCAGAGATGCCCAGAGAACACTTTCCCAAGTCTAGAGGAACACCAGCTTCAGCACAGCAACTCGAGGAGTGCTCCGAGCACCCCAAATCATCTCGAGATGAGAGCTGATTCCCTGGCTTAGGCTCAAGACATATGCCAACTTTCCAGAAGCACCTCAGGAGGAGGCTTCTCTCAGAAATAGTTATGTGGGAGGGAGCCCGGGTTTGCTGCCTCAAGGGGAATATACAGCGAGAAGCCCTAACTTGAAAGGAGGCCGGATTTCCTTGCAGTGGCTTGAATACAGGCTCGTCTTTGATCTGACAACATGAAGGGATGCCTGAATCCCCTGTGGAGACCTTAGAGAAAGCCCTAGGTCCCTGCCTCATTTTGACAGAATGCCTCACATCCCGCTGACACCTCCAGAGGCACGCGGAGTTCATTGCTTCAAAAGGTGACGATGCCTGACTCCTCTTGAATACTGATAGGAATCCCAAAATCTCTGTGGCTACTGGAAAGGGTCCTTGGGTGTCCTGCCTCACCTCGAGAAGCTTCCCTTTTGCCCTGCCAAGCCTCGAAGAGATTCCTGAGGTGTCCCTCGTTACTAGGCAGGAGTCCTGACGTCACTGGAGAAACTCGTGTTTTGAAGGGCCATCCCCGCCGTAAGTCGAGAACATACCCCAGGTCCCCGCTGCAACTCGAGAAAAACCGTGAGACTTCCCCCTAGAGGCGAGATGAGGCCCCATTCCCCTGCAGTGCATGAAGAGCTATTCCGTGATCCCATTCAAACAAGTCAGGAGCTTCGACTTGCTTAATGGATCTCGAGACAGTCCCCAAGAACACTGTCACCAGTCTAGACGGAACCTGAGGTCACCCCAGCAACGCAAAGCTGCTCCATGTGCCCCAAATCAACTCGAGATGAGGCCCGATTCCCCTGCATTGACTCCAGAGCCATTCCCCGTTCCCCATTCAAGACGACCGGTGGCTCGACTTCATTCAGGCAACTCCAGAGATTCCCCGAGAACACTGTCCCAAGGCTAGAGGAACACCAACTTCACCACAGCAACTCGAGGAATGCTCCGTGTACCCCAAATCATCTCGAGATGAGAGCTGATTCCCTGGCTTAGGCTCAAGACGTATGCCAACTTTCCAGAAGCATCTCAGGAGGAGGCTTCTCTCAGCAATAGGTATGTGGGAGGGACCCCGAGTTTGCTGCCTCAAGGGGAATACACAGGGAGAAGCCCTAATGTGAACGGAGGCCAGATTTCCCTGCAGTGGCTGGAATACAGGCTCGTCTTTGATCTGACAACATGAAGGGATGTCTGAATCCCCTGTGGAGACCTTAGAGGAAGCCCTAGGTCCCTGCCTCATTTTGACGGAATACCTCACATCCCCCTGACACCTCGAGAGGCACGCAGAGTTCATTGCTTCAAAAGGTGACGATGCCTGACTCCTCTTGAATACTTATAGGAATCCCAAAATCCCTGTGGCTACTAGAAAGGGTCCTTGGGTCCCCTGGCTCACCTCGAGAAGCGTCCCTTTTGCCCTGCCAAGCCTCGAAGAGATTGCTGAGGTGTCCCTCATTACGAGACAGGAGTCCTGACGTCACTGAAGAAACTCGTGTTTTGAAGGGCCATCCCCGCCGTAAGTCGAGAACATACCCCAGGTCCCCGCCGCAACTCGAGAAAAACCATGAGACTTCCCCCTAGAGGCGAGATGAGGCCCCATTCCTCTGCAGTGCATGCAGAGCTATTCCGTGATCCCATTCAAACAAGTCAGGAGCTTCGACTTGCTTAATGGATCTCGAGACAGTCCCCAAGAACACTGTCACCAGTCTAGACGGAGCCTGAGGTCACCCCAGCAACGCAAAGCTGCTCCATGGGCCCCAAATCAACTCGAGATGAGGCCCGATTCCCCTGCATTGACTCCAGAGCCATTCCCCGTTCCCCGTTCAACAAGACCGGTGGCTCGCCTTCCTTCAGGCAACTCCAGAGATGCCCCGAGAACACTGTCCCAAGTCTAGAGGAACACCAACTTCAGCACAGCAACTCGAGGAATGCTCTGTGTACCCCAAATCGTCTCGAGATGAGAGCTGATTCCCTGGCTTAGGCTCAAGACAAATGCCAACTTTCCAGAAGCACCTCAGGAGGAGGCTTCTCAGCAATAGGTATGTGGGAGGGACTCCGAGTTTGCTGCCTCAAGGGGAATATACATCGAGAAGCCCTAACTTGAAAGGAGGCCGGATTTCCTTGCAGTAGCTTGAATACAGGCTTGTCTTTCATCTCACAACATGAAGGGATGTCTGAATCCCCTGTGGAGACCTTAGAGAAAGCCCTAGGTCCCTGCCTCATTTTGACGGAATGCCTCACATCCCGCTGACACCTCGAGAGGCACGCGGATTTCATTGCTTCAAAAGGTGACGATGCCTGACTCCTCTTGAATACTGATAGGAATCCCAAAATCCCTGTGGCTACTGGAAAGGGTCCTTGGGTGCCCTGGCTCACCTCGAGAAGCGTCCCTTTTGCCCTGCCAAGCCTCGAAGAGATTGCTGAGGTGTCCCTCGTTACTAGACAGGAGTCCTGACGTCACTGAAGAAACTCGTGTTTTGAAGGGCCATCCCCGCTGTAAGTCGAGAATATACCCCAGGTCGCCGCCGCAACTCGAGAAAAACCATGAGACTTCCCCCTAGAGGCGAGATGAGGCCCGATTCTCCTGCAGTGCATGCAGAGCTATTCCATGATCCCATTCAAACAAGTCAGGAGCTTCGAATTGCTTAATGGATCTGGAGACCGTCCCCAAGAACACTGTCACCAGTCTAGATGGACCCTGAGGTCACCCCAGCAACGCAAAGCTGCTCCATGTGCCCCAAATCAACTCGAGATGAGACCCGATTCCCCTGCATTGACTCCAGAGCCATTCCCCGTTCCCCATTCAACACGACCGGTGGCTCGACTTCCTTCAGGCAACTCCAGAGATGCCCCGAGAACACTGTCCCAAGTCTAGAGGAACACGAATTTCAGCACAGCAACTCGAGGAATGCTCCGTGTACCCCAAATCATCTCGAGATGAGAGCTGATTCCCTGGCTTAGGCTCAAGACGTATTCCAACTTTCCAGATGCACCTCAGGAGGAGGCTTCTCTCAGCAATAGGTATGTGGGAGGGACCCCGAGTTTGCTGCCTCAAGGGGAATACACAGGGAGAAGCCCTAATGTGAACGGAGGCCAGATTTCCTTGCAGTGGCTTGAATACAGGCTCGTCTTTGATCTGACAACATGAAGGGATGTCTGAATCCCCTGTGGAGTCCTTAGAGGAAGCCCTAGGTCCCTGCCTCATTTTGACGGAATACCTCACATCCCCCTGACACCTCGAGAGGCACGCAGAGTTCATTGCTTGAAAAGGTGACGATGCCTGACTCCTCTTGAATACTTATAGGAATCCCAAAATCCCTGTGGCTACTGGAAAGGGTCCTTGGGTGCCCTGGCTCACCTCGAGAAGCGTCCCTTTTGACCTGCCAAGCCTCGAAGAGATTGTTGAAGTGTCCCTCATTACTAGACAGGAGTCCTGACGTCACTGAAGAAACTCGTGTTTTGAAGGGCCATCCCCGCCGTAAGTCGAGAACATACCCCAGGTCCCCGCCGCAACTCGAGAAAAACCATGAGACTTCCCGCTAGAGGCGAGATGAGGCCCCATTCCCCTGCAGTGCATGCAGAACTATTCCGTGATCCCATTCAAACAAGTCAGGAGCTTCGACTTGCTTAATGGATCTCGAGACAGACCCCAAGAACACTGTCACCAGTCTAGACGGACCCTGAGGTCACCCAGCAATGCAAAGCAGCTCCATGTGCCCCAAATCAACTCAAGATGAGGCCGTATTCCCCTGCATTGACTCCAGAGCCATTCCCTGTTCCCCATTCAACACGACCGGTGGCTCGACTTCCTTCAGGCAACTCCAGAGATGTCCCGAGAACACTGTCCCAAGTCTAGAGGACCACCAACTTCAGCACAGCAACTCGAGGAATGCTTTGTGTACCCCAAATCGTCTCAAGATGAGAGCTGATTCCCTGGCTTAGGCTCAAGACGTATGCCAACTTACCAGAAGCACCTCAGGAGGAGGCTTCTCTCAGCAATAGGTATGTGGGAGGGACCCCGAGTTTGCTGCCTCAAGGGGAATATACGGCGAGAAGCCCTAACTTGAAAGGAGGCCGGATTTCCTTGCAGTGGCTTGAATACAGGCTCGTCTTTCATCTCACAACCTGAAGGAATGTCTGAATCCCCTGTGGAGACCTTAGAGGAAGCCCTAGGTCCCTGCCTCATTTTGACGGAATCCTCACATCCCGCTGACACCTCGAGAGGCACGCAGAGTTCATTGCTTCAAAAGGTGACGATGCCTGACTCCTCTTGAATACTTATAGGAATCCCAAAATCCCTGTGGCTACTGGAAAGGGTCCTTGGGTGCCCTGGCTCACCTCGAGAAGCGTCCCTTTTGCCCTGCCAAGCCTCGAAGAGATTGCTGAGGTGTCCCTTGTTACTAGACAGGAGTCCTGACGTCACTGAAGAAACTCGTGTTTTGAAGGGCCATCCCCGCCGTAAGTCGAGAACATACCCCAGGTCCCCACCGCAACTCGAGAAAAACCGTGAGACTTCCCCCTAGAGGCGAGATGAGGCCCCATTCCCCTGCAGTGCATGCAGAGCTATTCCGTGATCCCATTCAAACAAGTCAGGAGCTTCGACTTGCTTAATGGATCTCGAGACAGTCCCCAAGAACACTGTCACCAGTCTAGATGGACCCTGAGGTCACCCAGCAATGCAAAGCATCTCCATGTGCCCCAAATCAACTCGAGATGAGGCCGGATTCCCCTGCATTGACTCCAGAGCCATTCCCTGTTCCCCATTCAACACGACCGGTGGATCGACTTCCTTCAGGCAACTCCAGAGATGCCCCGAGAACACTGTCCCAAGGCTAGAGGACCACCAACTTCAGCACAGCAACTCGAGGAATGCTCTGTGTATGCCAAATCATCTCGAGATGAGAGCTGATTCCCTGGCTTAGGCTCAAGACGTATGCCAACTTTCAAGAAGCACCTCAGGAGGAGGCTTCTCTAAGCAATAGGTATGTGGGAGGGACCCCGAGTTTGCTGCCTCAAGGGGAATATACAGCGAGAAGCCCTAACTTGAAAGGAGGCCGGATTTCCTTGCAGTGGCTTGAATACAGGCTCGTCTTTCATCTCACAACATGAAGGGATGTCTGAATCCGCTGTGGAGACCTTAGAGAAATCCCTAGGTCCCTGCCTCATTTTGACGGAATCCTCACATCCCGCTGACACCTCGAGAGGCACGCGGAGTTCATTGCTTCAAAAGGTGACGATGCCTGACTCCTCTTGAATACTGATAGGAATCCCAAAATCCCTGTGGCTACTGGAAAGGGTCCTTGGGTGCCCTGCCTCACCTCGAGAAGCGTCCCTTTTGCCCTGCCAAGCCTCGAAGAGATTGCTGAGGTGTCCCTCGTTACTAGGCAGGAGTCCTGACGTCATTGGAGAAACTCGTGTTTTGAAGGGCCATCCCCGCCGTAAGTCGAGAACATACCCCAGGTCCCCGCCGCAACTCGAGAAAAACCGTGAGACTTCCCCCTGGAGGCGAGATGAGGCCCCATTCCCCTGCAGTGCAAGCAGAGCTATTCCGTGATCCCATTCAAACAAGTCAGGAGCTTCGACTTGGTTAATGGATCTCGAGACAGTCCCCAAGAACACTGTCACCAGTCTAGACGGACCGTGAGGTCACCCAGCAATGCAAAGCAGCTCCATGTGCCCCAAATCAACTCGAGATGAGGCCGGATTCCCCTGCATTGACTCCAGAGCCATTCCCCGTTCCCCATTCAACACGACCGGTGGCTCGCCTTCCTTCAGGCAACTCCAGAGATGCCCCGAGAACACTGTCCCAAGTCTAGAGGAACACGACCTTCAGCACAGCAACTCGAGGAATGCTCCGTGTACCCCAAATCATCTCGAGATGAGAGCTGATTCCCTGGCTTAGGCTCAAGACGTATTCCAACTTTCCAGAAGCACCTCAGGAGGAGGCTTCTCTCAGCAATAGGTATGTGGGAGGGACCCCGAATTTGCTGCCTCAAGGGGAATATACAGCGAGAAGCCCTAACTTGAAAGGAGGCCGGATTTCCTTGCAGTGGCTTGAATACAGGCTCGTCTTCCATCTCACAACATGAAGGCATGTCTGAATCCCCTGTGGAGACCTTAGAGGAAGCCCTAGGTCCCTGCCTCATTTTGACGGAATCCTCACATCCCGCTGACACCTCGAGAGGCACGCGGAGTTCATTGCTTCAAAAGGTGACGATGCCTGACTCCTCTTGAATACTGATAGGAATCCCAAAATCCCTGTGGTTTCTGGAAAGGGTCCTTGGGTGCCCTGCCTCACCTCGAGAAGCGTCCCTTTTGCCCTGCCAAGCCTCGAAGAGATTGCTGAGGTGTCCCTCGTTACTAGGCAGGAGTCCTGACGTCACTGGAGAAACTCGTGTTTTGAGGGGCCATCCCCGCCGTAAGTCGAGAACATACCCCAGGTCCCCGCCCCAACTCGAGAAAAACCGTGAGACTTCCCCCTAGAGGCGAGATGAGGCCCCATTCCCCTGCAGTGCATGCAGAGCTATTCCGTGATCCCATTCAAACAAGTCAGGAGCTTCGACTTGCTTAATGGATCTCGAGACAGTCCCCAAGAACACTGTCACCAGTCTAGACGGACCCTGAGGTCACACAGCAATGCAAAGCAGCTCCATGTACCCCAAATCAACTCGAGATGAGGCCGGATTCCCCTGCATTGACTCCAGAGCCATTCCCCGTTCCCCATTCAACACGACCGGTGGCTCGACTTCCTTCAGGCAACTCCAGAGATGCCCCGAGAACACTGTCCCAAGTCTAGAGGAACACCAACTTCAGCACAGCAACACGAGGAATGCTCCGTGTACCCCAAATCATCTCGAGATGAGAGCTGATTCCCTGGCTTAGGCTCAAGACGTATGCCAACTTTCCAGAAGCACCTCAGGAGGAGTCTTCTCTCAGCAATAGGTATGTGGGAGGGACCCCGAGTTTGCTGCCTCAAGGAGAATACACAGGGAGAAGCCCTAATATGAACGGAGGCCAGATTTCCTTGCAGTGGCTTGAATACTGGCTCGTCTTTGGTCTGAGAACATGAAGGGTTGTCTGAATTCCCTGTGGAGACCTTAGAGGAAGCCCTAGGTCCCTGCCTCATTTTGACGGAATACCTCACATCCCCCTGACACTTCGAGAGACACGCAGAGTTCATTGCTTCAAAAGGTGACGATGCCTGACTCCTCTTGAATACTTATAGGAATCCCAAAATCCCTGTGGCTACTGGAAAGGGTCCTTGGGTGCCCTGGCTCACCTCGAGAAGCGTCCCTTTTGCCCTGCCAAGCCTCGAAGAGATTGCTGAGGTGTCCCTCATTACTAGACAGGAGTCCTGACGTCACTGAAGAAACTCGTGTTTTGAAGGGCCATCCCCGCCGTAAGTCGAGAACATACCCCAGGTCCCCGCCGCAACTCGAGAAAAACCATGAGACTTCCCCCTAGAGGCGAGATGAGGCCCCATTCCCTGTGCATGCAGAGATATTCCGTGATCCCATTCAAACAAGTCAGGAGCTTCGACTTGCTTAATGGATCTCGAGACAGTCCCCAAGAACACTGTCACCAGTCTAGACGGACCCTGAGGTCACCCAGCAATGCAAAGCAGCTCCATGTGCCCCATATCAACTCGAGATGAGGCCGTATTCCCCTGCATTGACTCCAGAGCCATTCCCTGTTCCCCATTCAACACGACCGGTGGCTCGACTTCCTTCAGGCAACTCCAGAGATGCCCCAAGAACACTGTCCCAAGTCTAGAGGACCACCAACTTCAGCACAGCAACTCGAGGAATGCTTTGTGTACCCCAAATCGTCTCAAGATGAGAGCTGATTCCCTGGCTTAGGCTCAAGACGTATGCCAACTTACCAGAAGCACCTCAGGAGGAGGCTTCTCTCAGCAATAGGTATGTGGGAGGGACCCCGAGTTTGCTGCCTCAAGGGGAATATACAGCGAGAAGCCCTAACTTGCAAGGAGGCCGGATTTCCTTGCAGTGGCTTGAATACAGGCTCGTCTTTCATCTCACAACCTGAAGGGATGTCTGAATCCCCTGTGGAGACCTTAGAGGAAACCCTAGGTCCCTGCCTCATTTTGACGGAATCCTCACATCCCGCTGACACCTCGAGAGGCACGCGGAGTTCATTGCTTCAAAAGTTGACGATGCCTGACTCCTCTTGAATACTTATAGGAATCCCAAAATCCCTGTGGCTACTGGAAATGGTCCTTGGGTGCCCTGCCTCACCTCGAGAAGCGTCCCTTTTGCCCTGCCAAGCCTCGAAGAGATTGCTGAGGTGTCCCTCGTTACTAGGCAGGAGTCCTGACGTCACTGAAGAAACTCGTGTTTTGAAGGGCCATCCCCGCCGTAAGTCGAGAACATACCCCAGGTCCCCAGCGCAACTCGAGAAAAACCGTGAGACTTCCCCCTAGAGGCGAGATGAGGCCCCATTCCCCTGCAGTGCATGCAGAGCTATTCCGTGATCCCATTCAAACAAGTCAGGAGCTTCGACTTGCTTAATGGATCTCGAGACAGTCCCCAAGAACACTGTCACCAGTCTAGACGGACCCTGAGGTCACCCAGCAATGCAAAGCAGCTCCATGTGCCCCAAATCAACTCGAGATGAGGCTGGATTCCCCTGCATTGACTCCAGAGCCATTCCCTGTTCCCCATTCAACAAGACCGGTGGATCGACTTCCTTCAGGCAACTCCAGAGATGCCCCAAGAACACTGTCCCAAGCCTAGAGGACCACCAACTTCAGCACAGCAACTCGAGGAATGCTCTGTGTATGCCAAATCGTCTCGAGATGAGAGCTGATTCCCTGGCTTAGGCTCAAGACGTATGCCACCTTTCCAGAAGCACCTTAGGAGGAGGCTTCTCTCAGCAATATGTATGTGGGAGGTACCCCGAGTTAGCTGCCTCAAGGGGAATATACAGCGAGAAGCCCTAACTTGAAAGGAGGCCGGATTTCCTTGCAGTGGCTTGAATACAGGCTCGTCTTTCATCTCACAACATGAAGGGATGTCTGAATCCCCTGTGGAGACCTTAGAGAAATCCCTAGGTCCCTGCCTCATTTTGACGGAATCCTCAGATCCCGCTGACACCTCGAGAGGCACGCGGAGTTCATTGCTTCAAAAGGTGACGATGCCTGACTCCTCTTGAATACTGATAGGAATCCCAAAATCCCTGTGGCTTCTGGAAAGGGTCCTTGGGTGCCCTGCCTCACTTCGAGAAGCGTCCCTTTTGCCCTGCCAAGCCTCGAAGAGATTGCTGAGGTGTCCCTCGTTACTAGGCAGGAGTCCTGACGTCACTGGAGAAACTCGTGTTTTGAAGGGCCATCCCCGCCGTAAGTCGAGAACATACCCCAGGTCCCCGCCGCAACTCGAGAAAACCGTGAGACTTCCCCCTAGAGGCGAGATGAGGCCCCAATCCCCTGCAGTGCATGCAGAGCTATTCCGTGATCCCATTCAAACAAGTCAGGAGCTTCGACTTGCTTAATGGATCTCGAGACAGTCCCCAAGAACACTGTCACCAGTCTAGACGGACCCTGAGGTCACCCAGCAATGCAAAGCAGCTCCATGTGCCCCAAATCAACTCGAGATGAGGCCGAATTCCCCTGCATTGACTGCAGAGCCATTCCCCGTTCCCCATTCAACACGACCGGTGGCTCGACTTCCTTCAGGCAACTCCAGAGATCCCCCGAGAACACTGTCCCAAGTCTAGAGGAACACCAACTTCAGCACAGCAACTCGAGGAATGCTCCGTGTACCCGAAATCATCTCGAGATGAGAGCTGATTCCCTGGCTTAAGGTCAAGACGTATTCCAACTTTCCAGAAGCACCTCAGGAGGAGGCTTCTCTCAGCAATAGGTATGTGGGAGGGACCCCGAGTTTGCTGCCTCAAGGGGAATACACAGGGAGAAGCCCTAATGTGAACGGAGGCCAGATTTCCTTGCAGTGGCTTGAATACAGGCTCGTCTTTCATCTCACAACATGAACGGATATCTGAATCCGCTGTGGAGACTTTAGAGGAAGCCCTAGGTCCCTGCCTCATTTTGACGGAATCCTCACATCCCGCTGACACCTCGAGAGGCACGCGGAGTTCATTGCTTCAAAAGGTGACGATGCCTGACTCCTCTTGAATGCTGATAGGAATCCCAAAATCACTGTGGCTACTGGAAAGGGTCCTTGGGTGCCCTGCCTCACCTCGAGAAGCGTCCCTTTTGCCCTGCCAAGCCTCGAAGAGATTGCTGAGGTGTCCCTCGTTACTAGGCAGGAGTCCTGACGTCACTGGAGAAACTCGTGTTTTGAAGGGCCACCCCGCCGTAAGTCGAGAACATACCCCAGGTCCCCGCCGCAACTCGAGAAAAACCGTGAGACTTCCCCCTAGAGGCGAGATGAGGCCCCATTCCCCTGCAGTGCATGCAGAGCTATTCCGTGATCCCATTCAAACAAGTCAGGAGATTCGACTTGCTTAATGGATCTCGAGACAGTCCCCAAGAACACTGTCACCAGTCTAGACGGACCCTGAGGTCACCGCAGCAACGCAAAGCAGCTCCATGTGCCCCACATCAACTCGAGATGAGGCCCGATTCCCCTGCATTGACTCCAGAGCCATTCCCCGTTCCCCGTTCAACACGAACGGAGGCTCGCCTTCCTTCAGGCAACTCCAGAGATGCCCCGAGAACACTGTCCCAAGTCTAGAGGAACACCAACTTCAGCACAGCAACTCGAGGAATGCTCTGTGTACCCCAAATCGTCTCGAGATGAGAGCTGATTCCCTGGCTTAGGCTCAAGACGTATGCCAACTTTCCAGAAGCACCTCAGGAGGAGGCTTCTCAGCAATAGGTATGTGGGAGGGACTCCGAGTTTGCTGCCTCAAGGGGAATATACATCGAGAAGCCCTAACTTGAAAGGAGGCCGGATTTCCTTGCAGTAGCTTGAATACAGGCTCGTCTTTGATCTGACAACATGAAGGGATGTCTGAATCCCCTGTGGAGACCTTAGAGAAAGCCCTAGGTCCCTGCCTCATTTTGACGGAATCCTCACATCCCGCTGACACCTCGAGAGGCACGCGGAGTTCATTGCTTCAAAAGGTGACGATGCCTGACTCCTCTTGAATACTGATAGGAATCCCAAAATCCCTGTGGCTACTGGAAAGGGTCCTTGGGTGCCCTGGCTCACCTCCAGAAGCGTCCCTTTTGCCCTGCCAAGCCTCGAAGAGATTGCTGAGGTGTCCCTCGTTACTAGAGAGGAGTCCTGACGTCACTGAAGAAACTCGTGTTTTGAAGGGCCATCCCCGCCGTAAGTCGAGAACATACCCCAGGTCCCCGCCGCAACTCGAGAAAAAACATGAGACTTCCCCCTAGAGGCGAGATGAGGCCCCACTCCCCTGCAGTGCATGCAGAGCTATTCCGTGATCCCATTCAAACAAGTCAGGAGCTTCGACTTGCTTAATGGATCTCGAGACAGTCCCCAAGAACACTGTCACCAGTCTAGACGGACCCTGAGGTCACCGCAGCAACGCAAAGCAGCTCCATGTGCCCCACATCAACTCGAGATGAGGCCCGATTCCCCTGCATTGACTCCAGAGCCATTCCCCGTTCCCCGTTCAACACGAACGGAGGCTCGCCTTCCTTCAGGCAACTCCAGAGATGCCCCGAGAACACTGTCCCAAGTCTAGAGGAACACCAACTTCAGCACAGCAACTCGAGGAATGCTCTGTGTACCCCAAATCGTCTCGAGATTAGAGCTGATTCCCTGGCTTAGGCTCAAGACGTATGCCAACTTTCCAGAAGCACCTCAGGAGGAGGCTTCTCAGCAATAGGTATGTGGGAGGGACTCCGAGTTTGCTGCCTCAAGGGGAATATACATCGAGAAGCCCTAACTTGAAAGGAGGCCGGATTTCCTTGCAGTAGCTTGAATACAGGCTCGTCTTTGATCTGACAACATGAAGGGATGTCTGAATCCCCTGTGGAGACCTTAGAGAAAGCCCTAGGTCCCTGCCTCATTTTGACGGAATCCTCACATCCCGCTGACACCTCGAGAGGCACGCGGAGTTCATTGCTTCAAAAGGTGACGATGCCTGACTCCTCTTGAATACTGATAGGAATCCCAAAATCCCTGTGGCTACTGGAAAGGGTCCTTGGGTGCCCTGGCTCACCTCGAGAAGCGTCCCTTTTGCCCTGCCAAGCCTCGAAGAGATTGCTGAGGTGTCCCTCGTTACTAGACATGAGTCCTGACGTCACTGAAGAAACTCGTGTTTTGAAGGGCCATCCCCGCCGTAAGTCGAGAACATACCCCAGGTCCTCGCCGCAACTCGAGAAAAAACATGAGACTTCCCCCTCGAGGCGAGATGAGGCCCCATTCCCCTGCAGTGCATGCAGAGCTATTCCGTGATCCCATTCAAACAAGTCAGGAGCTTCGACTTGCTTAATGGATCTCGAGACAGTCCCCAAGAACACTGTCACCAGTCTAGACGGACCCTGAGGTCACCGCAGCAACGCAAAGCAGCTCCATGTGCCCCACATCAACTCGAGATGAGGCCCGATTCCCCTGCATTGACTCCAGAGCCATTCCCCGTTCCCCGTTCAACACGAACGGAGGCTCGCCTTCCTTCAGGCAACTCCAGAGATGCCCCGAGAACACTGTCCCAAGTCTAGAGGAACACCAACTTCAGCACAGCAACTCGAGGAATGCTCTGTGTACCCCAAATCGTCTCGAGATGAGAGCTGATTCCCTGGCTTAGGCTCAAGACGTATGCCAACTTTCCAGAAGCACCTCAGGAGGAGGCTTCTCAGCAATAGGTATGTGGGAGGGACTCCGAGTTTGCTGCCTCAAGGGGAATATACAGCGAGAAGCCCTAACTTGAAAGGAGGCCGGATTTCCTTGCAGTAGCTTGAATACAGGCT